AGGATACCTCGCGCGCCAACACTCTTACACCTCAGGAGGAAGTCGAGGAGGAGGCACACGAGGAAGAGTCCGCACCCAAGTTCGAAGAGATGAAGACCGAGAAGGAGACCGACGGCGAGGGTCTCAAGAAAGTTCAGACTGGCCGCTCAACAAGAAGTCGGAGAACAGTCAGGGATCTCGACTTCAACCCCAATCCGTTCGATATCGACCGCGTCAACACAAGGGAAAGCTTTGTTACCAGGCCGAGAACGAATAGCCGGGCGAGTAGCAGGAAGTAGATGTTTGTTTTTTGTTGTAGCGTTTTTACGGTCGAAAAGTTGAAGGTGCATTTTGACGCATGGCATCAGCATTGTATACCCCTCTCCTATTATCATTAGTTAATACAAGATCAACGATATTCCGAACCCACTGAATTGCTTCTTTCTCGTGATTCTGGTGACATGTGTGATGAAGGCAGTACAGGACGACCGATTTCAGGACGCTGTACAATAAATGCCAGCTAGAAGTATACATTGCCTTGATTACAGTATACTCATGGAAATATAACACTGTGTATGTAGCAACTTAACACGGCTCCTGTCACTCCCTTGTGGGGATGGTGAGATCGCCCTTGCCTTGCATGGTTCATCCTCGGCGATCATCATCAGCCGCGGCCAAGGCATGCAAGTAACGTATCAGAAACCGTCCGCATAGCACTCTTCTAGACACGTAACACGTTGCGCAATATGCAATCGCATCGGCCCTTCCCCCGCGCATCTCGTCCATTGCATCTGGCCATGGAAAGCGTCTATATTCCCTTAGCTTCTAGCCGCCGTCCTTGAGCGCGCATCAGCAATGCCACGCGTGCGCACTCGACATGTCGTCCTCAGCGTCTCCATCCTCTGCTGGATATACTACTTCCTTCCCAAAGACGAAGCCTTTCCGTCTCGCCATGCCACACAGGATCACAGGTCCACCGCCGCGTTGGCGCGCTACATGAACGATCCATCTCACATCCCGCACATCGTTGCGACGCCGAGTAGCTTCGACTGGAGTTCTGTGAACTTCACCTACCCACCACCGCGAACCCCCAAACTTCCTCCGCCTTTTACGGGTCGGCCTCGCATACAACACCACTTCAAACCTGACCCGAACGGTGTGCATACCGTACAAGAGGGGAGACGACGATACGTGAAGAGGGTGTTCCAGAAGAGCTGGGAAAGCTACAGGAGCAAGGCATGGATGAAGGATGCTCTAAAACCCATAAGTGGGGAGTACGTCGACCAGTTCTCTGGCTGGGCTGCGACCTTGGTGGATTCACTAGACACACTCTGGATGCTAGGCATGCGAGATGAATTCTACGAAGCAGTCGAAGCAGTAGCGACGATCGATTTCGGCAAGTCTACAGCACCAACGGTCAATACGTTCGAGACGTGTATCCGGTACCTGGGTGGGCTCCTTGCTGCATACGACTTGAGCGGACACGAGGTGCTGAAGGTGAAGGCGATTGAAGTGGGCGACCTGCTGTATGGCGCTTTCAACACGGAGAACGGCATGCCTGTTGACTTTATCAACTTTGAAGACGCAAAGCAGGGCACTGGTTTGATAGTTGAGAACCAGGTAGTCAGTGCTAGTCCTGGCACCATTACGCTCGAGTTCAGCAGGCTGAGCCAGATTACCGGAGACGACAAGTACTATGCTGCTGTGTCGAAACTGATGGATGTTTTTGCCGAGAGTCAGAACGCGACGAAGCTGCCGGGTATGTGGCCCATGATGGTACACATGAGCGCGAAGGACGTCGTCTCTGGGTATCAGTTCACAATAGGCGGGAATGCAGACTCTCTGTATGAGTACCTACCAAAGGCGCACGCTCTGCTTGGTTCGAAGGAACCCAGTTCGAGCAAATACGAGACCATGTCACGCGCTTTTATGGATACGGCGATGAACAACTTGTTCTTCGCACCTATGATACCAGGGAAGGAGGATATCCTAATCTCTGGTAATGTCGATGTTCACGTGGATGGTCCTAGTCTAGATCCTGAAAGTGAGCATCTGTCTTGCTTTATTGGCGGACTTTTTGCGCTCGGTGGGCGCTTGTTTGACGACGATGAGTACCTCGATACTGGAGCGAAGCTTGCCCGCGGATGCGCATATGCTTATAAGGCATTTCCTACCGGTATCATGCCAGAACGGTACAACATGGTTCTGTGCCCCAACTCAGATCATCGCAAGCCCTGCGCTTGGGACGAAGAGCGCTATGCTGTAGATGCAGCTGCACGACCACAATACAAACCCCATCTCCCCAAAGGCTTCACCACCGCCAAAGATCCCCGTTACATCCTACGTCCCGAGGCCATCGAATCCGTCTTTATACTATGGCGTATCACAGGCGATCCCATCTGGCGCGAGACAGCATGGCAAATGTTCGAAGCCGTAGCCAGTGCAACGGATACCGAGCTCGCGAATGCAGCGATCTTGGACGTTACTGTCCTCGGATCGAAGAAGGAGGATTACATGGAGAGCTTCTGGATGGCTGAGACGCTCAAGTACTTTTACCTGTGCTTTGCAGATACGGACTTGATTAGCTTGGATGACTTTGTGTTGAACACTGAGGCGCATCCTTTTCGGCTATCTAGGGGGTAGGTGACGCGTATGTAACTTCGAGGATGAGGGATGAAGTTTGTTGCTGTGTTAGCCTTCCCATACTTGCCCGCAACATCCATGGAGGGCACATGCTGTGATCGGCGAAATTGCGTGAACCCTCGCAACAAGACGCGAACGCGACGTTAGAATAGGCGAGAAAAACAAAGGCCCTCGCCAACTACAATCAGCATACACTCCACCCTCCATCTTGCACAACACCTGAACCCCCTTACATACATTACGCCCTCGATGTTCTCGACGCCCATAGAACCCATGCCGCAACTCCGCAGCCCCACTCTTCAAGCATGTCAAGCATGTGGCGGTGCGCGCCATGATTGGTGTACCTGACTGCGGCCGATGTTTCTAAACCAGGAACACACACGAGCCTAGCGCGTGGATGCGCGGCCCCCTTGAATCATCCCCTTCGAACCCCAGGCACCAAGGCCTTTCTTTTCCTTTCTCATCTCTCTTTAACCAATCTCCCCACGACTCTACGTCACAGTCATTCTTTCTTCGGTTGGAAAGTAGATTCATACACTCGTTCTTTTGCTGTTCGTATTTGGGCCTCGTCGAACTCTTCATTCCGCATAGATCCGCCGTTTGCAACTTTCGCACCACCCACTACATTACTACTATAATCGAAGATGCGTTTCTCGATTGTCGCCGCTGCGCTTGCAGCTGCTCCAGCAGTTGTCTCAGCCGCTGAGAAGGGAAAGATGGGATGGGCCCTAGGAACGAAGATGGGAAGCGGAGAGTGCAAGACGCAGGCAGACTACTCTGCCGACCTCAAGGCTATCAAGGATAACTCTGGCTCGACCATTGTCCGTGGTTACGCTGCCTCGGACTGCGACATGGCTAAGAACGCCCTCCCGGCTGCCAAGTCAGCAGGCTTCAAGGTCGTTCTGGGTATCTGGTAAGCTTCACCCCTCCGGAAACCTCAAATATCACGACCAAGTATACTAATCGTGACACCACAGGCCCGATGTCGAGGAGTCCTTCAACAAGGACCTCAAGGCCATCACCGACGTTGCCCAACAATACGCCGACACCATCTACGCCGTCACCGTCGGCTCCGAGACACTCTACCGCGGCAACTTCACTGGCGAGGAGCTCGCCGGTAAGATCAAGACTGTCAAGTCTAAGCTTCCCTCTGGCATCAAGGTTGGAACCGCAGACTCGTGGAACAAGTTCGCCGACGGAACCGGTGATGCTATCATCGGCACCGCCGATATCATCATGGTCAACGCTTTCGCCTTCTGGCAGGGCGCCAGCCGCGATAACGCTACGTACGCACTTCCCATGTCTATCAATATATCCGTAAACTAACATATCTGTAGCCACGTCTACCTCGACGACATGTTCCAAGCGACCGCACACATCGAGAAAGTAGCCGGCGGTCGTTCCAAAGCCCCTGAGATCTGGACCGGCGAAACCGGCTGGCCCACGGCCGTTGGCACCGACTACGACGAGGCCAAGGGCGGACTGGACAACGCTAAGCACTTCTACCAAACCGGCTTCTGCGCCCTGCTCGATTGGGGCTTCAACGGCTTCTACTTTGAGGCTTTCGATGAGCCGTGGAAGCCTGCTTCCATTGGTGACAATGGAAAGGTTGCTGATGAGACGACTTGGGGTGCTATGACTTCCGACCGCAAGACTAAGTTCGATCTTAAGTGCGGTGTTAAGGCTTAAGTGCAATGCCCCCAAGGCGGGGGGGTATGTGCTGAAGATAGACGGTGCGAGAAATGTTAGTACATGTCGATGTTAGGATATGTACGCATATAGAGTATAGACGCATTGCTTTTCCGTATGGAAAGGTCACGGCCGGTTCGTTCTTCAATGTATTGTGCGGCCTGATATTGCTGCGAACACTGTTTTTGACCACTTGGTCACACGAACTATCAGTCAGCTCAAGGAGACGGAGTGTACCTGCTTACACAGAAACGTACATGGCTTGCCTAAGACCCAAGTAAACGAGAGAGTCTCGTTGTCTGCATTGCATTTGCCAGATTCCATCCAGCCACGAAAAGTAATATTTGGACTTATGCCAGGCTTGAAGTGGCGGCCTCGTAGCTTTCTCATAAGATAGGTAAAAGAGAGATTTCCATGGTTCTCATTGCACCTACTATTTGCCATTCAAGCGCGAAATACAAATCTCTTGACTAGCAAGCATAGTTATCTGTAGGGGCAAAAAGACTACTCTCACCACACCAGAAAATATCAAAAAAGTTCGATGCACTCTTACGAGCGCCGACGAGCTTGACTCATCGGAGGTTTGAACTCCGGACCTTCAGTGTCCTAACGAGCTGTGAAGCTCTTGTTAGACTGACGTGATAACCAACTACACCAACGAGCCTTGTTTGATGCAAAAGTTAGAATTTAAAAAATTCAAGTCCTCAAAATCTGGTCATACGACAGCAACAGCATCTTTGTTTAGGGATATGACTTGATAATCTATGAGGTAAAGGTATCCATACAAGTAAGAACGGATGCGAACGCGGAAGGGAAAATTTTCGGCAAACGTCAACATGGCGTCCTATCATACCCACCGCCTAGCCCCACCAACTCCACAACTTGACAACAAGCTATATTCCAACACTTATAAACGATATACAGGCTGCTCAATTTCCAGACCCGGTGTCGAAACTGCAGAGCTTGGTGCTGAGCCTCCAGAGCAGAGACTTGAACTTCTCGACCCCACCAAGGACAGTGGATTTGAGTGCGAACTAGATGGTGTCCGAGACAGCGCATACAGAGATTCGTAATCTGGCGCAAACTCTCGCGACGGTTCTCTGGGTGTGTACTCTGGTAGCTGTTCAAAGTCCTCTCTGTCTTCTAGTGGTGGGAGGCGTTCGCGGGGTATGCGAGGTAGAATTTCCAGGGGCGTGTTGGAGCGGATGGTGAAGTGCTGATCGTTGTATTTTATGCCGATCGATATAGCAAGTGCGTAGCGCCGAGTGATTGTGTAAGTCTTGAAGGTTGGCACGCACTCGGTGTCATCGATGAGACGGAAGTTTGACGTTAATGTCGTCGTTTTGTTGAACGGTATTGGGCGATTCATGCCGGTACGCGATATGCAGGTGATGTGCTTGGACACGACGTCCTCGGGATCCGTTACGGTATTCCCGCACTTTGTTGTTGAGTACGTTGAGATGGTGACCTTTAAAGAGTCGATGATGCATTCCCGTTCGGCATGGTTGGCAGGGTCCCGCGCGTTGAGTAGGCTGAGTGACAACGGCATATGCTGTCCTGGGCACACCTTTTCGGGGTGGTTCAGCGTGGGAACAATCCGGGGCGTTGAGTTCATAGAGACACCGGAGAAGACCTTCTTGACTCGAGATCCATCCTTCTCTTTATTTGGTTTCCAGACTTGGCCGTGGAGCACAGAAGATTTGGTTTGCGCTCGTCGTGGAATGTCGCCTGTCGATCTTGGATGGTATCGTAGTATGTGTTTACATCTCTTAGTCTCTGTCGACCCACTGAGAATGAGTCTGGCCTGGATAAAGTACGATATCTGTGCCGCGCCGCCTGGCCCACTCGTCTTGAGCTGGAAGGACGGCGGAAGCGGATGTGGCTCGCGAAGATAATTGCAGCCGCGTACCATGCCCTTCATTTGGGGTTCGGTCGACTCTGGAAATACAAATTCAAAGTCCCATGAATATTTCCGCGGTCCCAGACTGCGGCAGGAAACCAACTCTTTCTCGCGGTTGAAGAGCCGTATCTTCTCCTCGTATTCATGACTTTGTGCAGATGGGTGGGTTTTCGTGTTCACGTGTAGAGGCCTGGATGTCTTGGTGACACAACTACCCGCAAAAATCACCTTCAGCGACTCAATGTCTTCCTGCTCTTCTACTGCCAAAGAAATCTTTCCAGTGACCTTCTCTCCGCTCCTATATGTCTTGCTGCTATCGCCATCGATAATAACCCTCAACGCTGGCACCGTCATTTTTGCTGGGACAAAGAAGAAGAGATGATCAGCAATGCAGGGACCTCGCAAGGCTTAAGAGCGGATGGGTGGGTGTGGACGATTCGCTCAGGTTCCAGGCACGCGGTTATCGGTGCAGTCCAGACTAGGAGAACGTTTGCCGGGGTGAGAGGTACGCCAAGGACGAGAGGATTTCCTGGGCATGCAACTGAGATAGTGATAACGGAAGGTGAAAGGTGTAACCCGCCTAGGAGAGGGAGGCTGAGTGCATGAGGATATTGGGCCTATATGTTGCTTACCGTTGGCTTTGCGCGTACCTTGCCATTTTGAACGTCATCTGGTTGCCAAGGATCTACCTTGAAGCCTTTGGGTTGAAGGCATGATGTATGCGCATACGCTGTTAGGGCTGCGCTGTCAAACCCTAGATGGAAGGGATGTTCGTGGTAGGCGTAATCGTGGACCAAGCTACCCGTTTCATCCCTATCCTGATCATTTCGATCGTCCATGTACTATCCAACATGCGCCGCATCACTTTCAGAGGCCCGAATACCCAAGAGCCCTTTGCAGCCATTCTTCCGCAGAGTGCTGGACAGCGGGATGCAGCCAAGCAGGCCATGCTGTCTTGGCTGGTAGTCTGGATTCAGCCACGCTGATACCCCAGATCCGCCCCGCTGGCCTCTCTAGAAGAACCTTAGATATGGCATCAGCAATAGGTGTCTCCACATGTACTCCGCGATCCAAAAGCTGGAGATCAAGCGATCTGTTAGCCACGCATCCTGCATCGGCTGTTATGAGCGATCAACGTCAAAAGTTTGGAGCAAAGCTGAGAATGGGCGGGGTCTCTCGAGGCGTGCCACATTCCGCAACGGCGCCGGTGGGTGCTCGCTTCGAGATTGGGTGCGCTTGAAAGGCTCTTGGCTTCCACAAGACGACGATTGGCGGACCGATATGCCTGTGCTGCTCGGGGAGAACGAGAGTCCAGCTGCTCACTTCTCCGGAGCGGGTTTGTTGCCCGCTTCGCCTCGAGACATGATGACAGCGTCCTGGCATAGACACGGGAAGTGCTTATCTAGTGGGTATGAAAGAAATATTGTGAGCTGAATATGGCGACGCCGTAGCGTTATTGTAGATGTGGAGGAAGGACCACTCTGGGCTTTAGTTTAGTGGGGTGTTCAGATCGCACTAGGGCCGCACGTGGCGAGGTATCGATAAGGGACAGGAGCTATCCGAGCATGCGACAGGTGTGCATTGGCGCTGGTATTGGCCTTGGTCTTGAAAATCGCAAAGTCCTGCTATCGTATTGTCCATGTCTAACTTTGACTACATGATATCCGAAACTTTGCTCTGTTGGAAGAGGCTTAGGGGAAATGAGATGATGTCACTGACAATGCATCTTTCTTCCAAGGTTAGTATGTAAGTCTGGGACCGATGGGAAGATGATTTCGAAGCAAAGACCAGCTACTATCTCTCCGAGAAAAGATTCATACTCAGCACATGTGCGTATCGTTGTCAATTTCGTTCGGCCAACCTGCAGCGATGGGTAGAAATGCTCAACATCAAGAGATGACTGGTTCCGGTTTGCACGCTAACAATCAGTCGTTGGATGGCACCACAGATCTCTCTTAGAGGTCAGGTCAAGAAGGTTTATAGTACGCTGCTCTGTGCAGAAGCATTTCGCGCCTGATATTTGTTGCGAGGCTTGTGATGCTTGAATCCACGAAAGTACAATCCTTGCGGAAGCTTGATTTGTGCGAGCCTCTCTATGTTGCTCAAAGGCATGAGAGTTTGTCATGATACATGTCGCAATTTGACCCAAGTGCCTGATGTTGATGTAGTTTTGGAAATGTCTCTAGGGCTCGTCTTTCGATGGCACTGGGCACGAAATCGCGCCCAGACCTCAACGCGTGCTCACGCGTCAGGGTCCACTAAAACTATCACGATCGCATCGCACCTTCACGCTCACCACTCCCAAGAAAGCCGCCCCGCAATCGCACACTCGCTAGCTCTCGAGCGACGTCATCTTCGGATCCTCGTATACAGTATCATACGACACAATGCCGCCTAGGAAGAGCAATGTATCGGCGGTGTCAAACGAAGAGAGTCCCGCACCACCCAGATCAGTACCCAGAGAGGAGAGCTTGGGTGTCGAGGTATGTCGCATGTGACTGAGGTCAATTGGAAAATATCAGTACTAATGACGCGACCATAGGATCTAAACCTGCCAAAGTCCATCGTCCAGCGCCTGGCAAAAGGCGTCCTGCCACCAAACACCCAAATACAAAAAGATGCGCTCCTTGCTATGAGCAAAAGCGCAACTGTGTTTGTTAACTACATCACATCAACGTACGATCTCCACACTCTCCCGAGGACAGAAGACTTACGCGCCAATGGCACGCAACTTGCTCTTAGAAGGCTTTCACTAACAACCATGCAGCGCCGCCGAAAAAGCCCTTGCCAGCGGCAAGAAAACCGTCATGCCCAAAGACGTCTTCGACGCAATGACGGATCTAGAATTCTCCTTTATGCTACCTCGCCTCGAAGCCGAAGTCACAAAGTTCACGTCGATACAAGCCGACAAGCGGAACACGTATAGGAAGAAAGTGCGTGAGGAGAAGAAAGGCACGACTGCTTCCGCCGATGCTACCACCTCGACGCCTGCCAAGTCAGCGGCAAACGGAGACGTGGTTATGGAGGGTGCAGATGATGGTGAGAGGGCGACGAAGAGGGTTAGAAGGGAGAGTGGAGATGCTGGTGATGGGGATGTTACGGAGGAAGAGGGGGATGAGACACAGGATGTGGAGGATGAAGAGGTCGAAGACGATGAAATTGAGGAGGAGGTTGTTGGGGAGGAGCTGACGGAGGATCCGCTGGAGGAGAAGGAGGATAACAAGGATGATGATGATGACGACGATGGGAATGAGAGCGATTGAGGAGTTGGACGTGTATTGTCTGGATGGAACATATCACTGCATGGGCGGCGTTTAGGATAGGAGGGTCGGAAGTATTGGTTGGCACAAGAGTTGTCGAGGAATGGACCTGAATATGTTCTATTCTTCCCGAGGTGCTATGTTGAAGCTGTTAAGCCCACCAATAGTCTCAACGCATAAGTCGTTGGATTGCTCGTCTCTGTACGGCTCATAACGTCGGATACCCAGAATGTCACGCGCAACTTGCAACCATGATACCATGTGCTTTGCGCAACCCCCGTCCTGACGATAGTCTTCGTGTGTATGTTTCAGCGCTCCTTGAGCATGTTCATGGGCCACCTTCAGCGCTTCGTCTTCGAGGGTATGCTAGCATCAAGCGGGTCACCGTATCGCGCTACGCATCTATTAGCGTACTGCTTTATTGTCGGTTAGAAATCACTTACACCTAATCATAGAGCCCTTGTCAACAATGTTGTCCAACGCCCTAGCCTCCTCCTCCCTCGCCCTAGTATTCTTCCACTCATAGCCTGGCTGATCCTCCTGCTTACTCCACTGGTAACCCGTCTCAGCATCCTGATGTGTCCCACTCCCACCCGCACCGTTACTCGTCGCTGCTTGCGCCATACCGCCAGACAGTGGTCGCTTTCCGTTAGAATTGACGCCGAGAGTCTCGCGAGTTGTGGATTGTGAGTTTGGTGGTGATATTTCGTTTACGCCAGCGAGGTTGGCGTTGAGCGGTGTGGCTGGGTTGTTTGGAAGAGCTTCGTCGGGGAACATTTCATCGTCCGAGGCAATATTGGCGGGGGACGATTGCATGGTAGAGTCGCCGTCGCGGTCTGAGGGGTGAGTTAGCTGAATGCGCGGTCGTTTGTTGGCCATGGTGGGTGGTTGGCTTGTAGTGGAGGCTTACCTGACATGTTTGAGGATTTTGCTGGGGCGTTCCAAGGGCGATAGCGGCGGTGAAGGGGTTTGCGACGCGTGTGGTTACTCGCCGTGGAAGGCAACAGTGAATGACATAGCGGTGGAGGAGCTAATCGCGGCCCGCCGCAGGGGTCAATGTGGGGACCCTCGAAATATTGGCGACATCATACCGTGGGACTGACAACTCCTCCGCGCGACTTGAGCTCTCGAACCAACACCTCTTCTATTATCGCCAGACAGAGCACCCACTCATAGAGATCATGGCGCCAAAGAACACACCCGCCGGTGCTTGGGAGGACGACTGGGAATCACTCGCGGACGTACGTATGCCCCTCTTCTTCGACAGCAACGCGCTCACAACGTATAGAAAGAAGACGAGAAGCCTGTAGAAGAGCAGCCAAAGCCCAAACTCACAAAAGCGCAACTCAAAGCACAGCATGCTGAACTCAACAAGCAGCTTTGGCAGGCGGCGTAGGTTGCTATTTCATACTATTAGCGACAAGACCTGACTGGAACAGCGAAAACCCAGAGCCTCAATGGTACCCTGAAGTCCGCCCCGCGCCCGTAGCAGCAACCTTCAAGCCAAAAGTCACTATGCTTGCGCGCAAGCCCACCCCTCAAGTCCTCTCCCGCAACATGGCAGGCATGAGCCTAGACGACGACGATAGCGAAGAAGAGCGACGGAAGAAAGCAGCAGCAGATTTCGAAGAGCGCAAGGCACGTGCACAGAAGGAGCGAGCAGAGAAGGAGCGCAAGTACGCAGAAGCACGAGAGCGCATCTTCGGCTCACCAGCTGCTTCCGCCGCAGAAGACTCGCGCAGCAACTCCCCCAACAAAGCTACCCGAGGGAAAGGACGAGGACGCGGTGGAAGGGACAGCCAGCCTAGATCGAGCAACGAGCAATCGCCCGCTCGTACGGCACATGCAGCTCCTGCGCGCCAACTCTTCGACCCAACATACGCCCCAAAGCCCGGCTCCGTATTCATTCAGAAGAAAGAATCCGGTATCAGTCGTCCATCTACACCAAACACACAAGAGAAACCTGTTCGTCAGCCACAAGGACCCGCAAGAGGTGGTGGACGAGGCTTCGCTCCAAGAGGAGGCTACAGTGCTCAGGCAGGTCCGTCAACATGAGCTTGCCGAGGTTTCTGTCATGTGGACAGACCTCTTCCGCGTCTATATTCTGAGGCGCGGATGTCCCTTATTAGGACGTTTGTTGACGAGGAACAGAAGCAATAGGGAACGGGTGACCGCAGCGTCCGGGACTTTCTGAAGAGGTTCCGCATAATGACTCCACAGTCACCTGAACAGTCACCTCAGCAGCCAACGGAGGACTCACCTTATTCGCCTCCGCCAACTATGCAGTCAATCGAGCAGTCAACTAATCCGCTTCCACCATCTACATGGACATACGCTCACACCGCGACGCTACAAACCGACCTCGCCAAATTCAGCTACTTCATTAATCACCAAGTCGGCAACACCTCAGAGCACGACCCCAAGCGACAGGAGCTAGTCGATCTTCTAAACAAGATGGTGAAATTCGACGACATGATGGGCCATATTGCTGCTCTTCACCCACACGGGAACCACGATGCAGGCGCTGCAGAAAATCAAGATGTCGCACAAGAAATTCCTACGAAGAAGGAACATATTCCTGAGCATCTAGAAGAACGGCACCATGGAACTACCAAGACACAGGGCACTCGAGAAAACTCGGAAGCATACAGGCAGCACGCCGGAGACGAGCGGTTCACGCGATGAATCTGAAATCAACACACCCCAATCGGCTGATGGAGGACGCCATGATGAAGGAGAAAGTGATTACGTGCCGTGAGAAGAAGAGGGTTGGGAAAATGGTTATCATCGGGAAGGGAAGGACTTGGGACGTACTCATCACAGAACACCGCACTTGGTAGTAATATAACGAGAGTACTATATCACACTATTAAGTACATACATGACGTACGAGTTAGATGCTTGGTGATATAGTAATCTCGAGTTTACCAGATATAAACTTGTCTCTGGTGCTGTACCGAGAATTGAAGGTGGATATGGTAGCCTATACAACATGGATGAGAACTATCAACAAAGGTGCAACATGTTTACGTAGTAGGTAGGGCGATATAAGATCTAAGGGCTGCACCACGATAAATGCTAGTAGTCCACTGTATCAAACGATAGTGATGATTTCAACCGGCGCATCACTGTTCTCGACGTCCTCGTGAGGAGAGACGTTGCCATCACTAACGATGCGATAAAAGCCCCCATCCACCTCGCGGAGGATTCGTACTCCACGAACATTTCCAAGCACGCATACCCAGTCACCAGGCTGCACCTCATCCCGGCTTGTACCAACAATATCCGTAGAAGTTACGAAGAGATCCGTGATGTTAGAGTCCCGAAGCATGTTGAGATAGTCGCGGCTCGCGTTCTCCCGCCAGGTCTGTGGGCTTACCATGGGATCAGGTGAGCTCACAAGACCTCGAAATGCCTTATATGACCCGAGCCAATCGTATGCTGGCTCCGACTGAGTGTTCCATGTAAAACCCGCCCGAACAGTTGAAAACCCGGTCGACAGATTAAAGACAGCCTTATCGATTTCCTCCGGGCTCCATCGCTTTTGTTCATCTAGAATTTGTCGGATCCTATCTAAAGACAACATGATCTTGTCTTCTTCTTCCTGCGCCTCCAGTGCGGACGTGGGCGAATCGACACCAAACCATCCTTGCCGGGAGTGCGGGATGCGTTTTATATGGCTGATCTGAGCAATACGTCGAGCGGACATCTTTAGTGCTTTGCTTCCTGTTGCAACATCACAAACCTCCACAGCGCTTCCCTCTAGCGTTATATCAGGCCCAGGATTGCGACACAACCTTGTGCTCGACCAGTCGGGAACCCACGATGGGAGATTTTCATATGTTCTTGAGAGGCGCCACATATAACCTAGCCATTTAGTCATCCCAGCTCGTATCAAAGCTTCGGCAAATTCCGTATATACCTCCTCGACTGATTTGGTGTAATCGGCTCGAAGTTCGCATTCTAGTGTGTCGCTGATCTGCCCGAAACAACTGTAGATGAAGTCTCTTGGATCAGACGACTCCAGCTCACTGCCAAACTCCAAGTGGTAACCATCAGACAGAAAGTCGCGCAAAGGAAGAGGCTTTGTAACTTTAAATCGTTCATAACTTCCAGACCATTGGACGCCTTCGAAAAGAACCTTAGATCGATAGAAAACCAATTGGCAGGCAAAAAGGTCTTCTCGGTCAATCTCGTGTTGGCCACAAATGAATATAACTTGTTCATTGAGTGCAACTTCTTGCCCAACCCACACGCGCTTAAACCATGGGCGACCGAACAGAGCGTTGATTGATTTGTGTGGTAAAGCTGTGTATTTTTCACGGAGATAGTCTCCCCAACCTGAGTGTGATTCTATGCCGATTGTATAACTTTCGATTTCCTGTATAGCCAAATCACTCTCGTCTGCCGCAGGTCCAATCCAGGCAATTACAAGAGCGGCAGATGAGAAGACATCGCCCATTCGCTGGACCTGTATGCTTTTCTCGTTCAAGTTGGTTTGATCGATACAGACAGCGTCTATCCAGAGTATGATGGTTTTGTCATCCTCCTGCAGATGCTCCAAAGCGATGGCGAGGTTTTCAGTAGCCCAGAAGATCTTATCACCGACCAGTATCGGGCGTCGAATGTGAGGATCGCCCCATGTGTAGGACAAGCCAATGTAGTAGGGCGCCTGCTCTTCAGCATCCGATAGAAGCTCGCAACGAACAACAGTTTGCCCATTGAGATCCATGTTTTGCGCTTTTGGAAGCAAATATAGATACCGGAGCTGGGTACTGGGGTCTTGAAGTGGTTGATGTTTGAATACTTCAGCATTTTGGATATCGAACGACCCCGAGTCTTCGAGGTATGTCAATCCGTCTCTCGTGAGGGTGGGTCCCCTCCACGTGAGAATCGATGGAAAGCGCCAAGGCGACTTCATATTCTCCAAGATCAGACGAAAGTTGACGCCGCTCCCGGTGGTGAAGCGGTAAGTCAACGCTGACTTGTAAGCGTCGCTTTCGGAGCGACATGACATCGCGACTGCTCATATGTCTGGATGCAGGACGGGGCACCAGAGCAGACCCTAGAAAAGAAGGTAGATGGTACTGTGTGGTGTTCAGACAGGTTGGTCGTCTAAAAGTTACAGATGTCAGCCTTGGCAGGAGCCTGAGGCTACCCCGTATTCGATCTAGTAAGGTGCCCGGGTGAGTACTGCAAACGCAGGCGCAGCCTCGGGTGCACTTATCGTGTTGCGCGTTCGTCGTATAAATTCTGAGGTCATATGCGATTGCTTACCTTTTTTGGAGTGAAAGTGGTGGTTCAGTTTCGCAATGTTGCTTCTCGGATAGGTGGGCGGTGTCTGGTACCATGGAATAGATTCCAGTAGCACCGTTTCGCACAACAACTATAGCGAAGATGCTCATCTTTCTAGAGACTCCAAGTCGTGTCGAGCAATCTGTAAACACATCTAACCCTCCATTTTAAAGCAGGATTGCAGCTGCCAGTTTTTCTATTCAAGCATCAAGAACAGTAAGCAGTAGACGTGACTCTTCTTCCCTCTCAACGTTGAACAAGACACGGAAAGACTCGGGATATGATCGAAAAACTGGGCTTTGATCAAGCTTACTATATGAGTAAGCACATGTACTGATGTTATGTTGCAAGAGTGAATGAAAAGTTCAGCATAACCTTGTCTTCAAAATACATCATTTAAAATCTCGCGACTGAATATAGGGTGTAGCTCAAGTCCAACGCGAGCTCGGAGAACTTGGCCAGGCTTCACAAGGTATTAGCGAGGAATACAAGTGGTGTAGACCGATGTCTCGACGAAGTGAGGATGCCATGGAGTAGCGAGAGGTAGTCCGTCTTTCCTGATCGTGAAGATCTACCTAAGCGGTCAGAGAGTAAGCAGGAAGAAAATTTTCAAACCCAGAATACTTGGATACAAAAGTGAAGCAACAAGCAAAGAGCTTCTGTACACCACCAATAATCGGAGGTCGCACCTAGTCTCGCGATGCAGTACATAAGCGCAAGTCAATCCCCTCACGCGACAACTCTAACCCCTCTCTAAAGGCCCGTATACCGGGCGGGTACATCAGCTTGAAGTACAAGCTCCCATGTCAACATCGGATAAACACTTTCAGCTATCTTCCGGTACAGATTACCCCTCGGAACGGTCAGGCATCGGCGCAGCAAGTACCTGTGCAGAGCCTCAGGTACCAAACACTAAGCGTAGTCTATGGATGCTTTTCGTGGTAACTCAACACCCTTCCGCGGCTCTTTTCGACGGTAGACATGCATGCGGCATACCTAATATCCGCGAAGATCGTTTGACTGTATGGTAGACGTGACTAACCGTTTCACCTAGCCTATCCGATCGTACGTCGATCGCCGCAAGCCTCGTCATCCGCAGTCGATGTCGTTGAGATAGTCTCTCTAGGCAGCAGGTACAGTAGAGCTGAAGCACTGTCCTTTTTCCACCCGCCCGGCAGCCGCAAAAGGAAACAAGACCGTTATACGCGTCTCGAGCATCGGCAAGACGGCCATGGGAATCGTAGTCCCGGGGTGGCGCAATAGCAATTCTGTGTAGTGATTGGAGAGCTACGCAAATCGTCCTCCGATATCACAGCGACGCCTACCACGATAGGGCAAAAGCAAACGCATGAGACTGGATCTACCGCCTCACGATAGCAGCGAAGCGGAAGGCGGAGACGCAGGACCCCTCTCACCGACGATTGACGAAAAAATTATCGATACCTCAACACGCTGATCGGAGCTCGTACGCGTTGCCTGAACGACGCACGCAGCGAACGGACAACGTCGGGGTTGGCTTGTCACTCTCGCGGAGCCTCATGCACTATCCATGCTTCAACCTTGATTGAAAGCAAATATGGCGGTGGGCGAAAGCTATGACGCAGGACAAAGTCCACCTGTCTAAACTGCTCGTCAATGCAGCGCGCTGCTGGGAGAAGCCTGGTTTCCATGTGGCTCGCTAAATGGACAGGCTTCTTCCCTATAACATGACTCACCGCTGAAGTGGTACTTTTTCGATGAGAGGGCGGCTGCGGAAGCGCGGAGTCTATTGCAGTGATAATGTGTGGCGAATATATTAACAGCATTCACAGGATAGAGAGCTGAATTGCTCGCGTGATCGCCTCGAGCTGTTTCGTCGAAAGGGTCATCGTCCGTGTGGCGAGAGTCGCTAAGTGTTTCAATTATTCGCTATTGTTTGACGGAAGCGGTCAAATCGGAGAAGCAGTAAGGCCGCCGGCGGTGACCTAGCCGATCGATGGCAGTGAGATGTAAGACGAAGCGGCCCAAGGCGATGGCGATGTTTGCCATCGGACGAGCCCCATCGCGAACGAGTCCGGACCCCCAGAATGATCAATGATAAGGTGTATTGCGCGTTGCTTGTGATAATTCGTCCGACGTCCGTGATGTTGAGGCGACATTCCGCCACAGGGGAATTCGACGTTTCGCTTGCCACATCCCTGCAACGCGAGTCGTTGTGCGCATGTGACTCGGAGCGCCCATGCCAAGCATGTGCACCGCCACACATCGTCGAGTCTGCGGATACTCGCAATAACGGTGTATTGAATTTGCAATACACGAGCGAATCGTTGGGCTCGAGGAATTTATTCTAGGAGGTGCGTCATGCAGCTAGAGCGCTCGCATGTCGACGACAGCTGTGCTCAGCTTGCAGTCGTGGCAGGCTAACATGGTTGCCTGGCGAATCCGCAGCGCCGCAGACATGAAACTGCATGCGATAGGGCTGCGCAAACCTGAGTGATGCGTCATAGCGATTATAGTTAGTACTCGCGGGTGTCGCAGTTGCTTCCATACCGCCGCGTTTGTCTCATCCTAGTGGTCGTCTTGAAGACAGGTGGGAATACGGTGTAGAATCGACGGCGCTTCGTATCTCGCAGGTCCACTTGGTGAGAAAGCCTCATTCTGAAATCAGACCATGACGGTAGTAGCATGCGGGTGCGGAGAAAACAGTTCTGCAGGTCATGGGGAGTCATAGCAACGCATGATGTTGGTGGGTGCGAAGGATTACGCAAGGTGAGTTGTCTGATAGCAAAGTGGGTACTGGGAATTTTGACGCTGCCAAAAAGTGTTGTGGGAAAGCTCGGTAGGAACGCAACCCGATGAGCCACAAGGACAAGGCCCGATGTGGTCCAATAAGGGCCGAGCATCGGGGTCAAAATACAAATGAGAACTGTGTGCCGAGAAATTACAAGGAGCGTGTTGACGGGAGATACCAGGCTGTATGCGTCCAAGGCGCAGGCTTCATGCACAGCACGGATACAAGCGTTCCGCCGGAGCCAGTCAAATTGGAAGAGCGAGGTACTTGCGCTGCGAACTTGCTTTATCGAGCCGTAGTAGGTGCGAGCGGGGAGATCAAACCATGTAACCGCGACCATTTACTTTGTTGTTGACGCTTTTGATCGAATCAAAACGGCGCCGCTGGAGCGCTATGCAGCCGCGAGTGGGCCCGACATCGACAGTACCATATGCCTTGGAAGACGACTGCAGACAGACGAAGTAGCGGTAAACAACAGCGTGCCCCAGGCCAGCGAGTTGGAGAGGCTGTGAGACATTCGAGAAAATTTTCACGGGCGGGAAATTAGTTTAGGTACATGAGCAGAGGGAAGTTCGAGAAGGGATCCGAGCAATAGAGTGCGGCTCTGAGCAGTGGACAGGGCCTCCCTAGCAGTGATAATCGGCCCCAAGCGACGCGGGACGACGTTGAATGGTGGACCTTCCGCTGTTTCGGAGGGAAGGACTCCAGCCAAAACCTACCCAGCCGTGTGCCGCGACGATGGGCCAGTGTAGCGTTTGTACTAGGCAAAAGGTAGTTTACCAATGGGTAGCTTAGGAAATGGTCGCGAGCTGAAGGCGACGCTGGATAGATGTCTGGAGATCAACTCGAGCTATATGTCGCTCGGTAGCTGGTCGGTCACGGCAGGATTGGCTGCGTACGACGACCATGTGGGAGGAGCTGCGCCGGTGCCAGCAGGTGCTCGCAGCCAGAGAAGCACAGGCAGAATGGGCCGTGTTTTTGCATCCGCGCTGCAGCGAGCCGCGAGTCCTGCCCAACGACGGATCTGGAGGGTGAAAGGGTGTGGTGGAGCTTTGTTGGCTGCAAGGGTGGCCGTTTGAAGAGGGTTCGGCAGCAAACGAAACACGCTGAAAACGGTGACAGCTGGGTCGAAGACGATGCTGCACGGCATGTAGGACAGCAAATGAAGGGAGGTACAAAGTCGCGGTGCTTACGCTAGCCATGCTCGAAGGGGCATCTCTGAGGGTGTCCAGGATTACGGGTATATAGCGAGCAACATGATGTTTCCAATATTACACATCCAAAACAGAACAAATATAAAACAGGCTGGGCGCAATGCTCGTTAGGCATCAACAGAGAGAGTGTGCCTAGATATGGCGTACACACTGTAGAACGCGTCCCGTCGACTGCGAGGGAAGAGTCAGAGAGCGGCTTGGACACTGTAGGGTTCGGGGCTAGCTTCCCAGAATACTCGTGGGCAATATGGGCAGGAGGCACAGCATGGTGCCATGGTCAATCTGACCCGTAGATGAGGGACTGCTAACAGCCGGGGTCCCTTGGGCTGTGTTAGTGCATGCATGGCGCCGACAGGGGGCGGCGTTAGGGTGGATGGGCATCCACAGTGGTCCGCGCGCGGAAAGAGCGAAAGAGGCTCGTCTCAAAAGCAGGCGCAGCCCGCCGTCACTTCCTCGTTTGCGCACTCGAGCATCATCACCACATATTACCAAGCACCCAGACGTCAACGTCTACACTCGACTAGGATCCTCCAAACTGGATCCTTCTGGCACCCTCTAGCAATTAAACGATTCTACACCCAATGTGCAGTAGACAGAGCCGGATTTCCCTTTCTCTCTCCTCCGTCGCTGCACCCCCATTCACATCCGCCCACTACCAACGCCCACGAAGACCCGCCTTCGGTTTGCACATCCCAAGGTGAAGCAGGCACCGGCCTGGGCTCCTTCCCATCGATCCCGCACACGAACTCCACCGCCGCCATCCATTGAGCCGCACACAGCGACATATCCACCAACATGTACGCACCACAGTATCCCACGCCACCCCCGGGCTACAACATGCCCTACGACCATTTCCGCACGACACCGCCCATGTCGCCCGGCCCCGGTAACAGCTACTACTCGCCGCGACACGCGCCCCAGATGGCGACCCCACGAGCGAGTCCCAAGGTTGCGGCCCACTCTCGACGGGCATCGCACGCCGTACCCCCCAACTACTCGTACGCCGCCACACCTCGTGGAGGGGCCATGCCTCAGTATGGCGCTGCAGACCCGCGCACATACGCGACGCCGAGAGGCACCCCTGAATATGTAAGTTATTTCGGTTACAATATTCCAAGTCGGCAACGCCGCGACACAGACGTCCCGCCTCTCAAGCGCAGCAATCGCGAGAGGAAGCGTCGAGCGTCGCAGTCGGCACGTCACGTCTACACCAAAGTTGTCTACGACGACCGAGGCCACGGCTACGAGCGCGATTACGACGTCTACGACTATCCACCACCGCCATACGAGCAGTATGCGCGCCACGACATGTACGGGAGGGATGCTGATCACTATTACTATGATCAGGTCCCTATTTATGATCCAGAGCCAAAGGCAACCAGCCGTCCACGACGCGCCTCCGCAGCAACCAGCCGACAGCCAGCCGCCTCTCCCAAGAAGCCCGCCCCCGCAGCTGCCCCCAAGACCAGCCCTAAGGCCACCGAAGAAGACGCGCGACGCGCTGGCATTCCCGCCGGCTACTCGTACAAGAACTGGGACCCCACAGAAGAACCCATCATGCTCCTAGGATCCGTTTTCGACGCCAACTCCCTCGGCAAGTGGATCTATGACTGGACTGTCTTCCACTACGGCCCCGCAACCCCTCTTGCCGAGATGGCAGGCGAGCTGTGGCTCCTGCTCATCCAACTCGCCGGCAAAGTGAAGAGGGCTGACGAGACTATGCCCAAGATTCGCAAGAAGGAGAACCACGAGATGGTTGAAGACTTCCTCGAGAGCGGCGAACGCCTCTGGGTCCGCTTTGCCAAGCTCCTCAAGGTCTGCGAGGACTACATGTGGAAGGCCGCTAAGAAGGAGAGCGGCAAAGAGAAGCCCGTTTCCATGGGCAAGAACAGCGGCAAGGAGTTTGTCGAGTCCATCTTCGGTCGTGACCGAGAACTAGAGAAGACCGAGAAGCTCATGACTGGAATGCGTCTCTGGTCCATGCGCTTTGATGCCAACTGCGAGGACATCCTACGATACCCATCTGCTTAGGATCCCCTTCCTTTCATACCTCGACGCTTTGGCGCTGGCGTTTTCTGTCTCGGTATACCCTTTCCCTTACCGTCATTGCTTTGCGCATTATTCGATGTTACCGCGAGATACCCTTTCTTGCATTTCGTAATTGTTAATCTTGCTGCATCTTGTCACGTTCACAACAATGTACAACACTACCGGGTTTCTCACGCATTGGGCGGGTCACAGGAAAAAGTCTGCTTTCTACTATGATATCCCCCCCCCCTTCTTACTTTGTATTGTTTTTCTAGCCTACCATCGTTATTTTGCTGTTTTGGGTTTCGGGCACGCAAGGTGTTCAGGTTGTTTACTTTGGGGGTACTAGGATACCACTACACTTTGTCTTCTGGGTTAGTCCACTAGATTTGAGAGATTCTCTACGGAACATCTCTATCAGAAAGATTGGTACCTCACGGTCAAAACTAGCTATACCCACTTACCACTCTATTGCTATCTACAAATTTATTACTTATTACCGAACCATGTACTCCCCATGTCCTCGTGCAAGTGCTTCTTTCGTGACTCACAAGCCCTGTCCGCCTATCAAACTCGCATGCGTCGCATTCTCCTACACAGTCATTATCAAAGTTTCCAACGGCGGCGATCTCCAAAAGCCGCGACCCCTGCATGCCAGCCACACATGGGCAATCTGAGACACAAGTAACCCTATCGCACCTCAGATCAGTCTCGGACACATGCTTTTGTGTCTGCAACACCTGAATTTCACATGCTTTCACACACCCTCTTCTGCCTGGGTTGCCACGTTCCCAGCCTCCCAGGAGCCGCTGTCGCACTGTGAGTCGCAGACTCATCACAGTCCTTTTAGTGAATCATCACGCACGATGGTGCCTTGTTGCAGCCAACGGGCGCTTGCGCATGCACATGGCCAACTTCATTGGCTGTTTCGGGCTGTCCTCAGCCTTACCATAGAAGAAGCGCTGTGCATGGAAGCCTGCTGCAGGTTGCGTCAAAGAGGCAAGGTCCTGATGTTTGCTTTTTCCGCGACCCCCATGGCTTAAACGTGGCGTGTGAAGGCGGGAAGGATTGCCACCGACAGCGTGCATGTGAGTTGGTGCCGCCTGGCGCTGGCCCTCTAGATTGGTAGAGTGCAAGGACAGCGGTTTGCTATCTTGATATCGTTCCGTGCCGGGAAAAGAAATAGGGCATTGCTCACATCTGCGTGGAGGAATGGTTGGGTTAGACATTGGTGCACAAAGTGCTATTTACGACTGCGCTGTGGGTGGTAAGGCCCAGGGCTTCGGGCTGGACGTCGCACAGTACCTACAGCTCGCGCATCGCATGCGACGATGACATTACAGCGAATCTACCTACTGTCCCGGCACCCACAACACAGTAAACCACCCCTTAATAGCGGCCACATATGCGGCTCAACGTTATCAGCCTCCTTCCCTGCCTCGCCTTCCTCATAAAGTTCCATGCCACCCCATCCCGAAGCTTAGCGCACGCGTCCCTTCCCATTTCAAGATTAAGAGGCGTCGCGTTATCCCTGGGCACGGGAACTCCTTTGATAGGCACACTCTGCCTTGATCCCCGGTTATAACACGAGTCAACGCTGCGCAAGGGCACCCTGACATGGGGTGATTAGGCAACAGTTTTGATAGAGTTGCAGGATTGGCATCATTCTGCGTTTTGGGATCGACAGGCACAGAGACACTGCCCGTCGTCGGGAGGCTCGGATGGAAGGGACGGATGGTGTATGGTTAGTATCAGGTATGACAAAAGACGCGAGGATGGGGCAAGGAGGGTTCCACGGGATCTGTTGGCTAGAACCAGGGCTATCGGCTTCCACGACAGTCTCTGCCAAGTTACCGTTGTTTAGCTTTTCGGTTTTGGTGGGTGTCACGAGCTGAGTGAGCGCTGTTGGATTGCGCCGTGCTGATTGGGTGAGGCATCGCATCTTTCTTCTTTTGTCATCAGTGCTTTCCACGGCTGAATGAGTGTGGTACTTGGATCGTTTGTGCGAATCGCTCCAACGAACGAATAGCATTGTTCTACTCCGGAGGTAGCACATGCGATCGCTTTCCAGATGACCTTTGCGTCCCAGCAAACATGTCTGCTTCTGGACCTTTCTCCGTCGCGCCGGATCGCGTTCCGTCGCAACTATACGACATCATTCCGCTAGACAGGCAAGCCCATCACATCACCATGGGCGAGCACTTTGCCTGATTATCCCAATCGCGTCAATGCAATGGGTCGCGAAAATGCGAATCCAGGGTGCATGTGCAAGCCTCGCAGAACACCTGATGCCTACACTATCGCTATCGTCAAACTTACCAGCAGTTCATGCAGAAGCGTGACATATACACACACACACACACAGGCCATGCCATCGGCGAGGGACTACGGTGTTTCAAAACACGTGGCCGGTGCCATCGTGCATGAACCGGTCCCCTATTCCAGCGTGCGCGCACCCCAAGCAGCAAGCGAAGCGAGGGAATGTTGGCAAGCCGCGGCATATGACGAACGCCAGACTAAACCCCGCCTAGACCCACCCGTCCAGTTCCTCTCCCCCTCCTGCTATCCACTTTTGTACCCCGCTGCCACTCCGCGTGAACCGCCTTTGCCTATGTCACTTTTTCGCCTACTTCCAAGGTTTTCTTTTCACCTCCCGCGTCACAGAGCCGGAGCGGAATTTTGGAATCATGACGGCGGGGAGATGGACGCGTGGGTCACAAGGTCGTCATGCATCGGTCAGTGCGAGATCATTCATGCTGTGCGAGCATCGAGATCGCGGCTGTTGGCAAGTTCTGGCTACGATTATCGGAGCTGGCCGATGCGTAGCTTGTGTGGTACAGTACGTTCACGGTGAGGGGTGTGGAGGGGTCGAAAAGTTTGAGCCAGAGACATGCCACGTCTATACCGCTCCCCTCTGGCGTTCTGCTCTCGTTACATTGACGAATGAGCGATCTGGCTATATGCATCGTGGGTGTGGTCAGCTGCGCTTTTCGGTTTGCTGGTGGGTGGCTTCGGGCTGCGAAATGGGCGATTAAGCGCTGTATCCTCTGCGTGATTGGGGTTCTTTTGTGAAATGCCGGAGAAATGCGTGCTGGGAGGCAGACTCGGATAGGCGTGTGCATACATGCATTATTTCTTCAGCGGCACTTGCACTGGAGAAAGACTAACCGCTGGTCTAAGGGCAGGTGACAAGCAGGTATGATGTAACCTCAAGTCGCAAACGTGCTTTCCAAGGACGACTCAACCTGGCGGGTACACCACGAACTACCCCTCCACGTCCAACGTAGCAACACCTAAACAATCTCGATCCAAAGCGCGACCTTCCCTCAGACCAGGACAGCCATATCCCTTCCACCTCCCACGTGCCCTCGCCAGCGTCACCAATCCTTCCCTGCGCATAAGCGCCAGTAACACCACCCCTCCATCTACCCACTACCCCTCCAACACTCATTCCATTCCCATCACCCTGCCGCAAGGGGCCGTCAAAATAGCCCTTTGTCCACACTAAACAACCCCTCCATTGTATAGGCTTACTATGCGTCAAAGATCGTCCCTTATCAGGTACTATCTTTGCTATTCCTGGGCCGTGAACTGCAGGCACTGCGCATGCGAACACCCTTCTAGCGCGCCGATTGTTTGTTTCTATTTCAGTCATCACATGCGAGCGGGGTAAGGACGAGGCTGCATTCCGGGCTTATGTGATGGTGTATTGTATTGAACTAACCAGATGGAGATCGACATCGATGCAAGGGGGGAAGTGTGGTTACACGACAGGGTAAGGGATCTGTAGGGTTGATTTTGTGCCTTTCAGAGATGATTTTCGAAGTTTATGAGTACTTGCAATCGTATGGTATGTGTTTGATGGCCAGTGTGGCGAGTAATGCCGATGATTGAGGTGTAGTCATTGCGGTTCTGACACTCATATCCAACTAGATAATGGGCATCAACTCGTGCATACAGAAGAGCTGGTCTCGAATGTGGTCAAAATGCAGTTGCCGTGCGGCGTATGAGGCGTAGTTGAATTCGTTATCAGGTGTCGTGTGCTTGAGGTGAGAATAATTCACCACCATTTCACTGCGATGATACCATGCGTGTAATACAAAACTTCGACTTTGATTGCTCCAATTATTAGCATTGAGTGCTTCTACGTATCTCTCCCTGTCTCGTATTCGTTACCCCACCTTCGTCTGGAACCGATATGTCGAAGGCCGTAAATTCGATTGCAACGCAAAGAGACGACGGTGGTTATAGTAAGGGCGACTTTCCTATCGACGAGGCTGTACTTCAGAATAGATACATAAGCACGCACTACTTAGTCTTTACTGATATCTTCGATAGCTCTACCTGAAGGTAGCAAAGTCCTCTCAGCCAACCGCCATGGCTTCTCTGACTGGACCGTCACTACCTGCTTAGTCGTAGTCCTCCCCGATGGTGCCGAGAAGAATTACTTCCTCAAAATCGCCACCGATGAAGCCGGCCGGGTAATCATGGAAGGCGAGTACAACCCCATGACCTCACTCTACGAGATATCGCCATACTTCGTCCCCAAGCCCCATACCTGGGGCAAATCCAAGCTGGAAGCGCCGGAGACGTACTTCTTCTTATGCGACTTCATTGATATGACGAATCCTCTGCCAGAGCCTACCCTCTTCTGTGCCAAACTCGCGCAGTTGCATAAATCCAGTCAATCGCCAAAGGGAATGTTCGGTTTCCCCATCCCAACCTGAACTCAAAATAAAATGTATATCAAGTCAACGTACAGTTCCTCGAAACCGTATGTTGTTATGAAGAGAGTCGACAGTGATGCTTGAACACAGCAGTAGGTCATATAGAACAAGCCATTGATGAGCATGATCAGTGTGTTCTCTTTCTGCCACAGTGCTTTGAAACAGGGCTTCAGACTGGGAATCTGTATAGGCTGTACATCGATCTTATTCTCAGAGCCCGTTGTTGCCGACGTGTTCAATTTGAACTTCACCTGTGTCAGGCAAGATCTGTTCATGAGGCGTGTAGGCATGACAGATCCGCTTCCGACGATCTTGCGAGCGGTTTCAGGTAGTGTGATAGCGAGTACACAGAAGTTGATGCTGGATAGTGTTGCAAGGGTCCAGAAGATCCAGGGTCATCCGGCGTATTGGACGAGTATGCCCCCTAGAACAGGACCAAGACCGGGCGCTACATTCGGGCTAGAACATGTCCAAAACGTGATTATAAAATACCCCAACAGAACTGCTCCAATGTATCCACCTCGCTCAGCAGGCGTAGCAATATCACTGACAACAGCGTAGCCAAACGAAATCGTACCTGAGCGATGCACCCGTCAGCCATACTCTAACATCAACACACTCCCATAAACCCACCGCCCGAACCCGCACTCTGCACCGTCCTCAACACTAGCAACGCCGGACAACTCCTCTGAACCGCCAACGCCACATTAGCAACAGTATACGTAAATATCGCAAACAGAAACAGCAGCCGACGACCCATGGTATCAGCCATATCACGCAGTAGGGAAGGCGCTATCCCAGATACAAGCATGTAGGTCGTGATCGACAGATTGGCCATCGTGAGGGTGACGTTTAGGTCCTGGGCGAGATTGAACAGTGCGGGATAGTAGATGAAGCTGCTGAGAGGGGAGAAGAGGCCTGCGTATGCGACGAGGAAGACGATCCAACGTTTTTCGCTGCGGGTGAAGATGGAGTTTGGCGGTGTGTTGAGTGGTTGGTCTGTCTCTGGAATGGGAGCGACGGCTGTAACTTTTTCGCTCATACTGGGCGGTCTCGGTACAGCAGTCTTAGCGATTGCGTTGGTAGATGGCCAGAACTGCAGTCAAAGAGGGTCGAGTGCTGGCCCTGGCAGAAAGGATGTACCGATTGGTGGCTATGCGCCGCAGTTGGTCCGTTGCCATCCTTCTGAATGACAAGCGAGTGAGTCATGTGACGGGATATACCTAGGTATACTGGCTATATCCGGGACTGTTCCTACGCAACCGAGATGCCAGGTGTTTGTGGCCGCACTGCCCTTATGAGACATCTTGACTGCACCGGCCTCACCAAGTAGTCTCTACAGACGACCTCGAATTGCCGTCCAAGGAACTTCGTTGCTGAAATGTATACTTCATGGAATTTGCTATACTCACGTATAGCCAGTCGCTGCTAAGCGTGACTTTTCATACTATCATCTATGGATCGTGATTCTCATTCAACCTTCCTAGCTATTAACTCCGACAGTGTGGTATCTCATGTCAAATACGCACAGCAACGAGAAGATGATGCCTCCGAGTAGTACTGCACACCCTCACAGTCCACAGACATTCCTGATCCATCCCACGGATAACTCCCACTTGAATCCACCAACTACGCAGCACTATCTCTCAACCTCTGCTGTTCCTCCTCAGTAAGCTGTCCAAATTCCTCCGCGAACCCCTGCGTAGTAGCTGCGCGCTTGAAGAAATCCACAAGGAAACCCTGAGTCTCGTCGTCGCGCTGACGGCCACCGCCCGGCTCTTCCGCTGCAAAAGCCATGAGTTGTTCTTTGCTGAAGCCACTGCCGAGGTCCATGAAAGGGTTTGCTTCGTCTTCCCATTCGCCATCGTCGGAGTCTTCTTCGGCAAGCTCAGCAGCTGCTTGTGCATCCAGGGGTGCGCCAGAGGCGGATTGGAGTTCGACGACGAGGACTTTGAGGATCTTGAGGGGTGCAGGTACTATGGTATACTTGTCAGGATCTGAATTCGTGTGTCAGTTTGTGGATGGGCGTAAGAGGAATTTGTCGCACTTAACGCGATAACGACACTACGGCCTACAAATTTGCTCCACAACATGACAATCACTGTTTCAGTGGCGAAGATAGGGATGTAGACGAGAAGGAAGAAGACTCACTAGCTTTCGCGCGACTCCTGGTCATGATGCGGCCATCGGTATTCGGTATCAAGTCACCCTGCACTTGCACCTGTGCAAGACGAGGGTCCTTCAAATCGTACAGTTTCGAAAGAGCGATGACACTGCGAAACAAAGTCAGCAATTATGCACAGTCAACGAATAAACGAAAGAAGACGAAGGGGGAGTTCAACTTGTTGCGAACGATCTCAAGCCTTCCAACAGGCTTTCTCCGTTCGTAAGAGAACTGCTCGATTTCCGGAGAGGTTCGTACGTACTTTTGTCGGATCTCGTCGTAGCCGGCGAAGTTGATCGAGTTTTCGAGCCACTTGGCTAGCACAACCTGGAGGCCGTTTTGACCCTCGATGTCCTGGCCAGCCAGGAAGTCTACCACCTCTGAGGCATGGTTCAAGCTTAGACGCGCGAATACGAGCGTCAGACTTTGGATGAACTGTGCTTGTGTTGCTTGGCCTAGACGGACAGCGACGCTTCGTAGGAGTTGCTCTAGGTAAGGTCCAAGTCGTTCGTGGCCGGCCTTCTCTACTACCTCTGCGGCAAGCGCACCGACTTCGCCAGCAGCATGGTCGCTGCATGAAGACAACAGACGTGAGACGATGATGAGAGTTACCTCAAGACCTGCTTTTCCGGTGTCATCCCGCCATTCGAAGAGCTGTTGGTGGTCGTGCGAGATGATGTTCTTTACGGCAGTCGTGGCAGACTTCAGCAGCTCCTCATCGGCAGAGCCTAGCAGGACTCTTGTGAGCTTTGGCATAGTTGTAGCGACAAAGCCAGCAGGGAGCGGCTCTGGTCCATGCTCAGCCATGACAGCCAGAAGGTCAGCCGCAAAGTTGCATAAAGCATTCTCCTCCGTCAAGCTTCCGACATCAAAGGCACCCATAAGTGATGGAAGCACCCTTGCGCACAGTTGAACGTATGCATCCCCGCCCATTTGTGCAATAGTCTCCGTCACCTCTTCGAAGGCCTCGGTGACTAGCATTGTGAGTTGGAAGTTGTTAGCTTGATGACTAGCGATCCGGAAAAGTGTGTCAAGACCGTTGTCCGTGATGCATATGCGCGTATCGATAAGTATGGCGTCTCGCAGTGTTTCGACTAGAGTGACCATGAGATCCTCACTGTCGGCGAGCTCTGACATGTCCTGTGCGGCAAGATAATTGCTGATGGCCATGATGATAGTGTTTTGAATGGGCTGTGTAACCGCGGGTGGGAGCGCCTGAAGATAGTATTGCAGAGCGCGGATACATGACACTTGGACAACGTCGGACTCGTCAGATGGAATAGCCTGTAGCGATGCCTCGAGGAAGGATGTGCCGAGCTGTTGTAGAGCGTTTCCGGATGTCCTTGTCAAACTTCCAGCGACAAGGTAACCGCGTGCTCTTAGGAAAGCGTCGGGCTGCTGCATGGCATATCGGATGAAGTCCACATAGCCGCTTGCAGCATCTGGACTGATCTGCTTCTCCACGTCCTGGAAATCGCTCAACAGTTGGTTCAGCACGAAAAGCGCAGCTTCTTTAGCTTTCCAGCTTTCTGACTCCGAGTAGAGCGCTCTCGTGTAGGTCAACAAGCCATTGACAGTGGGCTCTGTCAGCCACTCGCCAAGCTTGATGACGAGGTCACCACAGGCTGTGCGGGGCGTGTAGTTCGCGGTTACGCTTGTCTCCTCGCTCAGGAAAATGTTTACATCCACATCCCAGAGGCCCTCTTCTTCTGTAGTGATTTGCGCATACGCCACGGCCAGCTTCATAACCTGGGTGACCCATGAGTTGTCGGGTGTCTGATTCCGGAGTTCCTGTTCGAGTTGTGCGCGGACTGGGGGTGCGCGAAGACACGCCTGCATAAAGTCCAGCTCCTCGAGGATAAGGAAATCCAATGTGTACGGCAGACCGTCGGCATCCTCTAGCCTGCTTTGACGATCCTCTTTTATGTACATGAGAGAGTACGCGGGTTCTAGCAGGGATAGCTCCTGCCAGGTTGCCTGGAACAGGACGATGCTTTGCGGCGAGAGAATAGCGGGGAAGACGGACCGTATGCGCATGAGGACCTGCGAACTAGTTAGTATCGGAAACACCTCAAACGGGAAAAGCTGAACAGGCCTAGAGGCTACATCAAGATGAAAACATGCAAAGTGGGTAGCCTAACGTCGATGTAGCGTAGCCTCCAGGGTATTCAGTTTTTGACACAACCTACCTTGACTGACTGTAGCTTGAGCGCAATCTGGCCCTTGTAAAGCAGGGCATTGGGCGCATCCGAGTCCTCCTCTGCGATTGACGGCGGATCGGGTAGTCTAGTGTTGAGGACATTGACGAAGAAGGGAATCCACTCCTTGAGTATTTCATCGGCAAAGCCCTTGACCATAGTCTTGTGATCCTCCAATACCATCTCGAGGATATCGAAGCAGCCATGGAAGACTTTCACAGCCAAGGCCCTCAACGTAGGTTTTGTTTGATCGCTGGTGGCCACATTGAACAGAACCTTGATCATCTGAGGCGCTACCTGGAAGAAGGTCGTCTCGTTGAAGCAGTCCTCCACCAGCTCACCGAGGACCCTCAGCGCACCGTGTAGCTGGCCTTCGGTCGCATTCGGTATCAAGGCGAGAAGGTTATCGAGGAGGTCTGGCCATTCGATGGGGTAATCGGCGCTTGCGATCTTGCTCACGACGAGGCCCGCGGCGGCCTTGAGCTTGCGGTCGAGTCCGTCCTGGGTGGCGAGGGTGAGCAGCTGCTGCCGTAATATTGCCTTGTTCTCTTCCGAAACGAGCGCCTGTCCCTTCCACTCGTCGAGGCTGGAACTCCATCCCGCCAGCACAATGTTCTTCAGGTACAGGACGGCGGCCTGGCGGATGTTGAGCGGCACGCTGTCATGGCAGGCGATGCCAATGAGGCCGAGGGGGAGCTCCTGGTGGCCGTAGAGGGAGAGGAGCTGCTGCTCAGCGTGTTTGCGCGTGTCCTCCTGGGCGGTTTGGGTTGCTGATAGCAGCTGGACTAGTTGGTCCTCCATGGTCAACGTGGGGCATGCGCGTATAGAGCTAGTCGGCACGTCTAGCGCTCCCCAAAACGGCTGGCGAGGTAGAAGGATCGGTTGTTGACGCGTTTGTTGATGGGTGCTGCTGGGTGATTGAGCGCGAGGAAAAAGAACGCGCTCGGAGATGCGGGGCAACTCCGTGAATCTCTGGGTGGTGGGGTGGCTAAGCGGATGCTACAACTGAAGCAATAAGCCGCGACGACTAGCAGATGGGTATAGAGGTCAGAGACTGATACAGAAGTAAGGTGGAGTATAGCAGCTGGGCTATAACGAAGGGGGAGGTGGCCAATTGCCCGACAGGCGGTGACGACGATGCCTCTTCCCAGTTCCCGGTCGGTGGGAAACGCGACTACCCACTACATCGTCCCTCCTCCACGACTCTCCTGGCTGCCACGTTGTTATTCTCAACAATGCCAGGGGCACTCGATACAACATACGCACGACGTCTGCCCTCCGATCAGCAACCCTACCAGAGCCTTGACCGTTATCCATCGACACGCTAGCGGCTTTCACGCGACGAGACGCGACGGAGTATTTCGTCATGACCACCACCACATACTACTAGTACAGCGACCGAGAACACTACTTCGGAGACTTCATACGCGACATAGTACACACCCGAGAGCGAGATCGCGCTCCTACTACCATACGTAATACACCTACCGCGACGATGCCGACAACCTACCTCGAAACCCTCAACCACTTCACCACCTTCCTAATCGCCTACACTCACACGCTCCTCTACCACCGTGACATCTACCCCTCCACCTCTTTCGTCCGCTCCCGCTTCCACAACACACTCGTCTACCAATCGCGCCACCCCATGGTCTGCGAATGGATCACCGACGCCATAACCGCCGTGCGCGAAGAGCTCCTCAAAGGCGTCGTCTCCAAGATCGGCATTGTCATATTCACCTACAATGAGTATGATGAAGGCTCAGGTAGCGCCAAGATAATGGAACGCTACATGTTCGACGTGAGCGAGTTCCCTGTTGTGGAACGGCGAGATCGCATGTTGGATATTGAGTTTGAGGGTGGCACACCGGAGATGAAGGGAAAGGGAAAGGAGAAGGAAAAGGAAAAGGACAAGGAAGAGGAATACAACGATGATGGGACTATAAAGAAGAGAAAGACGAAGCCGGTGGATACAGGCGTCGATGTTAATCTCAGTGAGCAGTTTCGCGCGGCGTTGCTGCAGCTGGAGATGCGGACGTCCAGGCTGGAGCCTCTGCCGGAGAATTGCTCGTTCAATGTTAGTATGGAACTCAAGGATGAAGGCGATATCGATCCGCCAATCGGTCATCCGCAGGTCTGGCAACCGGTCCAGCCTAGTCTGCAAAAGACGGGGAGGAATGCGCTGTTTAGAGATAGGGATGTGTTTGATGAGGAGGCGTTTGAGTTGGGCATACGGAGGGAGAAGGAAGGAAGAGACCTGGGCGGGGCTAAGATCACGCCGATACGCAGTGTGCAAGCGGGTGTTTTCAGGTTTGAGAATTGGATAGAAGAAGGCAAGGCTAAGTTTGAGAGCCCGGAAGACAGTATACAATCGAGCTTCTCGAGTTTTTGACCCTAGATGGTTGCACAAATCAAATTTGTAACTACAAAGCTCTGTGGAGTATGAAGATTCTTTGTCTCTGACCCAGGCTCCTGTAGTCTTGCGACAGCCAGATGCGCTGCAAATACGGATTTCAATAGATTCTCTGTATTAAAGATAAGTCTGCCTACTAAATAGACCTTCTTCAGAACTTCTATCGCAGGTAAGTTGTGTTATATGCTCCAGCCCCAGCCGCGCCAGCAGAGGCAGACCTAGAGTCCCAGTGCCACCATCATGCTATGCTATAGTATGAACCCCATCAAACGAAAACACACTATCTGCCATGGGCCTGGGGCGCCATACCACGACGCCGTCGCCTGTCAGCTACCATCGCAGCAGCCGCTACCCGCCGAGCCTCAAGCAGAGCATCAAGATTTTGTTGCCCTACACCCAACCGCGCGCGCTCTGCTGCAAGCTCCTGCTGTCTAGTTGCCAAATTCTGACGCACGGTTATCTGCTGCTGATCCTGGCCAAGTCGAACGTTTTCCAGGAAGCGGAAAGCCTCGCGAGCATCGCGCTCCGCCTGTTCGCCGTTGGCAATTTGATGAGGGCCGCCCAGTTCCGGTCGGGCATTGCGGCGACGAACAGGAGGATCGCCAATTACTCCACCAGCAGGAGGATGGTGGGCTGGCCGGCCTGGTCCGTTGGCTTGCCCCCTCAGATTGACGAGTGGCGGGATGGGGTTGGGTGGAAGCATGGCCCAGAGGGCATTGAACAGCCGAGGTCTAGCAATATTGGTTAGGCGGATGATACAAGTGACACCGTGGACATGGCGCGATCATTGGAATGGGACGTTGAATGTATGGCCGATATGGCTGTTGTGGAATGGCTCCGTAGAAACCCATAGGCTGAATGGGCTGAGCAGGATAGAGATGTTGATAGAATGGGAACGGTTGGACGGGATACCCATACGCAGGCACGGCTGGGATGGCTGGGTGAAGGTGGACATACCGATCTGCTGGGGCGACATTTGCTGCTGCTGCAACGAGGTGAGCCGGCGGCGCAGGTACTGGGGGCACCATGGGGGCTCGCCTGAGCTGCTCTCCAACCATGTGGTAAGGGAAGGCTTGCGCTTCTACGCCTGCTCGACCTTTCCGTGCATCTTCTGCTTGCTTGACACGGTCTGAGACCTTGACCATCAGATCTGCATCTGATAGGCCCGGATTATCGAGTCGGACTTTGGCCATGGCCTCATCAGCTGCTCTCTTGACCTCCTGTTCGTGGCGGTCTTCGACGTTCTCGTGCAGAGGGCATTTGCCTGCATTAGACTCGCCAAAGTGGTTATAGTCGGTCACGTTCTTGGAGCAGACGTAGCTAGGCTTTGGTTAGCTAATGTCGGAATTTATTAGGTCAACGACATACCATTGCACATTCCTACAGTGCGTGCATGTCATCTTGTTGCAGCCAAGTTCCTTGACGAAAGGATGCTTGCATTTGTTGCAGTGTCGTATCAAGGCTGCCGACATCGCTTCTTCGACAATGTGTCGTAGGGTGATCTGGCCATCCTTCTTGAATTCCTCGCAGCTGAGCGGAATGTGGGACTCCTTTTCACAAAGGCGACAACTTGTCTTGCTGCATTTGGGGTTTTGACAGCGGAACTCCTTATCGACCTCAACCGGTAGACATTCCATCTTGAAGTCGCAGAACGGGCATTCCGAGAGGAAGTCCAAACCTGCCGCTTCCAGGTCTTCTCTTTGCTGCATGTGCTCGAGTCGCTCGAATGTCGTGTCGCTCAAGACCTGTTGCAATTGTCGCCGGGTGAACGTTCCGTTGCAGTCGTCGACTCCGAAACACTTGGGTCTGCAGCGAGATTGACCCATCTGCGTCTCAATCTGTTGACGAGGACAATCTACACAGTAAAAGTGGGCAGTTTCCCCGTTACAGCTGATCATGCGGTTGAGAGGAATGTCGTTGAAGCAGCATGCGCATTCGCCCATTTCATTGTTCATCTGCGCTCGTTGTAAGTTGGCTTCTTCAGCCTCTTCCTCGTTTTTGACCTTTTGGCGCTTAGCTGTGAATCGTTAGTAGTGAGTAAATGAACGAGATTGCACGAGCTTCGCTGTTCCAAGATACAGGGCTCGTGGACCCTTTATTGATCTTCGGGAAGGTTATGATTGCAACATCGCACTTACTAGCTTCAGCCTCGCTTTTCTTCTTCGCTGCATGCAACTCCTTGGGTATCTGACTGCCTTGCTCGATCAACTGGACTTCAATACCGCGCTTGATGCGTGACTTGTTTATCTTTGAATATGTCCTGGCAATCTGTCCGTAGTTGCGCACTTGTTGTTCGATGACACCGTAGGCCTTGTAAAGAGTCTTCTGCTGTTTGAGAACGTTCGTGATATGCCGTACTGGTACGGTGAGGAATTCGTCTTTAAGCAGCTCTGTTCTGTGGAAAGTAATGTTAGAACCACGAACGAAAGAGGTAGGGAAATTTAAAGACGGCGCGAAGACGCTGGAGGTGAGTACAAAAAGTAGCAGAGGACTATAGAGTTGTTGTTGAGGTTGCTGTTACTGCGCTGGCCCATAGCCGAATTGCAATGGCCACGACAGTCGTTCCATGGTTCCAGATGTAGCAAAAAGCTCGCTTCACGATGCACCTGGAATGGTGGCTACCAATCAACCCCGATTATTATCGCTACAGGACATCACTGAACCACAACGCTTGTACTGAAGTATCTGTGAAGGAGTTGTACTTACGCGTCATGTTCATAACCGCCGATTTCTTGATCACGCTCACCCTTCTCATAGGTGCTCAACTCATCCTCGGCTTCGTCGTCCCTTTTTCGCTTTTTGTTCTTCGCGTCATCTGCTTCTTTGGGATAAGGTTCGCCTTCCAATAATTCGGTCAGGAAATGCTCGCATTGTGCAGTTGTTCGTGTGGCGTCTGTCATCTTTTCTTGAATCAATTTGAAAACGTAATCGACCGAAATATCCGGCAGTACACTCAGAACCATCTGCAAACAGGCAGCTTCGGTGACCAATGCGACGTCCTCACCCCAATCAGGAGCTCGTCCCTCTGGCTGTGGTGCATCGTCTTCTATCACAATAGCGTCAGACGGCGGAACGTCAATGTCTGGGATGCCGGACAAATCGATCAATTCGCGGTCGTTTGCCTGGAATTCTGCGCGGAACTCTGCGATAGGGTCATCCAGGTCCGGGAAGTCGAGAGCGAATTCTGCTGCAGATCGTGCGTCAAAGGCCTCCAATTCGTGCCTTGCGAGGCCTTCGTCCTCCGTCTCACTATCGGAGAGCAAGTCAACGACTTCATGATCGCGATGAATGCCAGTTGGAGGCATAGTGAATCTATTTTTATAATAGTCGTAAGGCTGGTTGACAGGTAAATCTCCACCTCGAATGGTTGCTATCGGGTGTGCGTCTAGACCGAGCGATTTAGAGGTTCTTGTGGACCTTGGATGGAGGGAACCAAATAATAAACATTAATTTGTACTTAGTGGGGAAACCTGGGGAAGGAGTGAGGGGCGATGGAACTGCAAACGCGTGTGGTGTTTACGTGATTCAGACCAGCTCAATTCACACGCACGTAGCCTTGTCGCTCACCCCACCAGTTGTCGGAGGCCTCCAGCTCTCACCGACTGATAGGCACTAGTTGAAGGAGAGAAAAAGAAACAAGCGAAAGTATGAGAGGGCAGGTTTCACACTGCAGCTCGCAGCGACGTGAGTGTTCCAGGTGCAGGCTGCTGGGAGATCGAGGAGCTATCGCGGACAGCCAGCGGAACGGGCAAGGGCGCCAGTCAGGTAAGAGAGCGGAGGCAATAGCTATGTGCTACAACAGCGCACGTCAATAAAAAGCCATGACAGTGCCGCCAGCGCTCAGCGAAACAGAGATGACATGTCGTCGTGAAAGGATGCTGCGCCGCTCTCAGGGCTCCGGGCGGGAGATGGGCGTCTCGCCCAGATGATCGTGCAGTTCGCTCCAGGCCCGCTAGCCCAGCTGCCGCTAACCGCATCATCACGAGCCTGCGCGCGCGTCGCACAGGGCTGAGAAGAAGCAATGTCTGTAATCGGTCTTGGTGATGCTGCCAATGATGTGCGAAGCTTTTGAGGCCATGACACGCAAACTGCTGGCTTATTCCCTGGCTACATGCAAGGCCCAAGCTACTCGCGAATCGGACTGGCGCACATGACCCGTGGGAAGCTGTGACATCCAACCTTCGCTTTGCTACGGCACACCTCGGGCCGCGAGCAACATGATGTAGGCTCGGAATGCCTGGAGGACATACGGGGTCAGCTATAAGATCACACGGAGCTCAAGGCAGGATGGGGCCACCAAAACGCGGGGCGCCCTTGACTAGACAAAGAACTACATGTACCAACTTCCTCTTCTTCCTTAGCTATCCGCATCCTACAGCGAAATCGACGTAACTTGGACCCGCTATTTACTCTTTCCTGAGTCGTTACTGCCACTTGATCTGGAAGACTGCAGCTGAGCAGGACCGAATCCGCACCTGTCACGCCCTACGACAAGTGTAGTCAATAGCTAGATATAAGACCCTAGCTATCTTCGCCAAAGGTCAACCTATTAGATTAAGACTCGACATACATCTGCCCTACATAAATTACTACAACATGGCCATTGCATCCATTCTCGAGAACCTCAAGGACGGTGGCTCGCCTGACCTAGAACTCGTTCACCCTACCGAAGCCGAAAAGCAGATACAGTTCAACGCCAACGCAAACGAATGGCGCGGTGCTCTATCTAAACCTGCTTACTTTCGTCGCGAGGCCACACTTTCGCAAACAACCCTCACACGTGATGGCGGCATTTCATACTGGATCCTAGCCGACCCTGACAAAACTGTGTCAGAAGACCCTTGGAACCCAGATTCAGGCACCCAACTACCAAAAGGCACTCGACTACCACTAGCGAGCTGCGAAACAATCCGGAAGAAGGCGCTCGTGTGGCAGAACAGAGAGCTCAAGGAAGTCATCTGCCATGGGGTCGGCAGTGTATTCTGCGCAAAATCTCTCCGCGGGAAGAAGAAGACCGATGGCCCCTCGTATGCGAGTAGGATGCTGACAGACCTTGGGGAGAGGCTGAAGACCTACCAAACAGAACATGGCCAAGAGTGCTTGTTCTCGATCCTGTACTCTGATATCGGACCAGTAAGTAGCTCTGACATTCAAGAAACGTATATTGCTAACAAAGACAGGACTACTACGCCAAGTTCGGCTGGGAAAAATTTACGTCGTCACATGTCTCTATCCCCGCGAGCACATCTCAAGACACGAGCAGCTTACCTACCGCTCAGCCATTGTACGCGCAGGATCTGGAGGAATTATGCAAGATCGACGAAGCCCTTCTCCGCCGGAGCCTAGAGTCGCGACCCAAGGATAGCAACACCGCAGTCGCAATACTCCCCAACATCGAGACGATTCAATGGCACCACGCGCGTGAAGAATTCGTAGGCAACGAGCTACATGGCAAGAAGCCGGAGATCAAAGGTGCGGTCGTTGGAACGGAGAAGGGCAAGCGCGTCTGGTGTTACTGGACAAGGATGTGGTACAACGAGAACCCAGCTGAGGCCAAGGGCAACACACTGCACATCCTACGGCTGGTCATCGAGGACGATAGCGGGGAGGGCTCTTCGGGTAGCATGAACGGAGGATCGGAGAGCCACAGTCACGAAGCTGCTATCGCGGCGCTCATGGCGATGGCTCAGCAGGAAGCGCAGAAATGGAAGATGGAGAACGTAGAGATGTGGGCGCCTTCGCCGGCGGCGCTGGCAGCTGCAAAGAAGCTGGACCCGACTGCGAAGCTCATCGTCAGGGAACAAGAGAGCATCGCGGCCTTGCAGTGGTTTCCAGAACACGACGGACCGGTTGCTAACAAGATTGACTGGGTCGCGAATGAGAAGTACGGGTGGTGTTGAGTGCGGAAGGCGCGATCCGGATTTGGTAGACTGATAGATTTCCATGCATTGCTGCTATCATCGAGTAGCTTCCAAGGTCGTCGAAGTGATGGTGAGGCTGCAATTCGATCCCAATATTGCAAGCTGAAGCGGGAGGTTGTGAGATATCTTCCTCGACCTACTGGGCAAGCCAGAAAGGATCAATGAAAATAGATAAAGCCTGTCAGATTGCCATCAACGTCCTGCTTTCCAGTGTGGCCGAAGCACACGACCGGTCAGCTGAGATCATCGCCACGACCGCCGAAGCAGTTGTAAAGCCTCACTCTTGGACATCGAGGCTGAAAGTCATCAACCAGGTTGGAGATTCTGTGGCTACTAAGAGTAACTCAGAAGAGGATGCATACTATTAGAAATGATTCTATGAAGTACTGCGCTGCTGTTAGTGGTGGTCTCAAAACGTAGGGGGAGTTGGGATGACTGACTGATCGACATGATTAGGAAAGGAAGCAAGTTCGAGGCAGCTTTAAACACACGATGGCTTGGCACGCGCTAGCACGGCACAGACCGAAAGCGACATTTTCGCAGTTTTGTGGGGCGACAGCCGAGAATTTGCCGCCGACGTTCTGCCGGCCCCGCCAGCTGGGTTGCCGGAGTGCTGCCGACTGGCCGAGCGCAACCAAAGGACAACGACGCTTGCGGTTTCCTGAGCACAACATGAATATACATACCTCACTTTGTCAAGATTTTCATGAGCCAGAAACCTAATGAATACCTTCGGGAAAGCTTGTAATACAGAAAGGACGGATTTCGTCATCGGCTGCTGTTCAGAGCAACGCACGATATTTTCAACGTTCAAAGATGTGCTACGCTTCCATTCCACTGCACTCTCGCTGCTCTCCATCCAGTAGTCACCAATCGCCGGATATCGCCTCTTGTCCATCAGCCTCACCGACCACATATGGAACAGCAGTTCCCTTTATACCTATGTGAGCGGTATCACCCGCTCCGAGATTACGAAGAAGCTGCTTCTAGCTGCACACATTGCTTGCTATAAACTTTACCCCGGACGTATACATCATGCGTTGCTCTAGTAGAGTGTTATTACGAAACACACTGTGTACCTCCAGGGTGTGTCGTTGTCTGCACCTTTGCAAATACGCGGTTCTATGTATACAGCAACCACAGTATAGCCCGGATGTCTTCGCGCCACTACTCCTACATCCGGCTCAGAGACCATCATGATCTGGCCGATATCCAGTGTAATGGATCGTCTAGCCCATCTGATCTCAATCTGAGCACCACTACAAGATGGACGGGACCTCTTCATGGATCGCGCACCGGGTTGACTTTTTCTCTCATCGGCGTAGTGGAGCCTGAACACTTCGCAATACTTTGCCTTTACGTGCATGATCTACAAAACGTATTGAATTGCTACCGGCTCCATCATGAGCGCAGAGAGTGGGAAATATCAAGCCAACGTATACGCCCAGCTGAACACATTTGCCAGAGATCTTGACAGCAGTTCTGCCGTTTTAGGAGGTAATTCTCTGAACTCACCGCAAACCAGCCTGGTCGTGTGTTACTATCAGGATACGGCAGTGATACAGATGATGTGTCGCGGCAAGGGGTCTCGGTCAAAGAAGGTTTGAGTAGCTTGTATTGCCGTAGAGGCTGGAGTATCCAACCTGTTGTTACCGAAATTTTCTCAATCCAAACGTACGCTGAGGTGATTCAGGCTCTACCTTAATCAATCCCAAAAGATATGATGAGTCCACGTACGCGGCAAACATGTAGGCTGCTTTATGTTTTGTGAAGACTTACTTCCCTTTTGACGCGGTGTGTAGCGCATGCGGCCACCTCTGCTCCTGGCACAGTTGGTAACCCGAGTTTCCACCTACCTTTAGGAGACTTTGTCACCACTAACCAAGAATTGGCTCTTAGCGGGCCGCTCTCGAAGCTTAGGCCGCGCCCCATGATGCTTCACCGCACTTGGCTACTATAGCCGCTCTTGAAGCTTGGGTCACACGCCCTAGCTTCACCACTGTCGGCTACTATTGCCGCTACGAGTAGGGACAAAGCCAACCGCTCAAGGGAACGCAGGCCTACAGCCAATGTTTCGAAGAAGTGACAGACCAAGAACCGCCTTGGCGAAGTGAAGAGTGATTGTCTTTGACATCAAGTCCTAGAGTGCGTGTGCATAACAAGCAATTACTCCTCCTCTGCTGGCTGTTGTGCCGCTTAGGTGCTTTTCATCGGGGTTTCCAGCTTGTCGGTGGCCTGTGGAAGAGATCCCCAGACGGACCGTCGGGGTCCTTTTGTAGTCTACCGGCTCGAGTATAAGCCGTCGTCCTTGCGCCTGAGTCCCGTCGTAGCCCTCTTGCTTGACCGGTTCAAGCAAGGTTTCGTAAGCTGTCGTAGTTTGTTGTGGTCCTGCTGTATTTGCCTGGGTAAAGTATCAGCTTCGGTACATTTTGGTTTTTTGCGTGTTGGCGGTTTCAAATGAAATGATGCTTCTGGGATTGGTGTAGATGGAGGTGGACGTCGCGCTGCTGGTATATGTAATGGCCTTGCTGTCTGTGCTAGACTTACACTGTAACGAAATCATGGCGACTACATACGGTAAAAAATGCATTCACCATCGCTTTAATCTCCCCTATTTTCTTCTATCGTCGAACAACGTCGCCTAGTATGGGTGATACGATAAACCTATATGCATCTAATCTACAAACAAAGCTTATGAAGGCACCCGAGCCATGTAGAACAACATTGACATTAGGATTGACTCTGACGAAACAGTGATCCGTCGCGTATGGAACGCATCGTATACGTTGGGTCTTCGCCGATGGTGTCATACGTTGACGCCGACATCGCCATTGATGCAGGCACAGCGCATGGCGGGGTTGGACTCATGCGCGTGGCGGGGCAGCAGGACGAACGCAATCGCAGTCAATGAAACACAAAGACCTTCGCAGTGATTATTCGTTCGTAGACAATCGTCAATCGGACTACGGAGACGCCAATGATGATCATGCAGCGGCCTAGTCGACGCGTGCATGAGATCCGGAATTTGACAGGGCGAGACGCGGTCCCTTGACTCAACTGCGATCCCGGAGAGTCATAACAACATTTTTCCCCACGGGGACCATTACTTCACATCGCCTTTGGGACATACACGACCACCGTCACCAATTACACTTTTTTACTTTGCGTTTCGCTAGATCGTTGATTGGTATTGCACATAATGTCCTCACACACAGCATCGCAGCGGTACCTGAGTACCCGAGGAGGATCCTATGACGTGAGAGCGACCCGGCGAGGATGCGCTCAGACGGTTGCTAACAGGGCATAGTTCTCCTTCGAGGAGGTCGTCCTCAAGGGTCTCGCTTCCGACGGTGGCCTCTTCATCCCCGAAGAAATCCCCACGCTGCCCGACGACTGGGCGTCCAAGTGGAAGAACCTCTCCTTCGCAGACCTCGCTTTCGAGATCTTCTCCCTCTACATCTCCCCGTCCGAGATCCCGGCCGCAGATCTCAAGGACATCATCCACCGCAGCTACTCCACATTCCGCGCACAAGACGTCGTGCCCACCGTCACACTCGACAAGCAGAAGAACATACATTTACTGGAGTTGTTCCACGGACCTACGTTCGCCTTCAAGGATGTCGCGCTGCAATTCCTGGGCAATCTCTTTGAGTACTTCCTCGTGCGCAAGAACCAGGGCAAGACCGGACGTGATAGGGAACATTTGACCGTCATTGGCGCGACAAGTGGTGATACCGGCTCAGCAGCCATCTACGGTCTGCGCGGAAAGAAGGATGTCTCGGTCTTCATCATGCACCCGCATGGCAAGGTCAGCCCGATTCAGGAAGCCCAGATGACGACGGTCATGGACGCCAACGTGCACAACTTGGCTGTAGACGGCACATTTGACGATTGCCAGGTAGGCGCCCTCTGCCGTAGCTCAAGACACAACTAACACGCTCAGGACTTCGTAAAAGCCTTGTTCGCAGACCCCGAGATCAACAAGACGCACCGCCTCGCCGCCGTCAACTCGATCAACTGGGCCCGTATCCTCGCACAGATCACCTACTTCTTCTACTCGTACTTCGACCTCATCAAGCAGGAGTCCTTCCTCCCCGCCTCCACCGTCCGCTTCGTTGTGCCCACGGGTAACTTTGGCGACATCCTCGCCGGCTTCTTCGCGAAGCGCATGGGCCTGCCAGCCGAAAAGCTGGTCATAGCCACAAACGCGAACGACATTCTACACCGCTTCTGGGAAACTGGCAAGTACGAGAAGAACCCCGTACATGGAAAGCAGGCTGAAGGCGGTATCCCTGAGGATGGCGCCAAGGCGCACGAGAGTGGAGTCAAGGAGACGCTGAGCCCAGCCATGGACATCCTCGTCTCGTCCAACTTCGAGCGGTTGCTCTGGTTCCTATCATACGATGTGTACAGCTCAAACTCAGACGCGGTATCGCAACGAAGGAGTCAAGCCGGCGACCACGTACGGAATTGGCTCAACGATTTGAAGACGAACGGTGGCTTCGCTGTCGACAAGCAGATCCTCGAAGCAGCACAGTCCGACTTCGCCTCATATCGCGTCAGCGACGACGAGACCATCGAGATGATCAAATACGTCTTCAACGCAGAGTCGTCGAAGAGTTACGTCCTCGACCCACACTCCGCCATCGGTATTGCTGCAGCGCTCCGCTCAGCTGAGGTATCCAAGCCTCCATCCACACATCATATTGCGCTCGCAACAGCGCACCCAGCCAAGTTTGCCAACGCTGTCGAACTTGCGCTGCCAGAGCAGAAGGAGTACTTCCAAGAGAAGGTACTGCCGGTTGAGTTCAAGGGTCTCGAGGACAAGCCGCGAAGAGTCAGCCACGTCAAGAGGTCAGAAGGGTGGCAAGGCGTACGCAAGGTCGTCATTGCAGAAGTAGAGGCAGAACGACAAGCTGCGGAAAGAGGTGAGCAGTAGATTGTGGTAGATGAGCTGGGTATAGACAGGCTTTGTTCACGCATCTTTGTGTAGATCAGAAATGGTAGTTCGCCTGAAAAAAGATCTCAATTATATTGTTTATTGCTGTCGACTTCTCTCAACCACCCATATCCATGATCGAAGCAAGCCCTACCCCCTCTTTTCCGCAGCTTGTCGTTCTGCCTCTACTTCTGCAATGACGACCTTGCGTACGCCTTGCCACCCTTCTGACGCTGCATCGCATATCGAAAGTTCCATACCAACTGATCGTATCCTCCACTCAAGACTTCATCATCACATACTCACGAAGACGCGGTCCATAGTATCACCAGCTACCCACACCACACCCCATCACTTCATCGCCTCCTCTCCATCCGCATCCCTCTCCTCAACCCCCTCCGTCTCAAAATTTAACCCAGCTCTCCTCCTCACAGTCCCAAAAACAGCACTACTATCACACTTCCTCTTCCTCTCCACGCCATAAACCCTCGCCTCCTCCGCAGCCCCCAGATACATCTCTCCAATCCCCAGCCTCATCCCGTTATCCCTCGCAAGACTGACCCCATGACCCACATCCTTAATACCCAACTCCAACCCCGAAGAAGGGGCTTGCCCTTCGGCAGGAAAGTAACTCCCACTCGTCAACCGTTTTGATACGCCGTGTGCGTACGCACCGAAGTTTTCTTCAATAAGCGATTCGAGGACGGAAGAGGGAAGCCCGGTTTTAGAAGCTAGAACGTGGGCTTCGCTGAGGAGAAGCATGAGGCCTGCGGTTATGAAGTTGCTTGTTGTCTTCAGCAGAAGCGCTTGGGAAGGTATGTCGCCTACTCTAATCACCGTACGCGCGATTACGTTTTCCAGGAAAGTCAGGATGGCCTCAATGGCAGATGGGGGGCCTGCGATGGCGATTAAGAGGCGCCCAGCTTGGGCGAGGGGTGTGGCGCCGAAGACGGGGGCGGCGATGTAGGATGCGCCCGTGGGTGTGAACTGGGCTGTTATGGTTGATGTAGTGGTGGGGTGGACGGTCGTTGTGTCGATTATGGTTTTGGTGGTTAGGGGGCCGCTGGAGAGGATGGTATTTGTGATTGATTCGAGGGCTGTGTCATCGCTTACCTGGGGGATGTTGGTGAGATGATGAGTTATGCTGGGTATGGTGAGGACTCACGGATATGAAAATTACATCGCAGTTTTGAACTAGATCTGTGATTGCTGAACACGGTGTGCCTCCGATGTCTTTCAAGCTGTCACCTCGTGAGAGAGTACGATTCCAGTACTTGAGTGGTGGTAGATTGTTTTGTGTAAGATGTTTCTGGATGTTAGTCGCCATGGCTAGACCCATTGATCCTAGGCCTATCCATCCCAGGCGGAGAGGTTGTTGTGTGGACATGATGACGAGTGTAGGAACGAGTGCTTTGTGTTAGTTGAATGCCGCACTTATCTTTAAGGTGAAGTGACTCAACTTGAAGACGTTGGTATGTGTATACATGCGCACGAATCGAGTATGCAGGGCACTAGTGTGTATTAGGCAAGCGACTATCTGTTATAAGCGGATATTCAAGGAAGACCGTGGTTGTGGCCATGATTCACAGCCTCGCATTATCTTAGTATGCCAGAGTAACGACTACCATGTATACGGCCAGCGGAAGTAAAACCACGACTGCATCGGCTGCATTGCGCGGCGTCAGTCTGGTTTGAGACAAGAGCCGAATGCCGAATGATACCATTTCTTGTGTATTTTGTCAATAATGTAAATAATACAAGTGATGCATGGAGGACCCCAAACTCCTGGCTATGCTGATGATCGTAGATAGAAATGAACCAACCTCCAACAGTTCTTCTTGTACATCTTGCGATCATACCGTGAAGGCAATCTACCACATCCTATTCCCCTCGCGTTTGTTGTTGAATCCAAGCCGAGACTCTAGAGGACGAATGCCGCAATAGCACTGTCTTCAGAGGCAACGTATCTCCAGAAGTCTACTCTTCGTCCTCATCATCGTCAACCACACGTCTCCGCTTCGTCCGGCTAACAACAACCTCATCGTCGTCATCATCGTCTGCAGCAACGCCACCCCGTGCTCGCTTGGGACTCGCCGCGATACCCTCATCTGGATCATCGTCGTCGTCCACGATCTCTGGTTCCTCGTCACTAGCGGCGATGAAGTCATCCTCCTCGTCGTAGTCGTCCTCGCGATTCCTCCTTGGGCCACCGTAGTCTTCGTCGTCACTCCAGTCACGCCGTAAGCCACCCTTCTGTGCGTTCTTCTTTCGAGCTGGGCGGTCTTCCAATCCGTCAATGTCGAGACCTCCTGAAGCGCGACCGCCGGTGCGGCCCATGGTGCGGTTTGCGCGCTCTGCCTGGCGCGCTTCGTGCTTCTCGCGAGCGCGCAGTTGTCTTTGCTTCTCCTTGAATGTAGCTTCCTCACGCTGTCGACGGAGCTCGGGATCTTCGTCCACGTTGATGAAAGATATGGCTTGATCGGCATCGTCTCGTCCCTTTGCTGCGACCTTGGCAAGGTCGTTTTGTAGCTTTTCCAGCGCAGCGTCTTTCGTGTTCGACGTGGGTACGACGTTCAGGGATGCCGTGAGCTTGTTCGTGACGCGCATAACGTTCGCTTCCTCGTACGGCGCCACCAGGTATGTGTAGCTCTCCTTCTTCGCGCTTGTCTTGCCATTCTTCTCGTCCCTAACAGCCGTTGGGGTGGGTATCTTGGGGTTGACTTGCGGTGGGGCAAGAGTGTTCGCATCGATGTCGTATTGGGTTGTAGGGTCGGTCGCAAGCTGAAGGGTTAGGGAACCGTCCGACCACCTGAGAATCCGAGCATTGGACTGTAGGACGGCATTATTCGAGGGTGAGCGTCGCCACCTGACTGTGGTCATGGCGGTGTCGTAGGCGGAGAAGTGCTCAGAAGCGGCGAGCTTGGAGTGGTGATCTGTAGTAGGCGGCTGGAAGGTCTTGTGATCGAATGCCTTGTCTTCGAAAGACAAGAAGCGCGGGACCTTCAAAAGGTAAAGCTCGTTGTCGGTGGGCTCAGGAACGGGATGTCGCGCCAGGTCGGCGTCCATGTATGCAAATGTCTGTTGCTCGACCTCCTCTAGAGCTTCGGGTGCCCTGACGCGATCTGCCCGTCCCTCGTCATCGCCTGAATCGAGCTCTGCATCATCGAGCTTCCGGCGCTCACTAAACATGTCAGTCTGATACTGGTGCTGGGTTCTTCGCGACCTACGCTGGCGCATCTTCACCTGCATCTCCGTCTCCGTCGCCAAACAGGTCATCTTCATCACCCTCAAGACCGTTGTCTTCCACAGTATTTAGCGGTGTGCCCTCGTCGGCATTCTCAGCAGGAGTTGCCTGGCCATTGACTTCTTCGTCGGAGAGCTGGCCCGCGTCGGACATGGTCGCGGTTGGTGGTATGCTGGTGCTCCTGTTGGTACTGAATCCAGACTATTTCAGATACAGCGACGCGACCGTAGACCTGGAGTTGCGAGTAAATTGACGTGATAGATGCGGTAAAGGTACGCGCAGTATTATGATGGCCGTGATGAACAAAGTTGCGACCAACAGGCCATGAGAATCGCGCTATCCCAATCTGTCGTAGCGTGCCGCCCCTTCTCGGTGCAGCCCTTAGAAGAGTGGGCCCAAAAAGCGTGCCCGCTCGAGACGTATCACCAACATCCTCCCCCTCAATCCTCTTGCATACCTTCATAAGCCGGCCTCTCTAGGTGCATTGGACGTATCCGCCCCGTACCCCCCCCACACTAAATTCCACGAATCCGCAAATCATGGCCTCTTTTTTCGCAAACGTGTAAGTTGCTTGGCACATGCTCCCCTTCCTCAAATGCTCGCGCCTCCCACCCCCAGTCCACGGCCCTGAAACATTCAGGCATTTGCTGCATGTCGTCTCACGATTTCACTTTCTGATATGCACCACCTTTCGGTATCACATTGCCGTGTTATTGTGTTATAACTTGCGTCCGTCGGAGCCTGACGTTGTCTTTTCCTCATTCTAACAACTTCACCGATAGTCGCCAAGGATTGGCTGGTCGATCCAACAAGGGCCAACAGCAGCAGGGCAAAGGTGGCTCCGCGTCGCCAACCACTCCATACTCGGCTTCACCAACAAACCAACAACCTCCAGGCCAACCGCCTATGCCCCATTCTCCCGCTCTATCCTCTGCCATGTCGTTCGAAAGCCAAGGTGCTCCGTCGGATGGGTCCGTGCCGTCTGGCTCCCGTAGACCGCCTTTCTTCTTCCGCGAAGAGTACTCCAACTTGATCGTCAAGGGTAACTTTATGACTTTGGCTGCGAAGCCGAAGCTAGTCGAAGAGGGCGAATGGCTCGCACATCAAGGTATGCTTATACTTTTCAATGCCCCGATATCGCTAAGCATATGACCAGTTGTCGAGCAGTACAGGCTACTCGAGCAAATGATTGAAATCATCAAAGTTACAGACGACCGGACAGGCAAGCCTGTCTGCAACCCAGATACCTGCCCTACCATGTCTGCCAGCGGCCACACATACACCTGGCTGGACAACAACAAGAAGCCCATCAAGATCCCCGCAATCCAGTACATCAACCTCGTACAAAAGTGGATCGTGGGCAAGATCAACGACCCAAACATCTTCCCCACAGACACCACAGCCATCTCTATCGGAGCATCAACCTACGCTTCTGGTTCCATGACACCAACCTCAACGCCACAGCCTCTCGGACCCACCAGTTCCAATGCCCCAATGTCCCAACTCGCCGGGCGCGAGTGGCTCGGCAAGTCATCCGGCTTCCCCGAGACTTTTGAAGGCGACATCAAGAGTATCTACCGCCAGATGATGCGATGCTATGCACACATCTACCACGGCCACTGGCTGGACCCCTTCTGGAACGTGAGTGCGTACAAAGAGCTCAACACTTGCTTCATCCATTTCATCAACGTCGGCAAGCTGTTCAATTTGATCGGCGACAAGGAAATCGAGCCCATGCAGCCGCTGGTCGACCTCTGGGCCGAGAAGGGTCTGCTTCCGCCAATCACGGCAGCCAAGGAGTCAGGTGGGCAGCAGGCTGCACCCGCGTCTTGAGCAACGAAGAGTATTCCACTTGAGTAACGAACGGCGGCGCCATTTGATATGGAACACCACATCAGCAAGCTATCAACATTTATCGCCTTGCATGGGTAGCGTGAGGGGTCTGGGAGAGGATGATTGGCGTTCTGGCATGTATTACGATTTGCGCAATGTAGCCCTACATGTGAATACGGCAATGAATAGTTCTGAACAACTTCTTGAGTCACGCCATGCACATGCAGTCAAAACAGCAGGTAGTAAGAAGAGACTCAAATTTGATAGTACCACGTAAAGTAACCAGAGAACTGATTTCCCAACGATCCCAGAAACGAAATGTCATAGTACTTCACACAAACTCCAATGGCGAAAAGAGAAGAGAAACCATGTGTCTCCGCTCCACCATCCGATCTGACATTTGACACCGATGCAAATACATTTCATGGGTCCGTGGTTTTGTAGAGATGCGTCATGGCTGGGCTCTGCCACAACGATGGGGCGTGCGTTCGTTATAAGAGGTCTGTGCTAGCAGACGGTTGGCATTTTCGTGACTCGCTATGTGACGGTTCGCGCTCGCCGAACTTAGTTGTGACCGGCCTTGCGGAGAGAGTTGCTCAACCACTCGAGACCCTCGTACAGACCGTCACCGGAGGTAGCGCAAGTCGACTGGATGTACTGCAGGGGGTTAGCTGACACGCTTTTGAAGCAGGGGGGACCCGGAACATACCCAGGCACGTTGTCGGAGGCTGTGAAGACCAAGCTTGTCGGTGATCTCAGCGGCGTTCATGGCGTTCTGTGCGCAGTGTCAGTCTTTTGGACGTTTGGGTTCACGGCTGTTGAAACCTACAGGCAAATCCTGCTTGTTGGCAAAGACAAGGAGGAGAGCGTCCCGCAGCTCGTCCTCGTTCAACATGCGCTGGAGTTCCTCACGCGCCTCAACAACACGATCGCGATCGTTGCTGTCAACGACGAAGATGATACCCTGGGTGTTCTGGAAGTAATGCCTCCACAGAGGACGGATCTTGTCCTGACCGCCGACATCCCACACGGTGAACTGAATGTTCTTGTACTCAACGGTCTCGACGTTGAAACCTGTAGGGCGAAGAATCAGCGCATTGTTCTGATTGTGCTCATGCTGCACATCGCGACGTACCGATGGTGGGGATGGTGGTGACGATTTCACCGAGCTTGAGCTTGTAGAGAATGGTGGTCTTTCCGGCAGCGTCAAGACCGACCATGAGAATGCGCATCTCCTTCTTTCCCCATAGCTTATCGAACAGCTTCGAAAATGTGAGACCCATGATTGCGGTGGGTGTGTGTGGTAGTGTAGGGAGGGTGAGTTGGGAGGCGGTGTATAGACTCTCGAACCTGCGACACTAGTTGTCAGAAGAGTGCTGAGCAGAGTATCGTGGCCTTATCGGCTTGTATTGAGCACGGTGACGGAAGTCGCATGGCCGGCGCAGCCATGTTGAGCGCCCGTTGCGGAGTCGACTCGAGGCCACGAGGGAGCTGGCCAAGCGCCGGCTACGGGTTGGACAAAGCAAACGCAGAAAAAACAATGCAACAGCGATTGACTTACTGACGGGTTCAAGAGAGTCGGTGGTATTCGGGGATGGGGCGGGTGGATGTGATGTGCTCTAAACGATGCACAGGAAGGGCTGCGTTGAAGAGATGTGGTGGAAAGCGCGGCGAAGTCTAGGCACTGTTCGTAAGCTGGCAAGTGCCACTGACACGTGACAAGGGCGGCGATCGCTTATCGTCGTTTTGTTGAAGGAGTTGCGGTGAGAGGCTTCTTGCTTTCAGCTATTCCTTTACTTGGAACGCTTCTTATGATTGCTACTAAGAACTTGACACGTTTTGGCTCTCCTGAAGGCTGGATGTGGAACCCAAGGCACCCATTTATGTTCGGTTGGGCGATCAGCTGCCCCGGGATTGCGTGAGCTCCAGGACCCACAGCTATCCGCACTACTGACTGGGCAACCGCTGTATACTGACGTCTGACCAACTCGACGTGTAGTTTGTGAGATATACTGGGTCATATTGATCAATGCGCATGCTATTGTCTTTCAGGGTCTGAACGAGGGAAGCGGAAAACCTCGAACACCTTGGAAGTCTAGCAACGGCATAGTATGGCTCAACCACATCAGTAAGTCGAAGCACATTCTCCTGGTTTAGGCATCAATATTTCCAAAAGAACAACATCACATCATCGAGTGGACACACGGCTATTCCAAGGCAGCATTGACATTGATGTCGCATCAGCTAGTCTCGCCGTATCCTCATCACCCATATCTGTCTCCTGCTCCGGTCATTCATCTAGCTTGTCGCTCGAGTATCTCGACTACCCTGACTCTATCCGCCAACCTAGACCTCGGTGGCCATGGCTCCAGCGGCCCGAATGATGGTACGGAAGCACAGTGAGACGCTTGCAATCCAAAGTCCGCTGCGAACAAATGTAGGCGCCTGGGTTGAAGTGGTGATGTAGGCGGCGGTGTATGCGACCCTAGTAGCTACGAACGAAGCGCTAAACATAGCGAGCTCGTCCTGCGGTAATCCAGCCATGTTACCGAGGATGACGGCGCCCATGAAGAGAGGAAGATTCTGTTACTGTCAGTCTGACGGATATGTCAAGAAGGGTCGATTAAAATCTCACCTCCATCCCGTTGGCGTGACAGGCCTCCATACGTTCGTACTTGGCGTAGGTCTCAGCAGGCAGGCGCTTCTTGAGCTCGGCTTTCATGTCGTTGGAGCGCGGGCTTCGGTTGTCCCAGTCGAGGAGATTGCCCCGAGTAGCGACACTCACGGCGAGAGCATGAGGCAGGAACGAGACTAAACATGAAGAGCCAGGTTGAACTGCCGATCGAATGCAATCTCTCAACGGGGAGCATGTACATACGGATGAGGTAGGCTGGAATCGCCAGGACCGAGGCGTTGTAGCCGTCGAGGAAGGAAGGCATGTCGTTCTTGCGAGTGCCTGACTGTTCTTGAGGTGTCGTATGTTGGTGAAGGACGAAGGAAGCTTTGTTACGACCGAGGAATTTTGTTCGTCTGGTGGGGCTCTATTTCGCGGTGACTGCCTTAAGTGACGTGAGTACCCCAGATGAAGTGAGAGTGACCAGCACGGGTGCTCTTTCCTTGCGAGGACACGTCCTACAGTCCGCGGTGATACCGCTACGTCAATGTGGAAATTTCAACTACACTGAGCAAATTACTGCGAATAAGCGTCCCCGTATGCATCTACAAGTTAAGTAATCGCTCAAAGAACATTCTGTGAGGTTGGGAAGTCCCGAAGTCACAAAGAGAGTGTTAGGCCGAATGGTCGAGATATTGCGCAGATAACCATACGCAACCTCTAGATATCTACAGAGTGCTGTCAGAGACATTACAGGGGTCTCAGAAAATTATGTAGGTAAGCGAATTTGTCCTTTGCATTCGACAGGCTACCTCTACAGCCCGCTGACTGTCACTGCGGGGTGCGATGTATGCGCCCCACCCATCACCATACGCACCGCTCCCCCCGTACTTTCTTTCGTCAACGCTACACCTCCGTCTGGAGCTTTCATCTCTTCACTACATTGCGCAAAACCAATACGTCACGATTGTCTGGAAGGACCGCTTCAACGATACCGAGCATTGTTCAGCTGATCGATATGAACGTCGTCAAACATGGTTCTCGTGAAGTATGTGCTGTCTGCTGGGGAGTTTGTGGGTTTGCGTCAAGCAGACAGAATCTTGAGATGGCCAGGAGTCAAGAAGGTCTGACCTGGTTTTGTCAGGCAAGAGACTTGGATGCAGCATCGGCCCAGTGTCGAATGTGCGACTATATTCTCGGTCGACTCAAATGGTATTTCAAGACCATCAGCATGGATTCAAAGATCGCTACCAACGTGAGATTCCACAAGTTCAAGGGCGCATCTGAGAATTGGCTCTCTGTCGATACCCTGGAAATTCGTTCGAAAATAGATGGCAAAGACCTGCCTTGGGCAGAGACGCCTGCGAGCGCTCAGTGGTCTGTCCTGGCTTACCGTGGTCCGTGTTCTTTCCGCAAGCACTTTCTTGTGTTAACTGATAGTTCTTCATATTAAGACGATCCTGCTGCTGCAGAGATCCAATGGTCTCCTGTCAATTACGAGGTCAGCTCGAGCTTCAAGCAAGCCAGATCATGGATTGAAGAGTGCACGTTTCACGAGCACTGTCCTGAACCCAATATTCCCTCATTACCAACAAGAATCCTAGAGATCAACGACGAATGTGTTCGACTGCATGTCTCTGGAGGCAAACCGGGTCACTACTGCGCGTTAAGCTATTGCTGGGGTGGCCCACAGCCAGTACGGACGTTGGACGAAAACATAGAAAGTCACACATCTGGGATCCGAATCTCAGATCTACCGCAAACTTTGCAAGATGCAATCAACTTCACGCGACAGTTGGACATCAAATTCTTGTGGGTAGACTCGCTCTGCATCGTGCAGGACAGCGTTGATGATAAACGGCGAGAAATTGCAAACATGGCAAACATTTACCAGGATGCACTGGTCACCATTGCAGCTACAAACGTATCACGCTGCACAGAAAGCTTTTTGTCGAGAAGATGCAGACCGCGCAGTGAGATATTCATTGGAGACCTTCCCTGGAGCTGTGGGGACGGAAGCTTTGGTAAAGTAGCTCTGCATTGCCAGGATATGTATAGCGCAGATCAAGAGCCACTCAACAAGAGAGCATGGACCCTTCAAGAACGTCTACTATCCCCACGCGTACTATCCTTTTCGTCTCAACAGCTGGTGTGGGAGTGTCAAACGGCGAGATATACCGATGGCGGCAACCCTGGATCAAGTTATAACATGGGTACCAACAGGCTAGAGTCGTATATTTTCTCACCTTTGACAACGGCGATGACTGAAAGATCTCCAGATGCTTTGTTCATTCACTATACATGGATAGAGGCAGTTATGGATCTCAGCCGACGGAAGATAACCGAAGAAAGCGATAAGCTTCCGGCAATCTCGGGTGTTGCCCAGCGAATGCATCTTATCACGGGCGATAAGTACCTAGCTGGGTTATGGAAAGCTTCGCTCCATTTCGAGTTGATGTGGTGCCAGGATCCGTCTGCCGAGGATTTCTGCTACGCCAGACGACCAGAGAGATTTCGCGCGCCATCATGGTCGTGGGCCTCCGTCGAGGGTACTGTCGGTTTTGGAGGACCCTCTCAAAGAGAGGGTATGATAGCAAAAGTCATACAGTGTGACGTTCTTCCGGTCGACCCAAGCAACCCGTTCGGCGCTGTCTCTTACGGACATCTGGTGATAAGAGGCCCACTTCGGTCGCTAGATGCAAAGTCAATACCCGATCATTTTCACATCAACTCTACTGACGCGCGCGAGGCGTCATTGGCTAGGATGTTTTTGGATGGGGACGAGATTATCTCTTCAGTTACCGCGGTTCCGGGGTGCCTTGAAGGAATGGAGCACAGTGAAGCAGATCAGCGTATATGGATCTTCTATATGGCTCGCGATAGAGATGGTGATCACTTCGGATTTGTGCTTCGCCAGGTTCCCCACTCAAACAAACGATTATTTCGTCGCATTGGTTGGTTTGATCCGCCAAGAGGAAGCCATGGTGCACCTTTTTGGACTCATGACACCCCCGTAGAAACAATCACTATTATCTGAAGGAGGCTAGAAACTTATGATATTTTATATCATAGGTAGCGCTCACAAAATCCATCATACACTCTGTAGTACAATCAGAGACACTGCTGAACATTGCTCAATATCCATGTCATTCGATGGTTAAGTATCGATGACCACCCATTCGAAAAGTACTGGTCCAACTTCTGGACATCGACATTCGGTAGAGTATCCTCACAGAAATAACGTACCAGACAGCCTGTCGGCTCACCAACGCACTCCTGAAACGGCTCACATTCTGCACACGGCGGATCGAAAGCCCTGCACACCTCTACCCTGACACACTCAGAATCACGACAATCTGTATACTGCGGCTTCAACATCGTCTTGTTCTTTGGCTTCGAGACCATCGTGCTCGGATCGAGAGGGGCAATGGAGTCAGGAACAGTCAACAGTTGAGCTTCATCGGTCACTGCATGCCCGTCGACGCCGGCCCATGTATCGCGCTGGTTAGGGTACTTCCAGGCGACCAATTCTTCGACGTGACGGGCGGAGAGTTGAATGTAGTCAACTACTCCGGTACGAGCGACGTTGAGTCGGCGCAGAACTCCGTCATATCCCAGCACACGGACGCCATCGTCACTCTTAAGCATCATGAGGGCATCGCGGAGGGACTGGCATGTATATTTAGTATCAGGCATCTGGCTTGTATGTTTCGTACAAACATACCATTCCGTCGTCATATTCAGCAGGGAGACTTCGGATTCTTCCCATGAGTAGAAATGTCGCTGTTGCAGATAGGGCAGTTGAGAGCTTCATGGTAGCAGCAGACGATGCAGTGTTTTAAATGGAAATGATGTAGAAATCTGGCTCGATAGAATGTGTAGTTCAACATGTCAAAAGTCCTTGCTTTATAATTTTACGCTCGACTCGTCGAGGTGCTTGAGAATCAGCACACCCATGCTACATACGTCGGCATCATCGTCATTGTTGGCAATCTGAACGGTCTGAGTAAGCGAAAACGAAGCGTTAATATAAAGTCACGTACACTGCGTCTCTCTTCTTGCGTTTCCCCTCTTCTTGTCGACTGTGCCACGCCCGGCAGCTCTACGCAGCAACGAACTCCCAATCACCAAGTATTCACCGTAAGCAATCCTTCTTCACTCCCTTGACATACTTGATCGCTAACACAGGCTATATTGTTTCTGAGCCTAAATCGCCTCAGTTCAGGACTGAACAGCAGATCGCGCATCATGTCGACACCACGTCCGGAGGTGCGACCAGATCAAGAAGTAGCGGGGAAACATGAAGTTGATCCTGCCTCTTCAAGTGTAGCAGAGCCAGAAGCTGCAGAGCATGACGATATCACCTCAGACGGTGCTGCCCCAGCTGACGTAGAGGGTCAGCAAAGTGCAACGGATGAGCTCCGCGAGGTACTCAGATTGTTGAAGAGTCCACCGGGCGGAAATCACACCCGAGGTCTCTGCGACGACGGCGTCGTCAGATATATGGTCTGCTTGCCAACACCAGACGATGAGGTAACTCGCATAGGCGTATACGATGCCCAGCCGTTATCTCCTAGGATGATCAAGCGGTGGCTTGACCGGAAGCCATAGAGCCAGGGAGTCGAAGATCGCTTCCGCGGAGTAGATGGGCGAAATGTTCCCAAAGAGTAAGCCGTACCTCCGTTCAGCATGCATCTTATTCAGTTTTGCTGATCGTCGATGTCGTGTAGACAATGGTTAAATCCGCCCCCGGGGGTGTTGCCGTTCCCGGGAACGCATAATGAGCGCATGGCTGCGTTTGAGCAGAGCCGATCAAGACGGAAGGAATTCAAAGAGAAGATTCTGCGTGGAGAGATGGATGAGTCTGCTTCTGGGCCACATTGTTCAAGTTGGACCGTGATAAGTGACTATAATCTTGATCCACGTTAGGTTGGTTGATGAGCTCAGGATCGGCTTCTGCTCGACGGAGAAGTTCGGGTGTTACGAGTTGTACCCAGAATATCAAGATCTACCCTGGAGTCATTCGTTCCAATTTTCGCGTACAGAAAAATACAACTGGTTAAGAACCAACATATTTCTAAGGTTGTATGTCAGCGCTGCCGCGGAAGTCCCAGTGAGTCGATCCCCCAAACGTTCAATGGGTTTTTATCATAGTCTCGGATAAAGACGTGCATAACGACAGTGGGAACGAATGTCTCGTAGTCCTCAGAGAAAGCTGAGCAATAGGAAGATGAAGCAGGAAAGTATTGGCAATGTCAGATCTGGTACCTAGGTGGTGTCCAGACTGACAACGTCACCGCCCAGTGGACCGACCTGAATAGCCAAGACTTACAATCCTTCGTGAGAGTGATAAAAGGCGAAACTCAAACATCCGGGGCGTGAAGAGAAGATAAGAAAACTAGGGAGGTGTATGCTTTGCATGTCGGCGTCTTCGCGCCGGCCGACTCCCGCCCCGGGACCCACTTAGCGCAGGCAGATTCACTTCCAGATCGATCTGACAGGGTTTAGGACACCTTCTTTCGATGCGAGCAAATCTCCACCGTCAATAACGACGCCCGTATAATCTTGGCAAGCCTGAGCGTACCTAGGCGTGGACAAAGTGGAGTTAGCGACTCTCATCGCTACCTTCGCTGCGCAGGCCTTAGCGTTTACGAGATGACATCAGAGAACCTGGAACGGTTCGCATGTAGCTGGGAGCCAAGGCGATATCATTGAACAGAATAGCGGCGGACAGAGCCTCCTACATCTAGAACTGGTCTCAGATCTCGAAATTCCGGTACAATTAACTAGATTTCCCAATGGCGTGCCGGAGAGTAACCCGGAAGAGAAACAATGGAGACTGCGCTGCGCGTTGTGACCTAACGGGCGTTGTGGGTTCATTCCCGTGGGTTCAATGCCGAGAGAGCCTCCTAAATGTATGACAACATCGCAACATAGCGCAGCACGTTGAGTCAAGCGTCGGAGTTCTTGAGGTGCGTTTCTGCGAGATGGTAATGATGGACTTGGCTTTACGTAGCGAAGACTGGCGTCGCGTTTTGCATAAAGAGGAAGAGGCTTCCGCATTGGAAAAAGCAGACACAGGCTTGAACAGCTTCAACCTCATCTTCTGTACTCCTAGTCATTTCATCAACCTACATCAATCATGCCTAGTTCTTCGCAACAGCCTCTTCGCCAGTCGGGCATCTATCGCAACCTGCCCACCTTTGACTCGAGCGCAAAGGATCTCAAGGCCATAGTATGCGGAGCGACTGGAATCTCTGGATTTAACACCATCCGCTCTCTCCTCGATACGTCCGACCGCTGGTCCAAGATCTACGCTTTATCCCGCTCGCCAATCTCCAAAGAGCTCCTCGCCTTCCTCACAGACGAGCAGCGCGCCCGCCTGCAGCACATCTCCATCGACCTAAGCTCCTCCAGTGATGAAATCGCCAAATCGCTCAAAAAAGCAGGCGCAGAAGCAGACTACATCTTCTACTACGCCTACCTTCCGCCAGGCAACGGAAAAAGCGACATGGACCCCAGTTCCGCCACCGCTCTAATCGAAGCCAACGTGCCCCCCTTCAAAAACTTCCTTGGCTCCCTCCCAATCGCCAACATCAAGCCCAAACGCTTCCTCCTACAGACGGGAGGCAAGAACTATGGCATGCACATTGGCCGCGGCCGCAACCCCATTGTCGAATCAGACCCCCAGCCCAAACACCTCAGCCCAAACTTCTACTACCACCAAGAAGACCTGCTGTTCAAGTTCTGCGAAGAACACCCCGAGACAGACTGGAACATCATTATGCCCGCTGCTGTCATCGGCGCCGTGCAAAGCGCAGCCATGAACACGTTCCTAGCATACGGTGTCTACGCCGCTGTACAAGCGCACAGGAAGCAACCTCTTCAGTACCCATCCGACTTCCACAGTTGGCAGTCTGGGTACACGCATTCCACCGCGCGTCTGACCGGGTACCTGAGTGAATGGGCGGTGCTGGAGGACTCAGCGAAGAACCAGCGCTTCAATGCTCAAGACGGCGAGCTAATCAGCTGGGACCGCTTCTGGAACGAGCTGGGCCGTTGGTTCGGCGTCGACACTGTGCTTGGTCCTGAGGAAGACGAGTCAAAGTACGAGAGCAAGTACTTCGCTGGCGGAAAAGACTGCCCACTAGGCTACGGGCCCCCCATTGAGCTCAAATTGGCCCATTCGCTGTGTAAATGGGCGGAGGACCCTGCGGTCCCAAAGGCTTGGAAGGAGATGATGAAGCAGTCGGGTGGGCAGCTGACAGTCAACATCCCCGAGACAGATAAGCAGACGTTGGTTATGGCGGACTTTTCTTTTACGTTTCTGGGTACGTTGTCTGGGACCAAGGTGCGCAGATTTGGGTTCAGTGGGTTTGTAGATACGATGGAGAGTGTCTTTGAGACGTATCAGGATATGGCGAAGCTGGGTATGTTGCCGCCTATGAAGGTTGATGCTGCGAGGCCGCTTGTATAGGGGTGGTTGGTGTTCGTTTCTTGTCAGTTTGGCTCTTCGCTCATCACTAAAAGTCCTTTGGAGGTGTACTCTTATATAGACTACGTACATGCTATATATCAATGACCATGCTGTATACAAATCTACATCAAATCCTTCGTTCGCTCTTCGCTCTCCCTGATCCACTGATCTAGCAGTTTCCTGTTCCTTGGCTTGAACCCGACTTTGAAGTACTTCGGTTCAAGTGTCAAACTAGTCGGGATAGCATTCGCATCGAGGCAGTCCATGACCGGCTCATCCCGCGGGTCTACCGGCGGCGTAAACTTGAAAGCCGAGATCAACCTCACAAAAGCAGTATATAGCTCGCGGTTGGCAAGATGCGAGCCAACGCACATGCGTGAGCCAGCGCCGTATCCGTAATGTGGTGTTCCTGCACCATCTGGAACGTCGAGGTAGCGCTCTGGATCGAATTTCTCTGGGTTCTTGAAGTGCTCTGCGTCGTAGTCGGCGGCGTATGCATTCATGTAGAAGGTTGTTCCCGCTGGGATGTTGACGCCGTTCCATTCAATGTCCTTGATCGAGACCCTGGGGAGGCAGATGGGGATGACAGTCCAGTATCGCAAAATCTCCTTGTAAAGAGCGGTGATGTATGGGATCTTCTCTTCGTGGATACACATCTCCCATGCATCGTTGTTGGGGTACACTTTCATGATCTCTTCGTATGCGCGTTGCTGGATCTTTTGGCCGTGGGGAGTTGCAAGGTATGCGATGCCCATGATGAGGTTGCCTGGTACGGTGTCGAGACCGGCTGATACCATGGTCAGGCAGATAGATTTGATCTCAGCTATTGAGTGTTAGTGCGAACGAGGCCGAAGGCTAGACGCTCTCAACATACCTCTGTTCAGCTTCGCTTCTGGGTCCTTCATGATATTGCCGGTGATGCACGGTTTGTCCGTACCCTTCTCAATCCTCTCTGTCAGTGTGTTTATGAGTCGGTCCATGTACACATCTCGCCTCTTTCGGAAGCTGATCGCCTCATTGCTTTGGCTAGGGAAGAGTCTTAGAAGTGGCACATAGTCCTGCCAGTTGTTGCTCGTCGACCTGAAGTTTCCTACACCACGCTCGACATCCACGATCTCTTTCAGAAGAGGAGCGTCCTTGTTGCCGTCTATCCTGTATCCATAGTTGAGCGTCAGACTCGTGTTCAGGGCATATCGTTGCCAGTATGCTCGCGGATCTAGATCGATCTCTCCACCCTTGCTGTCGTATAGTAGTTCCTTGATGGAGACGGTGGATTCGAGATCGATGAGAGGCATGTAGGACTGAACGGCGGGTCGGTTAAGTGCTGTGGCAGCGGCCTTGCGACGGTTCTTGCAAGACTCATCCCATGGCGAGGTACCGATAGTGAAGCCTTGGGAGGAAGACACCACCTTGTGGAACGTGTGAAGCATAGGTCGAGAAATCATCGCGGATTGGTTTGTGATCCAGAGATGGCGGACGGAATCGAACGAGTTCGCGAATACGATCCTCTAGATACTGGTGTTAGCATTGATGCTCATAAGAATGTGCTCAATTCATGCAAGATCCAAACTTACCCTGTTTCCCATCCTCACTTGGAAGACGGGGCCATACTTCTTCGCCCATCCTTGCGCTACTTTCGCATGGTTCGTACCAAGCTCGTGCAAGCTTCCAAAAAGAGGCAGGCCAGGGACTTCTGGCAGTCCCTTGATATGTGGTGTATCAGTTCCATAGAGCAACCTATACAGGAAGAACCCCAAGACAGCAACGCCGGCGATGTAGATGGGGATAGTCATGGTCGCGACGAGACTTGAGGTCAATGAGAAGAGGTGAGAGAAGTGGAAGAAGAAAGTTCGCAACCCTAGAGCGAGCTCGAAACCTAACCAGGTCTGTAGCACTTATAGCAGTAAGAGACCTCCGATGCCATGCGTTTTCTCTTGGGAGGAGATCCCTAGCTGGACACGCCCTTCCGAGGTCAGGCTCAGCATGATTAGCTTCCGTTTGACTGGCCACAAACGATCCAAGCATTGTTTTCGATGGAGTAAGCCCATCGCTGCGGGGCATCCGCCGCCCGTGTCATCGTGCGCGCAGAAGCGTATGTTGGTGCAGCGGAATGATGCCGCGAATTGATGGTGTTGATGCTAGTGTCAGGGTGCGGAGACGGACGCGTTGTGGAGGCGGCTAACTCCTTCGGGAACAGGTGATGGGCACGACGAGCTTTCAGTGGGACGATGGAGCTCTCCGGCACTCATACCAACCGCTGGTAGCGGAAAGAGCCTCAAAATTGTGTGTGAGTGCTGTATAGTAGTATTATCGGCCTCTTGCGCGCCCTTGCCAATTTGCGACTCTGCAACGCGCTAAAATCCGAATGGCTCAAGCATCCCAGGTTCTTGCAGAATGCTTCGAACTTTGCGCTAAAACATCTACTCGCAATAAGGTGTAGATCTCTCGAGCGTGGATGCGTCATTTGTGACTTCTGTCGCATAGTGGAGAAGCTTCCAAAACCATGTAGCAGCGGAATAATTCCTTGTATACAAGATCAGGTACCATACTCAGCTCATGTTTGTGCTGCGGGTAGCTGAGTTCGCACAAAGCTCGGAGATTATGAGATTTTGAGCATTCAAACCATAATTTCATGGTATTCACAGGATACTATCTCGATGAGGGGAGATCTATCACGAAAAGATACTCGTAAAGTTCCATGGCAATAACTTGCAGATGCAAAAGTATAGTATATCCTTTGCTCTTCTTCCCATGAGGAAACCTTCCGTCTATTCTTTCAACACCTATCAGCTTACTCAAGCAAAGCTCAGCTTCAGCGCAGGCTCAATGCGACCAACACACTCCCCAAAGCCAACCAGAGCTTCCTCATCTGACCCGCACACTCCTCGGATCGTGATCTCGTCACCATCCTCCAAGAAAGTCCTCTTCTCGCCACCTTCTAGAGCAATAGTCTCTTTCCCATTATTGCTTTGCTCCAGAAAACTTCCATACTCGGCTGGGGAGTTTCCGCTGATAGTACCAGATCCCAGCAGGTCACCGGGCTGGAACGGACATCCGGTGATGGTGTGGTGTGTCAGCATCTGCGGGAACGACCAAAGCAAATTTCGTGCATTTACTTTCGATATCGTCGTTTTCTTGCCGGAAGACGCTGCAATGATTAACATGTAATACTCAAGATGATATGCGGAATGCACCTACTCTTAACATCGACTTCGAGGTTGATGTCGTACACACTCTTCTCGTCCTTCTCCTTCAAGTAAGGCAGCACTTCCGAGTCATTTTCCAAGCCCTTCGTCTTGAAGGACTCTAGTGCATCTGCGAGAACAACCCAAGTACTGATTGTGGTGCCAAAGTTCTTCGCATTGAAAGGCCCCAAAGGTACATATTCCCATGCTTGGATATCTCTCGCGGACCAGTCATTCATGAGCACGACACCGAACAGGTTTTCCTCGGCTTTCTCGATCGGGATTGGCACTCCCTGTTCGTTTGATCCGCAGACAAAAGCGCCTAGCTCCAGTTCAATGTCCAACTTCTTACATGGGCTAAAGGTAGGCATCTTTTTCTCTGCGGTAGGATCGAGCAGTATCTGACCATTGGGTCGCCGGATAGGTGTTCCCGATGCAACTACTGAAGATGCCCGACCGTGGTAACCGACTGGGAGATGCTTGTAGTTAGGCTGCAGCGCATTCTGGGGTCCTCTGAAGATGACGCCACAGTTGTAAGCATGGTTCATGCCCGCAAAGAAATCGGTGTAGTCGCCAATCTTGAACGGCAGATGTGCTTTGATTTCCTTGAGCGGTATCAGGGCTTGCTTTTGGAGTGCAGCATTATTCTTCAGAACATCGGGGTATGTTGTGTCGACCGAGAAGACGCTTTGTATGTACTTTCGGACCACGGAGTGGGTTGGGCGGCCAAGTGCAGCGAACGCGTTCAGCGATGGTTCCGAGAAAACAGATTGATGTGGCTGTATCGTGGAGAGTCCTGAAAAGCCATTGTTCGCAGCAAAGACCTCGAGGTCTAAAGCGTGATCTCCAATGGCGACCGCAACTCGCGGTGATTTGGACGACGTTGTCGAAATGACACCGAACGGGATGTTGGCTAGTGAGAAGTGTGAGCCTCGGGGTATACTAAACCAGGATCGCAGCGAAGCCATGGTAGATGTGTGGTATGATGCTTCGGAGTTTTCTGATGAAGTGAGATGATTAGATTTCGACGCAATCAGTGCGTACGCCTTTTCGCGTTTTGATACAGCAAGAGCGCAACGTTCCCTCGCGCAATGGTTCTTACTAGATCAGTATACTTGTCAGGGTCAACGGGAGGACTACGGAAACTTCCAGGCTCGGGTTTTCGGCCCCGTAGTTACCACCCTTGGAGCCATGGTGCAGGTGGTGCTTGGTGGAGTGGCGGCTTGTGACGGATGAGGCGGGCTCGGAAAGATTCCGTCACTTGCCAACCGACAGGGGTCATGCGCTCTCCGCCTGTGGGGTAAGCCGACACGAGCGCTCTCGATGGCGCATGTCTTCTCCGCTTTGCTGCTGCGACGCGACAAACGACGGAATCTGAAGCCGCCCATTACCGCACTGCGCGTCTTCGTGCCTGAGTGATGGCCGAGCCACAGCTTGCCACGGCTACTGCGACTCTGCATGCCCGCAACATCCGCGAAGGGTATTTACGCATCTGGTGCCTTACGCGCGTGTTTGATCATTGTTCACTGTTCTCACAGACGCTCTTCTCTGGCTGATTGATCTTGTGTACACTAACGCCACGATGCCGTCTACACAGTTTGCTTTCAAGGAGAAATACCGATACCAGAATGGCTTCAACTCTTACCATGAGTATGGGCGCTACTACCCTACTGCAATGATATATACTAACATTCTACAGGACTGAAGCAGTAGAAGGCGCGCTTCCAATTGGTGCAAACTCTCCTCAGAAACCCCCATATGGCCTCTACGCCGAGAAGCTGTCAGGCACCGCCTTCACGGCTCCGCGACACGAGAACCAGCAAACATGGCTTTACCGCATCCTGCCTTCATGCGGACACAGCAACTTCGAGCCCCGCGAGTCCAAAACGTTCAACACGAACCCCGAGAACAAGCCGTGGGAGAAGATACACTACATCCCAAACCAGCTACGATGGGATCCCTTTGATCTCGACGAGACGGTGGACTGGGTGCATTCACTCCATCTAGTGGCTGGTGCGGGTGATCCTACAATGAAGTCAGGAGTTGGATACTTTATCTATGCCGCAGGAAAGGATATGGAAGCCAACGAGGCATTCTACTCGGCTGATGGCGACTTCTTGATTGTGGCACAACACGGCGTGCTCGATATCCAGACGGAACTGGGTCGCCTCGTTGTGCGTCCGAATGAGATTTGCGTCATACCGCGAGGTATTCGGTACCGTGTCACATTACCAGAAGGCCCGGTGCGAGGCTACATCTTGGAGTTGTATCAAGGCCATTTCACGCTTCCCGAGTTGGGGCCCATTGGCTCCAACTGCCTTGCAAACGCGCGAGACTTCCAGGCACCAGTAGCGGACTTCGACGAAGATACCGAGACAGAGTGGAACATCCTCGCCAAGTTTGCCGGACACCGCTACGCTGCGAAGCAGAGGCATACACCGTTCGACGTGGTCGCATGGCATGGACTCTACTATCCGTACAAGTACGATCTTGGACGCTTCAACACCATAGGCTCCATTTCATTCGACCATCCAGACCCGTCCATATTTACCGTTCTCACTGCGCCAACAGACCGGCCAGGTACCGCGGTGGCTGACTTTGTCATCTTCCCACCGCGATGGTTAGTGGCTGAGAACACTTTCCGACCACCATGGTACCACCGCAACACCATGTCCGAGTTCATGGGACTTATCGGTGGTCAGTATGATGCGAAGACTGGTGGAGGCTTCCAGCCGGCTGGCGCTTCTCTGCACAATGTCATGTCCGGCCATGGACCCGACGCTGCGACTCATGAGAAGGCATCTAATGTCGACCTACAGCCCAACAAGGTCGGTGAGGGCAGCATGGCGTTCATGTTCGAGAGCTGCCTCATGATTGGCGTGACAGACTGGGGCCTCACAAAGTGCCAGAAGATACAAGAAGGCTACAACGCGGAGAGCTGGGAGCCACTGAAGCCGCATTTCAAGAGGCCTGGCCCTAAGAAGATTGATAATGGTGTCTCGCCACTGGTGGCAGGAGCGGAAGGCGACAAAGGCCAAGTGCCTCACTATACCTGAGCTCGCTGATGTCGGGATGTTGTACTTTTAGCGTTTGGCCCGAGTTGGCCACTTCGGTGATATTCGGTGCTTACGACCAGGCTTACTGCATTGGTATCAGTAGGATGGCGCGTCGCGAGCGCTCAACAGGGTGTCGTTTCAATGCCCCGCAGCGTGCGTTTGAACAAGATAGAGTGAAGTTTGAGCATACATATAAGCATCATGGATCTACCGTGTCAACTACCAGCTAATGCCAAAGTCTACTACCCATCTTGCCCTTGCCCTATCACATTAAATCCTCCGTGACACGTACTAGCAGCGTTGTCGGGCGGTGAGTTGTCTTGGTGCAGTAAAGTGCCGATGTGGAGCAAAGTCTAAGGGTCCACTAGCGTCAACAACTGCTAGAGCGCGGGGCTATCTCTCCCACTTTTCCCTCGACGTTTGTTTCTTCATCCTCCTCTCACCCCTCTCCCTCTCTATACCCCCAATCCATCACAATAAACCGCCAGAATGTCTGCCCCCGCCCACAAGTTCAAGGTTGCTGACATCAGTCTTGCGGCGTTCGGTCGCCGCGAGATTGAGCTCGCCGAGAACGAGATGCCTGGTCTGATGGAGACTCGCCGCAAGTACGCTGAGGACCAGCCATTGAAGGGCGCCCGCATTGCTGGATGTCTTCACATGAGTATGTTATATCACTTTCACCACAAGCCCAATGCTAACTTATCCCAGCCATCCAGACTGCTGTCCTCATCGAGACCCTCAAGTCCCTCGGTGCTGAGCTCACCTGGACCTCCTGCAACATCTTCTCCACCCAGGACCACGCTGCCGCCGCCATTGCCGCCGCCGGCGTACCTGTCTTCGCCTGGAAGGGCGAGACCGAGGAGGAATACGAGTGGTGCCTTGAGCAGCAACTCACAGCTTTCAAGGACGGCAAGAGCCTGAACTTGATCCTCGACGACGGTGGTGACCTCACTGCTCTCGTCCACAAGAAGTACCCTGAGATGCTCAAGGACTGCTACGGTGTCTCCGAGGAGACCACCACTGGTGTCCACCACCTTTACCGCATGTTGAAGGGCAAGGGTCTCCTCGTCCCCGCCATCAACGTCAACGACTCCGTCACCAAGTCCAAGTTCGACAACTTGTACGGTTGCCGTGAGTCGCTCGTCGACGGTATCAAGCGTGCCACCGATGTCATGATTGCTGGCAAGGTCGCCGTCGTTGCTGGTTTCGGTGACGTCGGTAAGGGTTGCGCCCAGGCTCTCCACAGCATGGGTGCTCGTGTCATCGTCACCGAGATCGACCCCATCAACGCCCTCCAGGCTGCCGTTTCCGGCTTCCAGGTTACCACCATGGAGAAGGCTGCTTCTCAGGGTCAGATCTTCGTCACCACCACTGGTTGCCGTGACATCCTGACTGGTGTCCACTTCGAGGCTATGCCCAACGATGCCATTGTCTGCAACATCGGTCACTTCGATATCGAAATCGACGTTGCGTGGCTCAAGAAGAACGCCAAGTCCGTCACCAGCATCAAGCCCCAGGTCGACCGCTACCTGATGAACAACGGCCGTTACATCATCCTCCTTGCCGAGGGTCGTCTCGTTAACCTGGGATGCGCCACTGGTCACTCTTCATTCGTCATGTCCTGCTCTTTCACCAACCAGGTCCTTGCCCAGATCATGCTGTACAAGGCCTCTGATGAGGAGTTCGGCAACAAGTACATCGAGTTCGGCAAGACTGGTAAGCTCGATGTTGGTGTCTACGTTCTGCCCAAGATTCTCGACGAGCAGGTCGCTCTTCTCCACTTGGCACACGTCAACGTTGAGCTCTCCAAGCTCAGCGACGTCCAGGCCGAGTACCTTGGTCTCCCTGTCGAGGGTCCTTTCAAGAGCGACATCTACCGTTACTAGATTTCTTAATATCCAGCGTTTGGGAAGTTTCAACACGACGTTATGAACTTCGATGATACCACTTCGAAAAGTTGTCTGTCTTCAACGGCATAGCATCGGGCCTGGGGCTCGGCGGGGTTTGGTCGTTCAAAAGGCGTTGTTTGCAATCATCTACTTGACCCTTCAACCATGGTCAATACCGATGATGATACCCTATGTAAGAGTGAGATATGGATGAGATAGACTGCGTTCTATACGCGGCGTAAGAACAATAACAGGCCACCGACCTTGACGGTGAATTGAAGAATGAACAACAACGGCGGGCCTCCATACCCGCCTCAACAAACACTACTCCTTACTATGACTTCTCCTGTGATCAACGTGCAGCTACATAGACTTTCGCCGCGAACACAAGCACATCCCCATCGGGCCTCAAGAAGATGCAGGAAGTACCCCTTGAGTTGATTCTGGCATATTGACGTCTGCAGTGCGTGTCCAACCTCAAACGTTGTTCATTCTTGCGTCCTCCACATCCATGCCGTATCGTACGCATACGTCAAATTCAACAGCCGGTCGTACACACACAACGTTGCCCAACATTCCAGCGAAAATACCACGAGACGCATGTTCCGCCGTTAACATCGGATCGGACATGACGCTGTACGCACACGACATCGAATACTTCCCGCTCGGCATACGCAGTACGCAGTATGCAGTACGCGGTCTGTAGTGTGATCTTCTGTTGTGTAGTAACATACCCGGGCAATGCATGTGAACGTAGCTACATCGGTCCGCCACGCCTACACATACCAGCGTGTCGTCTATTTGTACATGACATGACATTACATTGCAGTAGTATGTATATCTGACACATTCTTTGCTGTTGTGACTTCCTTGCCTGCGCTGCAGAGTCTGACAGGGCGCGGAAGTGGTGACCAAGTTCGATACATCGGCTTGAGAAGTAAGTTTGTCCTTACTACGATTACGAGGTGGATGTTGGTAGCGGTTGGTTGCTATAGCGTCTCCCGTTTCCGAAACGCTCATGTGTGAAGACCGAAGTATCGTATCGGAATCTAGTACAATGGAGGATTTCTCCGTTCGTAACGGCGAACTGCATTGGTGGTTGGTGGCATACGAGTATTTTGGTCGAGGATGGGAAGGCTCTATGCTAGTTTTGATAACAATACATGCGCGGACGTCGGGAGTCTACACGAGCATTCTATTCCTCTTACGCCTCCTCCCATTCCTCTCATCCCCACACAGGCAAAGCAAACGTAATCCTCCATCTCATAAATCGACAAGTCCAATTCCCAACACCTCACAAATTAAACAGACAACACATCCCTGCCCCAACCCCGTTCCACAACATACTCCGCCTCCGCCTCGCCTTTGCCTGCAGAACCGGGTACTTGGAACCACGACATGGCGATTTCGAGGCTGAGCAACTTGAAACGTTAGACTCGTCCTCTCCAGCCTCGCAATATGTTGTGCGTGTGGGGGGGAAAGGGAAGCTACAGCGGATTTACACGGGGTCTTGCATGACTAATATAGATCGGGGGGTAAGGGAAGGGAAGTTTTGATGGGTTTGGGGGATCCTGGCTTATTCAACAGAAGCACGACGTTGTTGGTGGTATGTGGGGTTGAGACATGCGGAAAGTTTATGACGCCACGAGAGAACGCGTGGTGACATCTAAGGCTGATTTCGGTACCGTGAAAAAAAGTTGTGGAGTGGGTACAGGGGTTGGCGAGGACTGAGTGCGATGCGCGGAATATGGAATTCGAACAGATGTACCGAGGAAAGATATTACAATTTAACGCAGACCTAAGTTGTCCGCCTGCTGCGGCTACTACTACTCCTATACAACGCATATGTACCTTCCTGACCCATAGATTATCTTGGAGAAAAACAATGTAACTGAAAATGCCCTATGATGCCAACGCTTGCTATGGGATGGAGAACATCTGCCTTAGTCTCCATGGTGGGTGATGATGAACCAAAGTAGAGAGGTATCAAGAACAGTAGGAAACGATGAGCCAGCCGGTGCTTTTCATCGGCGGTAATGATGCCGCGATCGGAATATCAAGAGTGAATAGGGAAACGCCACCAAAATTCGAGAAACGTAACGCCGAATGTAGCGAGCGCCTTAGCGGAGACCGATAACGCTCTGGGTATTGTTAGTAAAAGCCGTGGTCATTGTGAGGGTAAACATACCATTTCCAGCGTCCAGACCCTCCTTATCCACACCTTGAGCTTGCCTTCGACACCTCTGACATTGTCAAGCTCGACACCTTCCCACCAGCAGCGGCGAGCGGGTTTCCTCCAGAAGAGGAGCAGCTTCTGCGCCATTCCGACAGCGTTGCTGTTAGCGAGGTCGTTACCCTTAATGTCTGTCCTCAGGCGTGCAAGCGCGATGCTGCAGATAACGGCCTTGTTGGGCTCGCCGGCGCGGTGACCCCATCGGTCGTCGTGGTTGAAGCCACTGCGTGATGTTAGCTGATGTTCCCTGATTTGCAGGTGGTATGCTCACCCTGCAGTCAACATCTCGATCAGGTGCTGCTCGGTCGTTCCGGGTTCTTCGCTCTTCCTGAGACCAGAGAAAATGCCATCTTGTCTCAGCAATGCTTCGCCTGCAGCTCGCTTGACTTCGATCATTTCGGGCTGAGTGATGTCACGATGCGGTGGGATAGCGTAGAAGTCGAGATCCTCTCGCAGAACAATTATGCCAGCGCGGTCCTGGAGCATGTCCCTGGCAGAGCCATGCATAGGCTCAATGGGCACGGCCTCGGCAGCATGCTCGGCGGCAGTCGGGGATGGAGGCGATGCGGGAATGGTCTGGGCTACAGTGCGGAAGAACTCCAGCATGTACTGTAGAGAATTTGGGTCGTACTGTGAAGGGTAGATATTGTCAGATAAGTATAATGCGGGGTTGGAGAGGTGGTACAAGATCTTAGCTACTGGGGTCAAGGGAAGGGGAGAGGAAGAAGAAATGGGGTTACCAACGTCGACTGGGTATACGTCTCCATCGTGGTAGGAGTTCATGTGCCCATCTGGAAGCAGGCCATTGGGAAAGAGGGAAAGGAGGACGAATTCGGGAAGGGTTAGAAGTTCGTCTCGCGATAGAGTGAATCGCGTGCCCCTAAGATTCGGGTTAGTCTTGGTGTCGCGTGTGACGAAGCATTTGCGTACCTTAGTTCCAGAGTAATGTTCTCGTCTGATCCACCGAGTGTGTTGATGGGCGGTCCTGCATTTGTTGTTTGCGACACTTGAGTAATGATACTCGCGGGACCTCCTGCGGATGCCATTACGTACGTAAAGGACTCGAGCGGGCTGGATCCTTCGCTGTAGGGTGGCGGCGGTTCTCCGTCGTCGAGGTCTTTGCTACTAGAGCCTTCCTTGGTATCGGAAGGGAGCGCGGCTTTGGTGGCAGCTACAGCAGCAGCGGATGAGGACGACTCGCTAAAGGCAGGCGCGGATGTAAATGCAGGAGGTGATTCGTCTTCCGCGGTTTCACCGAGCTTGTCGCGTTCCTCAGCGTCTTCGGGCGGGAAGAAGAGGGAGGAGAAGGGAGGTGGGTAGGGTGATTCGCCGGCTGTTGTCGTCAATGCGGCGGTGCTGCTGGCGGGAGCGGTGACGGCGTAGGGTGGACGGGAGGAATCGCGCCGGGTGGGATTCGGAGGCAAAGGAGTGACTACGGACAAGCCGTCTGTACTGGAAGTCTGCGTGCGCGACAAGGTGCCGGTGGTTGTGTATTGGACAAGGCCGGATGATGAGCTCGAAGGGGCAAGCGCGCTAGTAGCCGCTGTCAATTAAACCTGAGCGCGTGGGCACCACGAGGCAGCTACGCGCATTAGGTGGAGTAGCGGTGGAGGTGAAAGGGACGCAAATGTTTGCTTGCTGTGCTGGGCGGGAGGTGTTGTGCGTGTGATGAGGTGCCAGTGCCGCGATGGACGCGGAGTGGTTAATCAGTCCAGGCGTCCGCTTCGACGCTAGCGTGCTTTCCAACTTTCGATGCAGCGCTTGAGAAAGGCAGGCACAATGCGATCGGATATCATTAGCATCACGTTAGCTGCGACGTTGATGTAAACCACTCTCGTGAGAACCATGACGAGTGTATTGTACAGATCTAGCTTTGTCACAATACGGGACAGTATATCGTCACTATCACCTGTTCTATATCCTAACCCAATCTAGTGCTTCGCTACAACACCCGCCTCGTTCGCTTGCGCTGTGATGCGGCGCTTGTAATCTTTGACGGTTCCATCGAAGTGCTCGATTGTACCGTTGTCACAGACCCACAAACTTGTGCATACATTCTGCAACATAGTGACATCGTGACTGACCATCAGCACACCACCCTGGAACTTGTTCAGTGCTTCCGAAAGCGCGTCCATGGCCTCGATATCCAAGTGGTTAGACGGCTCGTCAAGCACGAGAATATGCGGGTTCTGCAGCGCTAGGCATGCAAAGGCAACACGCGATTTCTGACCTCCTGACAGCAGTTCCATCTTCTGTAAACCAGTCATACCTGTAATGCCAAAGGCACCAAGGTGACGACGGTACTCTTCATCTGCCCTTCCGTGGTACGTCTTCGACATGAAGCCCACGGCGCTGTCATTCAGGTCCAATGCATCAACGTGGTGTTGTGCAAAGAAGCCCACACGTAAGCGGGGGTTTTGCGAGATAAGACCAGTGGTAGGTTGAAGTGCGCCGATGAGCAGCTTCAAAGCCGTCGTCTTACCAGCACCGTTGGGACCAACAATACCAATGCGTGAGTCGAGTTGCACGTCGAGATCGACATTCTTGAGCAGAATCTTGTCGGGGGTGTAGCCAAAGGTAACACCACTCATCTGAATGATAGGAGGTGACATCTTCTCCACCTCCGGGAACTTGAAGTGCACTGAGTATGCTGCTTCTGGTGGAGTGAGGACTGGCATCTTCTCCAGCTTCTTGATCCTAGACTGGGCCTCAGAAGACTTGGCAGCGTTGTATCGGAACTTGTCGATGAAAGCTTGCAAATGCGCGCGCTCAGCCATCTGCTTCTCATACTCACGCACTGCCGTCTTGCGACGCTCTTCTTTGGTCGCATAGAAGGAGTCGAAGTTGCCACCCTTGTAGTAGTCGAGTCGCTCAGAGTGTTGATGAATGATATCGGTTGCCACTTCGTTGAGGAAAGCTCGGTCGTGAGATACAACAAGTACTGTGCTTGGGTAGCCCTGGAGGTAGTTCGCCAAGAAGGTAATAGAGGGGACGTCCAACATGTTCGACGGCTCGTCAAGCAGTAGCAGATCAGGTTCACAGAACAGCGCACGGGCAAGCGCCAGACGCATCCTCCATCCTCCAGAGAATGTCTTGGTCGCGAACTGCTGCCGTTCTTGTGAGAAACCAAGACCTGCGAGGATGCTTGCTGCTCGAGATTCTGCCTTATCAGACTCCATCTCAGCGAGCTTGCCATGGATGTCGCTCAGAGTAGTGTCTAGACCTTCACGCTGAGTGTCTAGCCTGGCAGCATCTGCAGAGGTGTCTGCCATTTTAGCACGCTCCTCTTCAAGCTCGGCTAGCTCCTTGCTAATCTTCTCTTGCTCCCGAAGGAGATGCTTGCGCCATACATCGGCGTCCAAGACAGCCTGCAGTGCGGGTGTGTCATCACCAGTGATCTAGTGCAGAGTCAGACATTGGACTTGCGTAGTGCATAAAGTGACTTACCTCCTGTTCCACGTGAAGAATCGAAATGTGCGTAGGAATAGCAACCTCACGACGGGCGAGGGCGCGAAGCAAGGTGGATTTACCAATACCATTTTGACCTACCAGACCGTACCTGCGGCCATACGCGAGTGTCAAGGAACTGTCTGTAAGGATGCGTAGACCAGGCATGGAAATATCAAAACTATCAATCTTAATGTCTTTGCTCTTGTTGTTGGCTTCGCCCAGCTGCAGGGGGTTGACGGCCATGTAGAATTCTTCATAGCTTTGTGCTTCGTTGGGCTCATTGAGAAGTCGCGAAGCTTCATATTCGACATTCTTGAATTCTTTGCGGTCCTGCTTCGCACGGAGCTTGCGTTCGGCCTTTTCAAGTTTCTTGCGATCGACCCTGGATTCAACTTTACGTGTGTTGGCAGATTCTAGGTCGACGGCGCCGCCAGCAAGACCTAGCGTGGAGGAGATGTTCCTGGAAGAGCCCACGTGGATAGCCTGGTCGAGCTTCTTGGCTGATGGAGCCGTCTGGCGCCGCTCACTGTCTGTGCCATTGGCGGCGTTCAGGCGGGAGATGAATTTTTCCACAAGGTTCTGAATACTCGTCTCATTCTGGCGTGAGAGATCTCCAGACGCTGACAAGAGCAGAGCGCTCACGGTGGCAGCGGCTTCCTCAAGTGGGGAGGGGGCATTTGGGTCAGTGTCGGAAGTGAACTGGTTTGCGGCATGGGTCAGGTACCCGGCCGAGTACTCTGACAGGACAGGGTCGATGTTCGGGATTTGGGTCCTGATTTCGGATTCCATGGTGGCGGGTGACGAAGTCGATGTCGACCGCAGTCAATGTCACCGTGGCGCTGGCGAGGTCGGCGAGCGGGCAGTCCTATCTCGTGCGTTCACGTAGTCAGCGTGTAATAGCGGGGCAGTGGGCGGTCTCTGCTTCTTGCGGTGCTACGGCTGCTTGTCCAAGGCAGAGAACATTTTGACGTGGGATGCCAAATGTGGCGTGGCGGCGGTTCTAGAAGGAGCGGGCGGCAGCCAATCAGGGCGTCGACGCCGACAGCCCATCAAACATGACAACCCGTTGCTGCGCCTGTGGACTGACACAGATGGCGGATCTGCACCACGCGTCTGGAGGCGCTCTAGCAGTGATGCGCTCCTAGGATTGTCCCGGTTGCTCGCATCTCTGTGTTCCCGCGGGTCAGCACGCATCGCACAGTCACGTCAAGCTCTGTACGCACAGCTCGCCCAGCAAGCCGTCTGCCAGATGGACTCCAACGTGCGCCCGCTATTCCTAGAGTGAGGGGCACAACGGTCTCGATAGTCTGCAAAAAGCCTCTGGAGTTCGTAGCGGCCCTAGCAGTCATCTTTCAGCTGCCTTAGGTCGGGCACGGAGCCGCCTTGGCTACGGCATGCAACATGTGATGTAGCCTTGTCAATTGGCTTTGGAAAATTTACGGACAGAACAACGCATGCCTAGGAGCACAGCCATGGCCGGTAGAACTCGCAGCATGCGGGCTTTAACGGCGGAGATATACCCCGGAGCGCTGAATTCGCTGCCTCAGACACACGGATTCCGTCCTATCCTCAACCCATGCTCCCGCTTCTCACCACTTCTCCGCTCTGTGGCTGACGTGCTGTGCGTTTCGGCTATCAAGTAACTCAATCGTGAGCGGCTTTCCTACCAGAGTAATTGATGCCCGATTGAGCCGGTTCAACAAATATCTACCACACCATGTTCGTAGGTACCAAGGTCCTTCTGCCGTTGACTGTACCGAATGCTGGGCGCGAGGTAACATGCGATGGCTCCGTGGCTGCACAGTCTAAAGCACGCCTTCGCTACCACCGATGGACTACATAAGCCGGTTGACACTTGCGTACGCCGCGATCAGCAAACATCTCCACTTGGTTACAGGGGTCTCTCCAGGCAGTTCAGCGGCCGGCTGCCAATCACCGTGTGCTGTGACGGGCGCCCGGGATGCTATCTGGTACACTATATTTGGGTAGCTCTGACGGCAGAGGGGTTCTTCCAGCCTCTCTGCGCCATGTCCCTGATTGTTGTTGATTGTTACTCGGCGCTAGAGCTCGCCCGAGACAGATGGGCGCAACGTCGTGGTACTGCCAACTGGGCACCGCAGCGGGCCCTCAGTGCCTGCCCAAGGAGTTGCTGCCTCGGGCTCGTCGCATGCAGCATTGGTTGATGAGATTGACTTTACTCGCAGCGTGGAGCTATGACGGAGCAAAGTGAGGCATGGGGTCTGTGTACCTCCGTGTTATGTTTCGAGTCGAGCTGCCGCTATCAGCCCTCATCGGCGACATCTCGCTAATCCCAAGAGAGCTGGGTAGCCCTGTACGTAGATCCCAGAAGCAACAAGCAGTGGATTCTTCAGTCGTCCGCTCGCTCCTCGTCGAGCTCCACCTCTCTGCTTCAGCCCGTCGCGGTGCTTGTGCCGTCCATTCTTTGCTACGCTCCGGAATGCAGTACGCCTGCTCCAGCGCCTGATTGAGCCCCTCTCCTCCCACCGTCTATACTCGTGCAGCTCGCGATCCCTGGTTCACCGGCACCCTGACATGCCATAATGCTCGACAAGTCGTCACAAGCGCCTCGACGAGTGACCTTTCCCCGGCGGCTTGGTTTCCAACGAGAATGAAAACTGTTCCAACGGTAATTACCCTGCATTTCTCTATCTCATAGTCCGTGGATCTTGTGTACGCGCTGCAGCTGCCCTTGATTTGTTTTGATATGTCTCGATCGACGCCGCGTGTGCGTCTACTTCCGAGAGCGGCTGCACCAAGACTGTCTCACCTCGATATACCTCTCTTATAAGATGTCGTACTAGGCGCCATGACTGACGGATCCTTGTGATACAGCTCTGTGCCACTGCCGCTGTCGTTGGTACATCCTCTGTCGGCCTGGCCTTTGGACGGGAGGCCCCCTTCGACCCGTCGCACCCCAATAGAAAAAAGGCCACCCCAGCATACGAGCCGAGTCTTAATCCAATGTCGACCGCTGCCATGACCACGACTGCGCCTCCCTTTAGCGGTCCCGTACCCGTCGTTCCTGCCTCGCGCATGCCGTTTGCGACTCGACTCAGTCAGGATGGCCGTTCACAGCTGCGGATCGTGAGGAGGAAGACGAGCGACGATGCAGCGCTGCAGTTGCCGACGAGTGCGACGAGTGCAAACTACCCTTCAAGTGACCAGAGTGTGTCCGACGTAGACACAGCCAGATACGTGCCGTCACGGCGAGCCTCGTGGATCAAACGCCTCTCCTCCATATCCAACTCGTCGAGCAGGAACACCAGCCCGTCTCCGCTGTCGCCCGCCGTGTCGTGCTCCAATGGCTCCATGGCCTTCTCCCTCGAAGGCTCGACGGCGCCCATAGCCGGCCAGCGCTCTTCTTCACCTGTATCACCGAACAAGCTGGTGAAGCGATCCTCGTCAGTGCGCGGGCCTCGTGAAGAGCCCAGAACGAGCACCTCCACCCTGCGACCGTCCTTCCGTCGTCCGGCCACCAGTCACCAACGCAACGCAACGCTGCAGAACTACGGCGCGCGGCTGTCCATGACGGCCGAGCACACTTCCATGGACGAGCATCAGCATTCCGCAAGTACCGACAGCGAGGCCGAATACACCCAATTCTTCACAGCGAGAATCATGAAGGAGCGGTCACTGACGAGGCGGAGAGGCTCCGTGGCATATGCGAACGGATTCAAGAGGATATTTCCGGACGACAAGCACAAGCCCATGCTGGTGCTCGCGAGATCGGTCGTAGCAAGCACAGAAGACGTAGATGACTCCACAAGCGACGACGGTGAAAGCGTTTTCTATGTAAGTCGACCAGAGACGCCGCTTAGCATGACAGCCATGTTTGCCTCCAGGGAAGCAAACCAAACTCGTGGCCGGCCCTCCACATCCCAGCCCGAGAATGCCCCTCGACCCAGGCGCTCCTTCTCCATCACTTCCTTCCTGTCGTCCAAGAAGGAGCGAGCAGGCGCCATGTCCAGACCCAGACTTTCCCGCCGTGCGAGCCAGCGGGTCAACTCAGCACCCATGCTGCCTACTATGAGCAGACGGCCACACAGCACCTCATATGGAGAAGGCCGCCGCGATTTGACGGATCCTAAACCAGCAAAGCGCGACATCGCCACGTCCGCCGGGCTCCCCGAGTCAGCGACGGCACGCAATGCTTCTCACACCAGGCGTCTGTCGTCGCCCTTGCCGGCGCTTCCTCCCTCTGACATGCTCGCTGGCGTGGGCTTGGCGCCCTTGTCTCAGCAGCCCGAAGATTTGGCCTCAGCCGCACCGGGCGCCAATCAGACGCCACCATCCCCTACTCTAGCGCAATCGGGAGTTCGGGTCTCGCGTCATTCCATGGCCCCCTCAGAACAGGCCTCGACATTGGTCGGCTCGTCTGATAATGAACTTCGCGCCTTAGGCTCCGGCGACGAGGACGACGCTGACGTCCAGAGCGACACCGTCTTTGATTCGCTGCGCACTGGTGCGACCAGAAGCACAACTGGCGGCGCCCGTGGGCCTCGCATTGAGACCATATTCGACGAGTCACCCCCCGCCAAAGTCAAGGTCAAGGTCACAGCCCTACGCGATCTACTGCCGCCCGGCGCTTTTGGGGAGCCCACCGTCAATGGTGTCGCCGGCCACCAGAGCATCGCCGAGGAAGAGGAGAGCATCTCGACGCCCGTGCGGACAGTTCGTCCCCAGCGCTCATCGCAGGACTCGCCCACCTTCTCCCGTACACACAGTGCGCCTCTCTTTCCCAAGACGATAACGTCGTCTCCCCCAAGCATGCCCAAGCCGCTTTCGCTTGGCACATTGGAATGGGACTCGCGAGCAGGGGACGACGACGATAGCAGTAGGTGGTCACTAGAAGAGGCAGATGATGAGGATCCCTGGGTTGATCATCCAACAGTCAACCACAAGGCCACACCCGTGTCGCTTCTGCGACAGCACAAGCATCTGCTCGCGCCCGATTACGTTCCTAACCCAGCTACGCCCAAGCGTCCCACATCAGAATTCGGCGACAAGGACGCGCGAAGCAGCATCTTCGATTGGTCTGAACAGCAGATCGCAGACAAGAACTCAGGCAGCTGCACGCCGCCACGGCCCCGGACGGTGCACGGAAAGAAGGATGCGGACCGCAGAGGCAGTCGCTCTGTTGGACGCAGAGTCCCCAGCGGGTTGCACGCCCGCAGCCAGAGTGTGCCCGTAGTTCCGGATCTGACTGGCAAGCGTAGCACAGTGGTCACAAACAAGTTTGGCACCTGGGGTGTGGGAAGCAAAGGTGTCACCGAAGACTGGAACGACGACTTCGACTTTTCTGAACTTACTGAGGAGCCTGCTGCAGAGGACGGAAGTTCGCCTATGGGGAACAGTGGCTCGTCTATGGTGGTACCAAAGACTATACAAGAACAGCAGAACAACGTCCTTGCAAACATCAGTCTGCTACGCGAATGGGGTCTACTAATCGAGGAACTCAAAGAGCAAAGAGTACGCGCGCTTGCGCTCGGCATGATACAAGGCCCACCTTCGGGCATGTGGCTTGAAGTGGATGCGATGATCGAGCTTGCAGACCAGGAGGCCGACCACGAGGGTCTGGCTCACGCCTCTCCGCCCTCATCGCCTGGCTTCGACGACGACGCTTTTGACGAACCACCAGCCAGTCCTAGCCTTGGACGAGGAAGGCAGAAGTCATCATCTCCTAACGAAGATAGCCCCAAGCCACCACAGTCAGCGCGCCCTCTGAGGAAGTCGATTCTTCCTTCCAGCAACGGCATCTTTACCCCGCAATCTTCACCGATCACACCTAGACTCGAATCAGACGCCACACCTGCAACACACGAATCCAAGACTATCGTTACGAGACCCCGGAAAGACTCTGAAGCTAAAGCGCGTTCTGTCATCGAAGCGCTGCAAAAGAGGAGGAGCGCATACGAGCCGTTCCTGGATGCGCCTCCCGTACCTTCGACACCTTCGAAGAAGGTTCCATTCGACACCGCGACTCTGCGACGCATCGTGCCATACGTGAGTACGTTGACTCGCAAAGTCAAAGACACGATCAGGGATGCGGAGGGCTTGTACTCGAGTCCTATCGCAAGCCCACTAAACGAGGAGCCACCATTCAGCATGATTCACCAACAAGATGCGGATCTTGCGGCTCAGATGAAACTCATGACGGTGATGTAAATTCACAGGAAACAACGACGCGATGGAGCTGTTACGAGTATGTTTGGGGAAGCATTCAACTCGCTCCGTGCTGGCCACACGCATCTGGTCAAAAGTTTGAGGAGAGAAACAAAAGTTTCTTCTGGATATTTCCCTTTGGATCAGAGCGTTTGAGCGACGATCTGGCCATGGAGGCCGGATCACCTATTACCCTGTATTAATTACGCAGCCGTCGACTACCAGGTCAGGCCAAGTACTGCATTTGAAGCGATATGGCATTTGCGATTCCTTTTTGCATAAGTTGCAGCATCTTCCAGCCAGGATACACGTGGAAAAGAGGAGGCATGCGATATGAAGCGCATATGCGCAGCATGCATATGTTTTGTCTAATGGAAGAATACGGCGCATTGAGGATTGGGTTTCCTATGTGGATGTGGAGCATATAATACTCTCCTGGTGGGATGGGCATACCGCGCAGTTCGCGAGAGCCGCTTTTCTACACGTTTCAGTCATGTACAAAAGCGGGTTGAGGGTTTTCTCTTTGTTCCTTTGTCTCATTGTCTCTCTTGATCTATGGTATCTTGAAATGCCATGAGGGTCTTCTGAAAATCATAGTATCGATGACGGCTGCTCACTGTCTCACAAGACAAGAATACACAGAATTTGAAACATATCTTAGACTACCGTCCCGCTCACACATCATGATGTCTTCACTTTTGACTTTCGGGTTCGGCAACTCTATCGTACCCAGATAGTTCAGGCCCTCTATGTGTTCTCTAACAACTAACAGAACCATATCCTGAAACTCCAATACACCGCCACTTTCTTTTAGAAGACGGGTATTCCGGAGACTGTTGCTGTATCCTAATTCCCGGTTGAAGTCATCTCGAAGATACCAAAGCTTCCGAGCCGTTATTACGACGCCAACTACTGCAGTCCCATAGCCGAATCACATGCTACTAATGCATTTACACGCACGCACGCACTGGAGATCGCCTGCGCATCTTGTTCATGCCGGAGAGCCAGATCATCGTACAGCAGCGTACCACTCGCTTTCGCTTCTGCCCGAGCGGGTCAGCGAGCGGCAAATGCACACGGGACGAGAAATCCGTGCAGAACATCCTTCACGACAAGACAATACAGCATGCAGCAGAACATGCGTGAAGTCCAGTCTCCTTACAGATACTACGTACAAGTAAATTGAGCGTCAGGCCACACCAACAATCTTGGATGATCACAACAATACAGCCCATGTCGCATTCCAGTCATAAAGCCGAAGCTACCACTAACCGAGAGACGCCCTAACACGCTGCACTGTCATCCACGATGCATATTCCGGTTTTCCCAACGATATAGCTTACCACATTTCGTGCTATACAGCTTCTTTTGTTCATCTTCGGGATGGCTACTGCGATTGATGGTCCGACTCCCCGGCAAGCGCATACCACGCATCCAAGGGTGTGAATAATACCCTCGGCCGGTTCGGTCGCACGCCGGAGGACTGTAAACAGAGCCTCCATGACCCTACTCCACTATTTCCTTGTAGACGTGTAAACGGTCGCACGACTTGCCCTATGGAAACATGCGATTGCTGCACCAAGACGAAGGGCGAGTACTGCGGTTCCCTCAACGCGTACTCGCCAATTTCACTATGCATGCACGTGAGACTGCGACGGTTTGACAGTAGGGCAAATCCTCAGACCCCGCGCTGTTATTCATCCGAGGTCAATGACGTTCGTTCTGCCTTGGGAGGCGCCCAGCCAAGCAACGACGGAAAAAACACCAAGAGAGAGGCGACTGCCAGCCTGACTACCTATTAGAGGAGGGGCAAGGCCAATGTGAAGCGCAACACTCCTGCCTATCCTGCCGTTCCTTTTCCCATCCGGGCCAATACTCGCATCGAGACCTCAACAGCCAACTGCCTCAAATCTCCACGATCTCACGGCGCTAATACCAAGAAAGAGTACTCCTCGTACCCGTTGCCTGGACTACATCCGTACCTTGCATACTCAACTGCGTCCCAACCAGAACCACTCCAATCACGCTAATCCACGGCCCGGAATCCTTACGCCTCCAGGACGGCGCAACTGCCCAAATCAATTGCCTCGCAGTGCTTGCGTCGGAAAAAGGCCAGCACTCTCACGTCATTCTCCGCAATTCAACATGGCGCTGAAACACTTAATAGCAGTGGTGGGCCTGAGCGGCTGCTCTGGCGTGCTGACGGCCAAAGCGCAATCCACCTCCACTGGTGCAGCATGCGCAAGTCGCATTGCCCCACAGAATGGTGCTCCTTCGGTGGCGCCGGGGTTCCGTGTCGAGGTTGTGGCTAATGGCCTGAGGGATCCACGCGGCATTATTTTTGATCGGGAAGGTGGGCTGCTGGTTGTGGAACAGGAGCATGGGGTTAGCAGGTTGACGTTAAGTCGTGATGGCACTTGTGCTGGGGACGTGCAGATGGTGGTTGAGGATGACTCAGTGAGTGCTTGCATCGTGTTGAGTAAGATGTGGCTTGATCGTGCTGGTGGCTGACTATGGTAGTTGAATCACGGCATTGCTTTCTCACAGGATGGAAATACTCTCTATGCATCATCCCACAGCAACGTCTACGCGTGGGACTACGATGCGTCGGAGGGCAGGACTACATCCGAATCCCGCGATGTCGTCGAAGGCATGGGAGATGATGAGGGCCATACTACGCGTACCCTTCTCATATCTCAGAAGGTTCCTGACATGTTACTTGTCTCTCGTGGTAGTGTGGGTAACATCGACCTCCAGACTCTGGATGTGACTACGGGAGTCTCAACGATCAAAGCTTTCAACGTAGGCAACATGACCGGCTCCGCGTACGATCATGCTTCAAGCGGATTGTTGCTTGGTTGGGGTTTGAGGAATTCAGTAGGAGTAGCTGAGGAACCCATCACTGGTGGTATATACTCTGTTGAGAACAGTGTCGACAACATTGAACGTAGTGGAGAGACTATCAACCAGAACAACCCCGGTGAAGAACTGAACTTCCATGGTTACCTAAACGGAACCGGGAGTGATGTCCAGGGCGGCAACTATGGCTACCCTTCGTGCTTCACAGCATGGAATAGATCTGAGATTCCGGATTTTGGTGGCATGACGGGCGAGGCGTTTGCTATTGGAGACCAGAACGCGACTGTCAACGATACCTTCTGCGTGGAAGACCGCATCGCTCCTAGAATCACGTTCGATGCTCACATGGCTCCCCTCGATATCAAGTTCAATCCTGACGGCACTGCCGCATGGGTAACGATGCATGGCTCTTGGTAACTCGACCAACACTCTTCTTCATGCACTATTCTAACGAATGTATAGGAACCGCGAAGAACCCATCGGCTACAAGCTCAGCCTCGTCCAATTCGACGGCAAGGGCTCGCCTGTTGAGCTCGCGAACAGCACTACTGCTGCTACTGATATTGTGTCCAACCCTGATCTCTCGGCTTGCCCCGACTCTTGCTTCCGTCCCGTCGGTCTTGCATGGGATGCCGAGGGTCGCTTGTACATGAGTTCGGATTCCACGGGCGAGATATTCGTCGTTACGAGGGAGGATGGTAGTGGTATCGCAGATGTGAGCGAGGTGGCTGACGCCAGAGAGACTGAGAGCCCGACACCGTCTGGAACTGGAGATGTGTCGAGGCCGACCGAGACGAGCGGTGCTGTGCTGAAGTTGGGTGTTGGAAGCGGAAGTTATCTGGCTGCGGGTGTTGCTGTTGTCGGCGCGCTCCTCTGAAGATGAAGATGAGAAAGAGTCATAGTTCTCGGATATGCACTACCTTGATAGCATAATGCACTGCACGCTCAACAGAGCGCTGTGCCTCAACAACTTCCTCCCGACCTCTCAAGATGCGATTATGCAATGGTTGATGGTTCGCAGGGAATTGTCGGATATTCTTCGCGAGTCGCATGTCGACGTTCGGAATGGGATGTGCGTCATTGGCTGTCCCTTCCCTCGAAGCCATCTAGAAGACCAAGAGCGCAGCGGCAACTACAACCATCATCATCACCTTCAACCCCACAGTCAAACTATGCAGTCCCTGATCATGCCTGTGACACCGAAATCGGCAGGTAACCTCCGCCTCCCACGTCTACGTAACCTCGTTGGAATTCTGCCTGACGCCTACAAACGCGCGCTGGCCCAACATAAGCGTTTGCAACTTCTCATCACTATTGCGACCAGCGAGCAACAAGGCACCTCAGCTGTCCTCCTGAATCCGGATATCGGCCGTCGTCTACCACCGCAAAGCTTGGAGTAATCGCATAGCCCGGAACAGCCGTACAACCCGCGCGCAGTGTTGGTAATACTCAGTTGGAGAAAATTGGTAGCGTTCACCTTCACCTCGTCTCGCCCCGGCCGTCTATGGCCAGTTGGACCCCTATCGCCTTCACTGTCTGTTGAACAATAGGTGAGTTTCTGTATCCCCGGCTAGTGAGGGTGAGCTCGCCTCCGTATATCATCCTCACCCACTGCCAGCCTCTCCTCTTCCACCAACCCTCTCCCTCCATCGCACCGGATCAACGAATAGTTCAAGCCATTGATCTATTCAGTCTTCCACATCAACATGGCTCATTCCCAGAGCCCATCTACTGCTACGGCATTCAACTCTCTACCCATAGAGGTGTGTATCTCTAACATCAATGTACGGGCAGACTCAAGTATACTGACGATCATCCGTAGCTCAACAAGGCCATCGCCCATGAACTTCACGACGACAAGGACATCGCGACGTACACGGCCATCTGTCGTGCTACCAACGATGCCATCGACGCCGACAACCTCTCCTTCTGGCGCGCAAAGTATCGCGAGAAGTACGACTTCAAGGCCGGAACTTCCAACCTCAACCTGCGTCGGGTATATCAGCGTCGCTCCCGACTATTCAGATGCGGCCTTCGTTACAAGTTCCACTATGGGACTCGTCAGGGGGAGAAGCAGGTCATCAACATGATCAAAGATATGATCATCGGTACGTCAGAGATTCCAGAACCAAACACAACTTTCACGTGCTAACGGATACAGAATCCTTTCAAGGAGTTACCGAAGTTGACGAGCATGGCCGTCTCCGCGGCAAGAACCACGCCCACATTGTCGACTTCATTCTCAAATCCCACATCCTCAACAACGATCGACGTGCCCCTGAGACCCAAAATGGCAAGATGCCGTATATAGATGATGGGCTTGCCGCCATCCGGCTCATGTGCTCGCAGTTCATCTTCAATTTGGAAGGCTTGCGACATGATGTCTTAGCTTTCGACGACTCACAGCACGCTGTCTACCTCTCATCTGACAAGGCCCAGCTCTTCACCGGAGATGATCAAAACAAGTTGAACCTCAGGTGGATGCTACACGCTATGAACTTCTTCCGCCACCACATGATGAACGAAGATGCCCAAACTTTGTTCGACAGGATCGATGAGCTAGACGTTACCCAGAAGCCTTCAGCATGGCGAGAACAACTCACTGACGGAGCCAAGCCTCTGAGCAGGTACTGGAAGGGCACCTACTCTTTCCTCGAGAACATTGAGGTTCAGAAGCTGCGCAAGCAAGGTCCAGGCCGGCAGGTCTTCATTGACAAGAACGTCGACGAGGGCAAGATCCAGGTAGATTTCGAATTGGGAATGGCCTTTACAAACCCTACTGATCACATGCAGTCTCTCGAGCTTGCTTTCGCGGAGGACAGTCGCCTACCCGATGGTCGCAAGCTCCCATGGCCACCCGTCTTCGAAGACCGCCTCCGCTCGCTTGGGAAGGACGCTGGAAAGCAGCAAGGCATCAAGACTCAGGGTCGGAGCGCAACCGCCAAGACAGCTACAGGGGGCAGCATTCAGTTTGAGGGTAAGGGCGAGGACCTCGAAGATGAATACAAGGCCCTCGGCTGGCTCAACCCGTTGCCCCCTCAAGGCGGTGTCCCCGGCTGGCAGCGCATCACCTTCATGAAGCACTTCACTGAGGACTACGACCACCCCAACGAGGACAATCTCTGGGCGTACGAAGGCGTTGTCTTGCCCGGTGGTCGCATCATCTTGGGCCGCTGGTGGTTTGCATCAGAGCCAGGTCGTAATGATGTAAGTACCACCTGCCCATGACATCTCATTCCTGCTTTCAATTGACATGTACTAACAAAAGCTAGACGGAGTACAACGGCCCCTTCATCCTCTGGGCGGTCGACGAACCTGACTTTGACGAAGACATCAGCGATAATGAGGGTGTTTGAACGGCAATACACATGCTGTCGGCGGCAACTCGGTTTTGGACGGCTATTCCACAACATATATCCCTTTGTATATCTTTCAGTCATCTGCCTTATCTTCCCTGCAAATTCTCTGGCGTTCGACTATATCCACATACCTACGGTAGCGGAGTCTTCAAGGCCTGGATGCCTGGACATTTCCCTTTGCTTTTGTTGATTTTGCATTACATATCACATAACCTCTTCATCTTAGCTTTTGAGAAGTTGGGAGTAGGACTGATGTCCTGATTCAAAAGTCTTGCTCAGCAGTCGTGTGCAAAAGTCTGTCTGCGTGACATCAATTCTGTGAATGTACTAACCCAAAAGTGAACATGCCGCAGCTAAGCTCGATCTTTGGTGACGACACATCACAAAGTCTCAACAAAAACGTGCGAACTAGAGAGCATGTACAAAGAGACCATTTTTCATTTCATATCTATCTTGATTTCATAAAGTCGTGTCGTGAATCATTCATGTGTGAGCCAGAAGACTCGATGTCGCATCAAACCAAAACACTTCTTCTCTTTCCCCCAAGCCCAAGAAAGTACTATCTCTACCCATTCATCCACTTGCCATACTCATGAATCGTCAAAGTCGCAAGAGACCAAAGCGGTTAAAGGAACGGAGTTGCCAAAAAGAACAATAACATTCACCTCCTCGCTTATCCAAGCTTTCTGAAAGACAGAACAAGAAAAGGTATGTAACAATACTTCTAGAATCCACCGCAGTACAAGTAACCAAGTCGGCCGTGTCGTGAATAACCATCGTAAGTAAACCAAAGAAAAAAGAAGCATCTAGTACCTCGCACCCATGGGCGGGGGCGGGACCGAGCTACCGTAGGGATTCGCATCGGCATAGGACGTAGGGTAGGATTGGTTCGCAGCTACAGGATATGCGTACGGATTAGCGGCTGCACCATTCATGTTGCCACCGAGGGCATTCATCCGGGCTTCCTTCTCGCGGCGTTCACGGAGCTTTCTCCTCTTGCGGCGGCGGGTCTCGAGTTCCTTGACGCTGTGGCGTTGCTCGTTCATCTCTTTCCATTCGGAGTAGGCGGATTTGATACCGAGGGCGGCGATACCCACGGCGGCGGCATCCTGGAGCATGTTCTTGGACTTGCGTTTGCGCGCTTCTTCGGCCGTCATTTCGCCCTCGCCAACGAGCTTGCGGCGGTTCTCCGAGGCAACCATGGAAGAGTAGACTCCGTGGGCGGCGTGGATGGTGGCCACAGTGGCTAGACCCGCAGTGAGGAGTTCCTTACCTCGTAGCTTCTTGCGCTTCTCTTCCATATCGGTGGACGACTCAGAATCCGCGCTAGAATCCCGTCGACCCCGATCCATTCCTCCATCCTGTGCTGCTAGAGCACCCGCTCCTGCCCCACCGGCGGCGGCTAGTCTGCGATCTGGGTTAGTCCTGGAAGGGGCTTCGGAATACTGGTCGTCCATACCGCGGCCTCGGCTGTACGAGCGGCGGTTGCCCCTACGTGATGGCACGTAGCTGTCAGAGCTGGAAGAGCGAGATCGATCCTTTCGAGCACGAGACTTGGAGCGCACACGGTCGTATAGAGCCTTGCCTGCTGCGAGCACAGCACCGGTACCAGCTACTTTGGCAATACCGTTGTTTCCTCTGTCGCTGGAGTTGGAGCGGGATCGGCCACGAGAGCGGGAGCGTCCGAAGATGGACCTGGACCTGGACCTGGCACGAGAACGGGAGCGAGACCTGGAGTCGTCACGGCCACGAGGAGCACGGGAGCGCGAGCGAGAGCCGTTGGCTAGGCGAGAAGCGACGAGACCACCGAGTGCTGATTCGGCGACGTGTCTCTTCTCGTGCTTGCCGGGGTCTCTGTCGATGAGACCGTCGATGCCGGCAGCACCAAGAGCGGCAGTAGCGACACGTTGGCCCTTAGCACCGGTCCATGGACCGGCCTCCTTGCGGCTGCGGAAGGCTTCAACGGCACCGGCGACGATGGCAGCTTTGGCGGCCTGCTCCCACTTCTCCGACTTGTGTCCTCCCCGGCTGCGGCTGCGCGAACGTGATCCGTAACGGCTGCTTCGGCGGTCGCGCTCGTCGTAGTACCCGTATCTGTCGCTATCATAGCCACGGTCGTCCCGACGAGGGCGGGAGCGTGATCGGTCACGACCGCCGCCAGTGACAGCGCCGATGATTCCGCCTAGGCCTGCTGACTCGCCGAAGTCCTTGACTTTGTCGACGATGGACTTGCGGCGCTGCATGTTGGGGCGCTCGGAGTACTCGGAACGGTCATCGTAGTCGCGATCACGTCGGCGGGGACGGTCATAGTAGTCGTCGTCGTAGCCACGGTTCACTGAGCGGGTGCGGCGGGGCGGCGCATACTCCTCGCGGTACTTGGTTTGCCTATACTCGGCACCGGGAGGGAAGTCGCGGGGAATTTCTTCGATGCTGTCCTCGCGCGCTGCGGGGCGGTAGACGAGATCTCGTGCCCCGCCTCCACGGCCGCCGCGCTCAATGTACGTGGTCTCGGTGACGTACTCGGGCTCCCGCGTACGGTGCCGCGGTGCGTAGCTGTACTCAGACATAGTGATGGTGGTGGTGGTGGTGCTCTATACCGCCGTGGGCAATTGTGGCTCTAGGGGTCCTGCAGCAGGAAGGGTCGTATCCAGTCCGGCACTCTGCGCAAGGCTGGGTTAGTGGGCGCGCGAGGGGTAAAAGAGAGCGGCGGCGTGTAAGCATACCGAGTAGTCGCTTTGTTCAGATAGAGTTTACTTGGCTACTAGCGCAAGTGAGAGGGTTGACGGGCTGTCGCAACGAAGAATAAGGTGCCTGCGAAGTGACGGGACAAAGTGGGTAGGGGAATGGGGTGTCGAGCGGCGCAGGGCACAGGCAGGCAGTGGTATTTAACAGGTTGTCGACTCGGAAGGGCCAGGGCTGATGACTGTCCGTTTGGCTTGGGTCCCAAGGATCTATCTCGGTGCAGGTGGGGTGGCGTAGATATTACCGTTTGCTTGAGGCTGGGGTGGGCAGCCGTCTTGAGGGCACAGAGCGTGCGAGTGATGTCATTGCCGCCTGCCGGGCAGCCAAGCCCCAAACTTCTGCCACCAGCTGCTGCGCCCAACGAGAAGACGCCTGTCCAACCCGGCTAGGTCTCATGATTTGCGCAGCTTTTCTGACCGGCATCCCTCACCGACGCACAATTTGGGGGTCTTTTCGCTGCGAACATGTTCGACGTGCTGCTCGACATAGCCCCTCTCCGGCCGCCTCCGGAACCTGACCGGTGCCTCACTTCTGTCCATCTTACGTTGCGACGCCCCCAACGACAGCTTCAGTGAGGTAATGCTTATTCTGCCCATCTGCATGGCGGCGTCTTTCAACTCCACATGTCTCGCTGCGTCTCAGTCGTTCTTCCAAGTTTCGGTGCTGCACCTGGCCAGCTCGGCAGCATTCAGGCTCGATGACGAAGCCCGGTGCCATTGTGTGTAGGGGTACTATGTACAGAACGCCACGTGAGTCAGCTGTCATTGGCCGACAACCGTGGCAGGCACATGGAACTCCAGCGAACATGCGAGGATACACCTGTCAATCCGTGGGCTGACACCTGAACATTGGCCCGAACTATGGAAAAACCGGGTACGGCCTGTCAGTTGTCAAAAAGATGCCCAACTACATACTTTTCTTCCTTGAATTTTATCACGTAAATGACGATGTTTGTTCACGATATGCTATCTTTAGTCGCTACGATCTGCCTAGGTGAGGCGAGTTTCTTGACATCGTACTAGCTGCATTGTTTCACACCAGTGCGACAACCTTTCCAATCGTCTTCTCGATATTTGAAACGTCCATCTCTGCATCATCGTTGAACGTATAGTAAACTGTATACACCTCATTTTCCGAAGGTCAAACCTGTCATCGTATCCGAGTCACGTCATCAGTCTAAGCTGCTCGCCGCCGCCAGCCCATGTTCTGCTCTGTCCCTCTGCCTCTTGCGCGAACGTCTTGACATGTACCCACCCTGATCAATCCAACCCTTATATCTCTCATTGCGCTGCCTCTTGTTGTCTACAGTCATCGAAGCCGTCCTATTCCCCATCTCTCGCTCCGAGTCTTTCGTAAACTCTTGCAACGCAGATATGATACCGAAGTACGCCTTGCTGCTCCCAGCTACGAGCGTCCACTTCTTAGTTCCGGGCTCGCTGAGCTGAGTGTAACCGCGCGGATCATGATGAACTCTTCTCTATCGTTGCGGCGGCCCAAGGCGGCGGCTGCGGGGATGGAAGAGGAGCGGTCAAACATGTGGCGGCAGATGAGGATGGAAAAGCCATGGTTGTTGGGGTAGGCTGGTTGGTACATGTCGATGATGTATCCTGTTGCGTAGTCAGTATTACAGAGTCTGCTACAGTGCCTTCTGGCAGCGGAAAAGTGGGAAGTGGCATACCAAGGACGCTTTGCTTGAGCTCGCGCTGCAGTTGCAGGTCCTCGAGACGGCTCATCTCTTGCATCGCCCTGTGGTTGGCCATGAGTGCGATTTGTTGCTGATGTGGAATGAAAGGCGTGGGGATCAAAGGTGAGCGAAGGTGGTGGTACGTAGGCGCCAGGGAAGCGTCAGTATGCTGAAGTGGAAAGCGCAAGTGTGCCACGTGGTGGGCAGCCGCCTTCACCTCCTGCTTTTGTTATGGTGAGTAAATCGAGTACTTACAGACAATATTCTCGCAGTGCGCGACGGTGGTATCCTGTAGCAAAGTAGATGATAGTTGATAATCAGCACAACACGGGCCGAGGCCTTGACTTTGACACTTTGACTCAAACTTCAATACAATGCGTATACAACCCATCCAGAATTGACCTCCGATGTGACCTTGACGTTTCTCAGTGACTTTTGCTCTTCTATACTGCGTGGTCTGGTGAGTTTTAGTCTCAAGTCCATGATGTCTACCCCGATCGTCTTATTCTCCTTGAGATAAGTCTGCAATGATACCATGGACTCGCTGGACTCTCGACAGTCCTCGTTTCTTGTCTTTGTACTTTGATCAAACCACACATCGCAAAAGGAACTGCAGACTCGTTACCATCACTAATTGCGATGGTTTCGATCATGCAACTTACCAAACAAACCCTCCCCTGGGGTAAGGGTTAGCTGCTACAGAGTTACATGGAGGCATAGGGCAAGGCTTGTCGCTTTCTGCGCCTACAAGAAGAACCATCACGATAGCTGTCCCGGATGCAAGCCGTGAAGTTGATGTAATCGCTGCTGACCTCATATTCGCCTTGCAAAATTCGTAGTTGCCAAAAAAAAAAAACATCTTGCGAGCCAACACCGGTTTGAAATTTCCGCCGGTCGATCGTATCCAGCATATCGTAGTCGAACTCCGATGGAACTGGAAACTTGCGACCAAAGGCATCTTCAACAACGAATGGGTCTTGGAAATAAGTCCAGCCAGTATCCATTACTTTGTTTGAATCCCGGATTTCGAGAACAACGGCAAATATTTGCTGGGTTGAGGCACTGCATGGTGGTCGGTTAGTTGACAGCTCCACTAGTGTACATGAAGGGAACGGACATACAAGACTTTGTTCACCAACTGCCCCAAGTCCGCTAAGAATGATCTAACCTCGCCGAATATGAACTGATGCAGGCCAGTGATCAGTGTCTGAGTGTTACTCGCTACAATCCCTTGGCTTGATACGTCCTTGCCAACGTCTGCGAGAGTGTCTTGTGTGTCACGAATGCGCTCAGCGATTTGTGTACAGACTGCATCTGTCTCCTTCCTCATATCCTGCACCTGTCCCGCGACATGCCGTATCATGAGCATGTTGATGACCTTGCTGTAATATTGGAGGTTTCTCTGAAGTTGCACAACTTCTTCTTTATGACAGAACGTCCAGTCGAGCTTATCCATGGTACCTCTCAGAGCGTTGGATCGACTTGCGGGGCCTAGGGAAGAGTCGTATTTCTCGGTCTTCGCCCAGAACACTTCAAGTCGTTGGCGACAGTCCGTCGCAACGAACTTAATTATGTCAAGAAATGCTGAGGGGGCTGTGCTGCTGTCGAGTTGGTCCAGACCATCTAGGGCAGTCTTAAGTGCGTCGAGCTCCTTGACTAGTTCCGTCATAATCAAGCTTTGTTCGCAAGACCGCCAGCTCGGGAGGTGGTGCTGCAGCTGCAGGGAAAGCACCTCGCCACCACGTTCAGCCTTGCTGCAGGCCGACTCCTTGGGCACTAATAATCTACCACCTCATACAAAGAGAGAACTAAATAGGTGCTTTACCGACTACGTTGCCACAGTATCGTGTTAAACATTAGCTTGTATACTAATGCGGTCGGCAAAGCACCTGTTTAGTTTTTTAATGGATGAGGTGCTACGACATCGAGAACTGAAACGGAAAATGTCAATGGAGACGACTAATTTCGACCGAAATGTGCACTCGGCAACGCTGGCAACAACCGAGTCGTCGGATATGCTGGAGAGCGGACAACGATATAACAAGTTGAGGACCTTCGGTGGGAGCGAGGTGATTACTTGCGCGCGAGGAAAGCGCAGGTGTGCTGAAGCGAAAAGCGCAGGTGCGCTACGTGGTAAGACTGGAAGTCACGACTAGTGGTTCGCTCTCGAAATGATACCTATCAAAAAGGTACTGTATACTTGTTGATATTCCATACTGCGTAGGTCGCATGCGACACTACGTCTGTCACCCTCCAGTGTCGACATGTTTACTGGCAACATGCGAATGAATACTAGACAAATGAACTCCGTATCGATCTAGGCACTTACGAAGCCCCCGCCCGACCTCTATACAAAGTGGTGACTTATTCTCGAAGTTTTGCTCAAGCTCAAGTTGAAACGTCGCAAAGAATCTGCCGTCTACCATACCTCCTATAGAGACACTGGGACAGGATATAACACCGTCTATCTTGGCGATCTCTTCTAGAACAGGGTTATAGACTGGGACACAGTCTCTAAAAGAATCGAATCGGACGTTTCTTCGCATATTTCGCTCCATGACATTATAACAGACTGCATTGGATGGTCTGTTGTGGGCAAGTGGAAGTAGTGTAAGAGGCTGGAAAACGTTTGCGCTACTACTGCGGACGTTTTCAATGTTTGACAACAAGTCGCTAGCCTGATAGAGCTCTGCATCAAGGTTCGAGCTTTATGAGCCGCATTAGTCAAGTTTCACGAATGGACTGGGAATGCACTCACCATCCAAAACCCCCTCCGGGGCACGGGATGACCTCTGCCGACTCGCAACAAGGTATGGGCCATGCTGCCTGCTTAATGATCGAGCTGCTCACGATTATGAACATCGTGATGGCAGTTCCAGGCTGGAGACGTGAGGACTCGGTAATGATGTCAAGACGGTTCTGTTTCCTACACAGTTCGTAATTTCCCGCCTTCACCTCCATGGAACCCCCGCCAATTTTGAACCGGTGGCGAATGACGGTATCAATTAGGTCGTAATCGTACTCTGTAGGGATGGGAAATCTGACTCCGAAGGCATCTTCTACTTCCAAAGGCGCCTGGAAGAAGGTCCAGCGCCTGTCTACCGATATGATGTTCCGGATATCAAGCAGAATCTCGTAAATCTGCTGCGTTGAAGTACTGAACCGGACAGTCAGCTCAGGCTCAAATCATACTATATTATGGTACGTACAAGGTACTGCTGATGAGCTGGAGGAGACGAATTAAGTACGGTTTGATGTCACCAAAGACGAACTGATGTATGTCTTGCAGCAATGTTTGTACATCATTCAGCATGACTGCCTGGCTTGTATTTCCTTTTTTGATGTGCTCAAGAGCGGTCTGGGTATGATAGAGCTGTTCAGAAGTATGCGAAAAGTCGATCTCGGTTGTTGCACGTAAAATCTCCAGGCGCTCGAGACTATATTGGGCCAGATGTGGGCTGATAATACTGTGGCAGATATGGATGTCTCGTCGAAGTTGTTCGATCTGGTCTTTCTGGCCAAAATGCCAACCAAGCTTATCTGATGTAGTCCTTAAAGTAGATGCGTGTTTTGTGGATCCCATAGATCTTTCATACTTCTGTACTCTTGACAAGAATCCTTCGAGTCGTAGCCTGCAAGTCGTAGTAGCAGTCTTGATCGGGCTGATATGAGCGGATGCATTCATGTCGTTGTCGATATGACCAAGGTATTGTAATGACGTATCGAGTGCTTTGAGATCTCTGACCAGCTCCTGGTACTCCAACTCAGCCCTGCCTACAGACCGTAGGCAGCTGATGGTTTCTTTTACCAGTTTTCCAATAGTAATGAAGTCCCCAACAGCAAATCCGAACGACATGGTGGTTTTTGGTAGTGGAGGTGAACTCTGCTCATGTCGGCTTGTAATCATACATGCCGCTGCGTAATTTGTCAGCCCAAAGACAGTTTGATGCTGCCGTCGAGCTTCGCAATTCGGGCTGGGTGAATTAAGAAAGGGAGCGAGTAAGGCATTGGAGCGCTTCGAGACGGCAGATAGAAAGTGGTGGCAATTGCGAGATGATAAGCGCGAGTGACAAAGATGCAAGAGTTATATAATTCTCCATCCTTGTGTCACTCTCCCCGGCCTTCTAAAGTGGTCGAATGAAAATGGCGGAGAGGGTCATCCATGCAGTCCACTTGCAGCTAAGGAAGGCGTAAGCTTACGTGGAACTGCAGCTTAGTGGCTGCGCGACCCCTTCCAGTCTCGCCATTCGATTACCTGTTCGACCGTCAGCGTCATGTTTAGAGTCGAGTAACATTGAATAGCTCAGAACGAAAGAAGGGTCAGGATGCACCCTTTGGACCCCAAAAACGAAGACAATAAGACTGCAAACTAGAGCCCCGCGATTGGCTGCTTTGGTATTGGCTCATTCCAAGTGTTCGCAGTATCCACGTAGGTTATCAGTACGTGTGGCAATCAATTGATGATCTCCTACTCCGTCCCGATGCGTATGGTACAAGCATATATACACAGCGTAAGATTATTCTCAAACCTTGATCGCGTATCGCCTGGGCCTGTCGCTTTCGACGGTCTTCCCTGTCCTCTCCTTTGCCCACAACCTTACTCTTGACATGCGCTTTAGATTTGACTCCTCCCGCTTCCTCAGCATCTCCGACTCGAGCTCCTCTGGCGTGAGCTGGATAGATGATGCCTTCTTCTTCTGTATCTCGCGATTTGGCTTGGAAACGTTCTTGTGTAGTAGCTTCTCCACCTGCTCTCGTAGCGTCCTGGCAGCCTCCCTCGCGTCGCTGTGGTCTGATGCCCCATTGAGCCTCACAGCATCGCGAACTTCCCTTTCCCTATCCTTCTTGCCCCATGCTTCTAGGTCGGGTGTCTCAGGCCAGACGAATGGCTGCTCCAACTCTACTGTCATGTATTTCTTCGACTCCTCACGGAACCAATGCCGTTGTTGTTCGCGCGTATCGCGTACCGGCATCTGCTTGACGTATGATCGAATGTTGAAGCATTTGACGTTGTAGGCGTGGTAGAGGTAGTCGCGGAGGTCGTATTTGGAGAAGTCTAGCGGCACGAGGAAGCGGGCATGGTATGGGGAGAGTTCGGGTGTGCGAAGAAACGCGACTGTGAATTTGGGGCTGGATCATATCAGCCTTGAGCGTAAACGAGGCATCGCCGCGACCTACAGGTATATCTTCTTGCTGCCGAAGGCTATCAGCTTTTTTGTGATGGGCACGGCGTCCATGGTGGCGGGGCGACGAGGTCCGGACTCTCCAATTGCCGGCGGTCGCAAAGGTTCTCAGGTTCGATAGGGACTACTACAACGGTTTCGAGGATTGCAATGCGCGGCGATGTGCTATATTGACTTGTAATGGCTTTCGCGATGCTCAGAAAATGGATCGGAAGTCGCTCCGCAAACGCCGATGCCCGCCAAGCCTTTGTCACAACTCCGGTAGCATTGCCCACGACTTCTTCCACCGCTCCTGCTCGACACTTCGTCAATCTTTTGCCTGTCGCTTTACTTGACCACATGAATCTCGAAGTCAGATGGCATGCGCGATCCTTCATGTGTTGCTTAGCCGACCAGCAGCTCTGCGCAACACAATTCAACTACCTAGATATCAGAGGTTTATCTGCTTATTCTTGCCCGAAGCCTGTCTTTCGTGGATGCGCCTTCCCTGGGCTGTATGCGTGGCTTAAAGCTTCTGATGATGTGCTTAACCCCTTCTAGTAGGAGAGCTCTCTCTCTCTCTCTCTCTCTCTCTCTCTCTCTCTCATAGTAAGCCACCTTAGACGACAGTGTCTCCAAGTAGTAGACCCTCTCCCATACCCATACTAAGAGGGTCCCTGTCTCGTCATATTGTAGACCTCTTCCATCCCATACCTCCACTCGTTTCGTGCTCAACTTATACGACCTCTGTATTAATACAATTACTTCTTCGTCTTCATCAATCAAGCTTCCCACGTCATTGCACACGGTTTCTTCGGTAGTCTTGATACAGTGCGCTTTCGAAATTGCTCTACTATTGCGTTGCATTCAGACTCTTCTTGGGTCAGAGAGAAATGCATCAGAACAGCCTGGAGGCCTTCACTGGCATGATACCTACGGAACCTTATTACAAAGCTCATTTGGTATAACTCAGTTGTACTCACACACTTCCTCATCTTGCACTTTGCCTGAAGATAAGACGAGGTAGATGCGCTTTGATACTGTATACCCATGCGTACTAGCGCCACCGCGCGTTTGCTCTTTCCAATTCAGCGTCACCTCGACCTATCTCCGCAGCGATGAACACCACACCGTCAGTCCTTTCACCTCGACGTCGCTACTTCGAAACTGCTTCTGGTTCTCCACACAACAAAGTAGCCCCGGCCATGGACGGACAGGACACTGGCGCTCTGCCAAAGCCTAGGCCCAAGCCAAAGAGGTTCATTCCGGTGCCCCCGGAGTACCGTCACCTCACTCATGCTACAGAACGCGAGCTCATCGTCAACGACATCAAGGTCAATACTGGCTGCGAAGTCATTCCCAAATGGGACGCTGGGTATATCACTCAGTTCGCCATTGCTGGACAAGGTGCAGGCCTTGAGAAGGCCGTCCGATACATTAATCATTGGATCTCCAATGCGCACATCAAGTCCAAAAACTCATCATCATGGGCGAAGACGCCTGCTTTCGATCATAACAAATGGTACTACAACAACATTGAAGAGCGGGAGCGTCAGCGGAAGGACGAGTTCAGGGGTAAGGCGCCTGAGTTACCAAAAGGCGAGATGCCACTGGCGAGCATCATCGTGCGCTGGCCAGAGGATCTCCTCGATGAAGGCGTCACTCCTCGAGATATCTTTAACAACAAGCTAGAAGCGCTCAATGCCATCCGGACTCAGAACGAGGTGTACATAACGCTGCTTCCTACTCAGAACAACGTTTGGCAGATTGAGATACAGGGCAAGTCCACAATGTATCGAATACTTACAATACACACTAACGTTTACAGCCCGCGACATAGCGCGCATCGAAGCGGCCGAAGCGCATCTCATGACGATGATCGACAAAGTCAAAGCTGATGCTATGGGACTGCAGCATGTACTCAACATGATTCTTGATGACAAAGAGGGCTTGGAGGTTGTGCTAGAAGAGGCTGACGCATGGTGGCCGAACCTGTACGTGGATTGCGAGCGTGAACTGCAGACGATTGCTGACCTCTTTCGCTAAACATCAGTCAAGACCGAGTCATACCTCGCCTCCTCTCCAGCGGGATAATGGAAACCTCCGGCAGCTTCCGCGGTGAGATTATGCATTTCACGCAGCTCTCAAGGATCCAGCGTTCAATTCAACTGGCCCTTGAAGCTGTGCACCACACGAAAGGCGCATACGACATGGCTATCCGGCTAGGGTGCCTCGCTCTGAACTCAAGACATATCAAGGAGGATAAGATCGGCCAGAAGTTCGGGAAGGAGGTCTTCTTGAAGTCAATTAATGGACCTGTTGCACTTGAGATAAAGAAATGGTAAGTTTGGACCCTCCTGACGCCTAATCTGATGGCTGATAACATAGGCTCACTGATGACGCACTGGGCTCGCAAATTCTGGGAGCACTCTGCATGGCCGATGAATTCCTGGAGCCGACCAAGTCTTCTGCCTACTTCGGTTCCGTGCCAAAATCACTGCCAGAAACTCGTCCAATGTTCCGAGGAACGTGGGTCTTCACAGATCCCAACAGCTTTGTTACTCTACCGCGTGAGCCGGTAGCAGTGCACCATTCTGGGCGTCCTAAAGCACCCCTACAAGCCCCTGCTAGTACGACCACTCCACCAACAGCGCCACAGTTCGACCTCATCGTCGTTCAGGTCGACTGGACTGACGACGAAGAGGGCCTGTACGAAAAGACTACAACCCGGTTCTACAAACTCGAGCCGGGTTTTAAAGCACCCAGGAAGAACATGGACATCAACTTGCTAGAGCTTGGAGAGAGCCGAGGATGGCACTTTGCTCTTGAGTCCTTGGTTCCTGTGGCAGCGAAGAGCATCTCGCCTGTCATTACTGGCTTTGCTGATCGAGTCAAGATGAGACCTAATCACGATCACCGCTCCAACGAAAGCTTCGCTGAGTGGGAGCAGACACCGACCGTCAAGAAGCACCTCCGGAACGGCCGTTTGGAAACTATCTACTCTTTCGGCATCAAACAGACCTGTTACAAGGTTGAGGCTACTTCTATGTGGTACCCAGGACAAAGGCTTCCCGTCTGGGGTCTCTGCGTCCGCCATTCTGAATGGGCCACCCATCTTGCTGAACTTGAGCGTCTCCCTGTGGGTCGAAAGGCCGACTGGGGTCACACTGTGGCTACATTCCTGCCAGATGACGGACAGTCTTGCTACTCCAGCGCCGTCGAGGATGAAGACTTTGGAACGAGGAACCTCGATCTGAGCCCTAGCGTTGAAGCACCACCTCGCGATGGTATCCGCATCCTCATGGACAAGTTACTTCAGCTATCAGCCATCGTCAGCTCGGTCACAGACAGGGGAGGCGTCGCTATCTAAAGGACAGGAAAGACTGAACACCCTGAAGGCTACATTGACGTTAGGTCATCTACTTTGCATGTTTTCATCTTGATGTAGGCTGCAGACCTGAGGGCTTCATTCTCATATATTATGATGCCAATACCACAAGTACTTGGCACCAGTCTTGGGCCATGAACTTTCGTAGCTCTTTTTACAGACCCGCTTGGTGCTCCAGCCGTGCTTTTACTCGTGCCGCATGCGGCTTGTCCTATACTGGTTTTTGGTCTTCCGACATGGTGTTTGCTCATTGCTCGCAACACCTCAGCTGCCTTGTTCTTCGCCCTTTCCTTCCTGTGCGTTCATGACCTTGAGCCTGATAACCTCCTCCACGACTCTGACATTCTGCGCCTTGCCCTGCACAACACCCTCCAAGTCCTTCAAACTGTCGCCCAAATCCTTCACCTTGCGCTCATAGAAGTCTTTTGCACTGGCAATATCCTTTTCCACAAAGAAACCCGTGCCTACATCCACCAGCACGTGCTCATGATCCGTGAGTCTGCCCGGTACGTATAACGAAGATGTCAAGGGGACGAGCAGCGGTTTCGAGACGGTAGCTGGTGTAAGGCCTGTCGAGATGGAGTTCAGACAGTCGCGGAACTTGGATTGGGCGGTGCGCAGCGATTGGAACGAGTTGGAAAGGTGGGTGAGCTCGGCGTCGAGTTGGGTTTTTAGTTCCTGGAGGCGGGGGACGGGGAGGGATGTGATTTCGACTGCGAGGTAGAATTAGCACATTGCGCGATGATCTGATACTTGAATACCATTACTTTGACCAGGCTGTGCACCTTGAGCTTGAGCCATTTTGGTAACGCGTGGGCTGGTGCTGAGCTTCTTGGTGTTTGTGACGATGTAAACTTTACAAGGGGCAGGTTTTGGCGGGGCGGGTGCTTGCTGCTCGTGTGGGGTACGATAACGTGAGAGCGTGTCAAGCTCCCGAATGAGCTACATCCGTACAATCCTTCACACCACAGTCTGAACTTCCATGCCGAAGCCGGCCCCTGTCGTTCCTCGCCATTGGAGCAGAAGGCCGGATTTACGACCAACAAACTATGCGCGCTTCCGGATCCTGACGAAGACGGAATACCTGGACAAGAAGAAGGAGCTCAGCATACCTAAATTCGACTCCGATCAGCCCGCGCTCTTCAAAGAAGCCTTCCAGGATATACCTGCAATCGGGAAGTGGTTTAAGAAGGATGCCTTCCTGGACGTACCTTTGAAAAACAGGTTGGATAAACATAAGCCCAACACATTCGGATATCCGCAAGAGCTGAACACAGCGTACCTCGAGCAGTACGGCGATGCGATCGTGCCATTGGAGCTGACGCGCTCATCTCCCGAAAACACCCTCGGAAATGAAGCCTTTGAGCGCTTCGAGGCCCCTCTGGCTCTCCTATTACAACACATGAGTGCTGCGGAGGCGCAAGAAACGAGTTTGTACCTCGCGCAACACTCGCTAGCCGATCTTCCAGCGCCGCTGCAAAAAGACCTACCTACGCCATCGACATTCCTATCCCACCTCAACGCCCGCGGCGATATCTACGCATCGAGTCTCTGGATGGGCAGACCACCTACGCGCACCCCATTACATCGCGACCCGAACCCGAACCTCTTCGTACAACTGGCAGGCAAGAAAACGATCAGGATGATGGCGCCTGAGGTGGGTCGTATGGTGTTCGAGACTGTAAGGCAGCAGATACAGGGGCCTGGTGGAGATGCGAAAATGAGGGGAGAGGAGATGATGCAAGGTGCGGAGATGGAGGCTATGGAAACGGCGGTTTGGAATAAGGATGAAGGTCGAGGTATGGCTAGTGCGACGGGCTGGGAAACAACTTTGAGGAGTGGAGATGCGCTGTATATCCCTAATGGATGGTGGCATGCTGTTAGGGGTATAGGAAAAGGCGCAAATGCTTCGGTGGGTACAGTATGGAACTTGGCATGGGCATGTTTACTAACGGTTGTACAGGCCAACTGGTGGTTCCGCTGAATGAACTATCAACGAATCGCACGCCTTTCGACCCTGAGGGATAGACTACCAGCGTTCAGCCGTCACGACTTGACTTCGACCCTTACAGTGGCCTCTGTTCCGTCGATCCATGTTCCAATCGATCGCGTTCCAGGAACGATCTCCACCTCCCTCATGACCCGCTCCATACCCATCTCCACCTCGCTATCTTCAGAATCCCAGTCGTCATCTACGATGTCCGTCGCTGATTTTCGCACCGACATCCAATCGCCTGTCTCCCATACCAGTCTACACTTCATGGGTTTGACACCAAAGTGCTTCCCCACAATACCGAGAACCGTGTACGCCGTGCCACTCATCGGGATCTCCGTCTCGAATACCGTATCCGTGGACGTGGCAAGGTAAAACTTGATACAAAGCAACCGGGCAGCAAGCGAATTGGGATTTACAGCGTTGACAGAACGCTGAACATCCGGCTCGCCGTACTCCTCACATAGCCACTCGTATCGCGGATGACTCTTCAAGATCTGCTCTCGCAGATTCTCGGGCGCGAACTGCACTTCCTTGGCGATCATGGAGAGATAGTAAGACTCTGCGTTCAGCCGCTCTTTCTCGTTGATGGGACTGTGGTTCAGCGTCTTGAGCTGCCCGAGTCGTGCGAGCGTAAGCATGTATCCATCATCCGCTGTCAAGTTGCGTCCATCCGGTGCTTGCAAGGACTGATACAGCGGGTTTTGCGATACACGCAGGCTTTGGAGACCGGGGAAGACGTGTATGAGTTGTTCGACGAACGCCCATGTTGAAATTTCGTTGAATGAGAGGTCGACTTCTCGGACTGTGGTGGAGAAGACTGGTATCGATGCGCCGGAACTGGTTATCTCGGAGATTTTGTTCGATTTGAGGATGAGGCGGTGTAGGTTTGGGAGGGCCGTGATGCAGGCCAGTGAGGATAAAGAGGTGAGGTGATTGTCTTCGAGTGTTAGGTCGGTGATTGTGGGGTTGAGGGCGTGATCAGTGAGGCTTGTGTAGAGGTTACTGGATGCGGAGAAGGTTGTAACGGAGGGGAAGAGATGGGTTAAGAGAGCTAGGTCGGCCCAGGGAAGGAGGTTATCTTCTAGTTTCAAAGAGGTTATGCCTTTGAAGGCGTCAAGACAGCGGGCTCGCTCTGGTTCTGATACAGATGTATCGCGAAGACGTATGCCACTGCGCTTCTATTAGCATAGTCAAGAGAGAACTGAGTTTGAAGATTACTCACTCAACCCTCAAGCTCCTCAAACCAGGTAGTTGTTCACATATCGCAGCTACTTCTCTCCACTCCTCGAAGAGATTGCGACTCAGATCAAGTTCAATCGCTTTCGGACATGCCTCCTTAACATCACTCTTCTCTCCTCCTTTTAACCACTCCTCCCCCCGCGCTTCAGGTCTCTGCATACAGAGCCCATCCAAAATAATAATCTTCAACTCCCCCAACTGCGCCAACTGCCTCCTAATCTTATCGAACCCAATCTCCTCCGCGGGCTTCCCGTTAAACAGCACCGGCTTCTGTTTCTGCTGCACCGGTGGCTGGTGATTAAACACGACATGAACATCCGGATCCTGGAAGTCTTCATCTAAAGCTTCAGAGGCGTACTTCGACTTTAGGGCTTGGACAAAGGTGCGTGGCTGGTCTGGTTTGCGGGTTGGTCGGATGAAGGATGCTGATGTTGGGGACGGGTTTAGGCAGGTGAAGTATTGGATGCTTTGGTGCGTGCCTGAGTGCTTTCCTCGGGTGGGTTCGTCCCATTCTACGCCGAGCCAGAGGCCGGTTGTGCCTTGGATGGGACCGTGGTAGCGGATTGTGCAGAGGTGAGCGTCGTATGAGAGGCGCTTTCCTATGTAGATTTCTGTTGCCATGATTGACTCAGTATCCTATATTCCTTCTCTTTTACTTTCGCTGCTATGTCGCAATCTCCGAAACTAATGGTGGAAGTTTGTGGGGTGAATGTGTGAAGGCAGCCGCGCACGTGACATCGAAGTGCAGGGATCAGGTACCTGGACACTAGCGTCGCACGCCTCCAGAAGTTCTGTCGCGCAACATCACTTCAGCACAACGACTTCTATACCACACAACACTTGCTCGTAAATCACGTAAAAGACATCTTCACGTTTGTGTAATCGCGATCAACATTAACGAAACAGATCGTCAAGTTTCCCCACGATGGATTATCAGGTACGTCTCTCCGTCGCGAAAGTCAGGAACAGCTGCTAACATCTACAGAATCGCGCAGGCTCCAAATTTGGAGGCGGTGGTGTCGCATCACAGTCTGCGACGAATGCCGACCGACGAGAGCGTCTCCGAAAGCTCGCGCTCGAGACCATCGACCTTGACAAGGACCCGTACTTCTTCAAAAACCACGTCGGCAGCTTCGAGTGCCGTCTCTGTTTGACAGTCCACCAGAACGATGGATCCTATCTCGCGCATACACAAGGAAGGAAGCACCAGACAAACTTGGCACGCCGTGCGGCGAAGGAGCAGAGAGAAGGCAAGAGAGACGACGTGGGCCAGCAAGGACTCCTCGCGGGTGTGCTGCCTAAGAAGAACGTTATCAAGATCGGACGGCCCGGATACCGCATCACAAAAGTACGCGATCCGAATACACGCCAGAACGGCTTGCTGTTCCAGTTCCAGTTCCCGGACCTCACCCCCGGCATCACTCCCAAGGTCCGTGTCATGAGCGCATACGAGCAGAAGGTGGAAGAGCCCGACCCAAACTACCAGTACCTCATTGTTGCTGGTGAGCCTTACGAGACAGTCGCGGTGAAGCTACAATCTCGCGACATCGACAGACGGGAGGGCAAGTTCTGGTTCTGGTTCGACGAAGACGCCAAGGAATTCTGGTGCCAGATTCTCTTCAAGACTGAGCGTGACGAACGCTTCAGCGCAGTCCCAGGTCTCGCGCCCGGACGTTAGTGTCATTCTCAAAGGCGAGGCGTTCAAGACTTTCACTACCTCGGGGATTCTACTTTTACGGCGTTTTGGCAGCGTTTATCCGACGGCATCATGCCCATGTTTGAGGGAAATTTAGGTCGGTGTAGGTAGTCCCGGGACAGAATTTTGGATAATGCAAATCTAACATGAACCACGAAGTACTTGCTGCCGACTGTCTAGTGCCACACTGCTCTTTCCGAGATTGAAATATCCTGCATGCGGTTACATCGTGAAGCGCTGAATCCGAAGCGCCAAGTTCCCACACGGCTCTCTATTGGCAATACTTGTGACTCACTCCAGGCAAGAACTCGCATCTTCAAGTGCAGATTGTGTCTGAGGATTGGCCAGGTTCAGCATGTAGAAGGTGCGCCTGCTCGATCTTGGATGCTCACATGGCAAAAAGGCTTCCGCCTTGCGTCTGCACCTTCCCTACAGGACCTCTGGGCCGAACGGCTTCAGCAACATTTGATCCACCATTACCTTCTCACCGTCTTTCTCGCTTCTGCACTTAATCGATCAGACCGCTCTGTTGGTTCGCCACTGCTTCAGATACAAATTGCCGGCTGAGCTAGAGCCAGAACTTGCTTGCCGTCTGCGGGTATCTGACCCTTCTGGTACTCGATCATGCTGTTTTTGTGATCGGCTATCATCAGGCCAAGAGGTATGTGCGACTAGACTGCTGCCGTACAGACATTGCAGTAGTGTGCAGATGTTGGTTTGCTCGCCTCCTCCTCGGTTCTATACTATCGAAGCATGTTCGATGGAGAATGACGCAGCTTCCTGAGAAGGCTACTAAGGCGCTTACTTGCGTGCTGCAGCTTGTCGCTTGAAGTAAGACTCAACGAAGCCGGTCTCGGTACGTCGCCTAGCAAGCATCGACGCCTGAGAGCTTCGCTCTTGGACATGCCGCGAACTGAATCTCATGGACAGTATAACTTCAGCACGATGCGAATATCCAATGCATCGCTGAGTTTCACATCACAGGTGTTGGCTGTGCCAACTGAACTCCGTCTTGACCGGGCTGACACCGAGTTGCCTTCAATCCTACTCGGGATGCGGATCCAAACGGCCTCAAGACTGTTTCACACTCAACAACGGAAGAGGAAATCCAGCTAGATGGACGCGTGGGGCTCAATTCACCGCACTCTCCACCTGCAATACTACCTCGGACTCAATCCGGTGGAGAGTTCAATTTCATGAGCCTTGTTCTCTTCCTGTATGGTCCATCGCATACGTGGGTCTCTTTTTAGGTCCCACCGATTCACATGCGGGAGTGGATGGCTATCTAACTCAAGGCGGTAGGCGTAGGCTCCGCGACCTCAACAGACATCACGTTCTACTTGGACTCATCTCCGGGTCGTTCATGAGTATCATCTGATGCACGAATGGATAAATACGATAACCGCCCTGGTCTTTGCAAGCCCTCGGCGCAACTGGTAACACCTGACCGTCTTTTCGTCGAACGAATACTGGATCTGGTCTGATGATTGGCCACGACTACCTTAAACGTTGATGCAGCCTCGCCACGCTTCCCCACTCTGGAGTGGACCGCCTCACCGTTCGAACGCAGTTTGCCTAGGCCGATGATCTGACATGGAAAGAACGACAGCGCTCGGCAGGATTGAGGATCCGAAGGGGCTGGGGTTCGTCTCTAGATTGCAATAGCGCGACTACTCTCTAGCGAGCCTTGAGGACATGCCGAAGCCACTAGCACCCACTATCTTCATGATTCAAAATCACAAATGGATCATCTTGGAGCTGATCCGCGATTGCAGGCAAAGTCGAAGCATGAACAGTGAGCCCGACTGGACGATCTCGAACCTTATTACTGGACGTTTGATTACACTTCTACTCAGAGGACCTGCGTTTGTACATGGAGTTGCAGCAACATTTGTTTTTACTTCGGTGTTCCAAAAGCCGATGAAGAAGAGATGTGCTTCACCGCTACAGTTGTACAACTCGCTGCATGTGGCTTTCGTACGGAGAGCCAAAGGGAAGCCATATTCAGTGTTAGCTTACGGGACATCCGCAGTTGGCTGCAAGGACAAGCATTCACCAGTGGGTGGTCCTACCTATTCCATTACCTCGGATTTCTGAAACGAGGCCTCGTCGTGAAATGGTCTCGATATCATGGAACGGCTACAACCGCCGTACGCCGCGATCTTCAATCTAACTTGAACGCGGGATCATCTTGGCGTCTGATGTCTCCCGAAGCTGGGATCCAAGACGGTGGATACAGCTGTCATATGATCAAGCAGCTATCCTAGCCTGACGGTAGTGCCCCGCCAAGATATCGACTAGGTCTAATACTTGAATTTGCATTGGAATGTTTCAACGATCCTTGTATTTAGCGCGCTACAGGTGTCATGACAGCGGTGAGCGGGTTTAGTAGCATGATGGTGAACGTCAGGCTGGTTGAATGCTAACGAGGGGTCGACATTTCGATGAGTCGGAGTCATTCTCGCCCTCCTACCGGCGACATGTATGGCATGCGTTGAACCATAGAAGAAGAGAGCCATGTCACACTCGCGTGGTAGTCCCGAGTTACGAAGGTAGCGGATATAAGCGACTGCACTCTATCAACATGGCTCCATGAATGAAGACTGATCGACCGTGTTATTTCTTCGTACCCCACTGGAGAGTACCGAGTTCGGACGCAACAAAGGCTCTAGCAAACAAAGAATGGCAACGTTTCTAAATTGGTTTAGACCCTGCAGTGAGAGGCAGATGACAAACTTTGGCCTCAGGGTCTAAGACATGGAACAATGTGGCACAGCCTCCCGAAAACGCGTCAGGAAAGAGACGCGAAAGCCTGCGCGCTTCCAGGATGCCGAAGCGGGTGCCGGCATCGACGGCTTACAAGAGGACACAGTGTGTTCTCTGGTCTGAATAGATTACGTCTTCAACTCGCGTAGTTTCAAGAGCATGTCAAAGGACACGGCGCACGGACAGAATTAGGTAGAGCAAGCGCTCAAGACAGGCAAGACGAACGGACATGGCGTTTCGACTCCCGCTAAGGTAGTGGCGCGAGCTGCGGAAGGGATGTGAGATATGGGTAAGGCAGCATGGTGGGGATCGGTTACAGCACGGACAGGCCAAGGGTCATGTCGACATGTGCCCTTGTTGGTTCGGCGGGGAACGGGTCGCTTGGTGGAACAGATCGCCAACTCTGCGATGAGGGTGCTGTCCACACGGAACGAAGAATGAATATCGAAGCGTCCAAGCGCTGTAACTGGACGCGCGGGCTAGAGAGGAGTCTCTGGTAGGAAGCGATTCCGGTGCGATGGATCGGCTTGAGCTTTCAGCTGCAGCAGCTGGTCATAGGCCCGCGAAGACCGACGGCGCTACGAGAGGACGAGCCTCCACTCGGCCTAGGAAATGCTAGAGGAAAACGAACTGCACAAGCAAAGGCAAAGGTCGGCGATCAGCACAGCATTTTTAGACATGGCGACGGAGTAGCGGGAATTCGAGCAGGCAGGCAGTCAGTCAAGATGGGGACTACTGCTTTTGACCGATGCAGCGCAATTAAGTCGGGCTTCCTTATTCGGCTGTTGCGGCAAGCAGGAGCGGGCTGGGGTAGCATGGCTACGGGCGCTGGGGGAGTCAGACGATACGGGTGGATTGATAGAGAGAGAAGGTCGAATGCATGACGACGGCGGCCGCCAATGCAGGCCTGGGTAGTCTGTCTTGGGCGTGCTGCAGGCCCACGGGTCTAAAATCAATGATTCGATAGCAGCCTGCTGACACGGTCGCCTTGTCGGGAGCTGCTCAATCAGCAGCTGGCGGGCTCGTGAGTGGTGGAGCGCGGTAGACAGGCAGCGCTGATGACCCAGGCCTCGCGTTCGCGCAGCCTGCTGAAGATAGAGAGCAAGGCCCGGCGCGCGCGGGTGCTTGGCCTGTTGCGTGTGGAGACGGAATCTCGAGCGCGAGATCCAAGCTAGTGGTCGCTATCGCGCAGCATGATGCAAGTAATGCTGTTCGGCTCCGTGCGCTCAAGAGGTAGTGAAAAGCCACCGGCTCGTGCAGGGCCGCGGGAGAGCCACTTTTTATCACACTGCAGCTAGCAGCGAGCAGCGCCTCTCATGCCTGAAGCTTGTCGCCATTGTCAGTGCGTGCCATTTGCTCACTAGACGACTTGGACGTCCGCCGCGCGGGCCGTCAGCTGCTGGGGTTGCAGGGCATATCAGATTGGGCCTCGCTCCCATTTCGTAATTCACCATAACCCGACTTCCCAGTCAGTCGCTCGCAGAAGCACCCAGTGGTCTTTGCTCCCGCACTCGCAGCTCCCAGCGCCGCGCCAATCGCCCACACGCCCACACAGCCGCCCATACATATCTTGCACCGAGGGCTCCTGTCGCTGGTTAGACAGCCTGCACCGCCCAAGGTTCGTTCCCCCCAACCGTTCGCTCGCCCCGACACCTGTCCTGCCCTGCAAGTCACACCTTACAGCGGCTGCTCGCAGTGTCTGGCCCTGCCCGCACGTGTCGTGTCTCTGCTATTGCCAGGGCGCGCCGTCACCTCAAGCTCAAACCTAACCGCGTCCTAGCCTATATCGATCCGCGAGCACCGTCGGATTCGGAACATTGCGTTTGTACCACCTGTTCTGGCATTCTCCGCGACGCCCTTCTCGCACGTCGCTCGTGCTGCGTGGACGCTTTTGCCCTCCCCGACCGAACGCGCCTTCCCGGCGAGTCTTGGCCCCACCCGCACCTGCCGAACTTGAACCTTGGTTCGACCGCGCCGACACGACACTGCTCCCATCGCTTCCAACACATGCTCCCCAGCGACCGCTGCCGACTCCCGTGCGTCCAGCTGTCCTGACTGCGCCGCGCCCATTGGCCACCCTTTGAGCTTCGCGACGCTCGACGGAAGGTTCCTTCGAGCTCGGTTGCTCTTGCGCCGCCTGGATGTACTCAGTGCATGTGCAACACCCTATACAAATCATGTCAAATGGTGGCTTTGCCAACGGCATCATGGACCCGCCTGGCACCATTGACCCGTCGCGTAAGTAGTCGCGTCCCCCTCTCCCAGCTGCTCACTGGCTTGCGCGTCTGTTACATCCGACGCAGCCTCCCGCGACCTCTTGTTGACCCAGCCCAGATGTCTTCGGAGGCCCGACACAGCCCGTCGCACAGCAACAGCAGGCATCACGAGGCCTGAAGCGCAGTCG